GGTTGATGATGATTATCGACTGGAGTCTATGGAGGGCGTTGTTGTATGCTTGTCGATGAGTGAGCAATGCGTCCTGGGCCAGGGGTTCCATCAAGACTGTAGGTGAAGTATGATATTGATGTTGTTGGTGGGTTTGATGAGAAAGGTTCGCGGTCTGGGAGATGCAGTCACTTTGTCAGGCTCCTCTCACGGATTTGAATCTTTTCAAGTCTCTGGTCTGCTATCCGTCCACGTTGAAAGGGTGTATCATTTTGAGATGTATCGAGTATAAGCTTGTGGCTTTCGGCGTATTTTAGAGCTGCTCTTTTGAACGAAGACAGCTCCTTCGAATGAAGACCGATTACTCGCGCGTGTGATTCTCATGTGAAGTTGATATGGTAGGTCGCGATAGGGAAGGAAGTGGTGGCGTAAAGGGAAGTCACAAAGAAAGTCAAAATCCCACCCCGGTCACACGTCCCCTCAAAGCGCGTTGTACTCCCCAGAAGAGCTTCGACTTGCCCAACCGCACCTCTCATTTCGCACTCCTCACCTCACTCCCTCAATCCTTGCACACCCTCTTTCACGTCGCGTACACGACCGCGACATGTCTGCTGCATCCCTCACCATCAGCCTCCTCGAGTGTGATATCGGCCACTATACGTGAGCGGACATTTGCATGTGATCGGTGGCCTCGATGACGCCGATTCTCGACTTCCTTGGAACAGCATTTAACCGCGTGGTGGGAGCGACGCAGAGTGAGAATGAGCAGGTATGCCGTCCTATCTTTGCTGTTCACTGCATGGTCCGAGCAGACGTCTAAATTCGAGTCTGTTGGCTGACTTTCTCGCTCACTTTAGGACAAACCCAATCCGGCCACACACAAAGACGACAACGACGGCATTGAGGAGCTGGGCATTGAACTTACGGGAAGCAAACGAGCCGGTGGGAATGCAACTGGTGAAAGAGCTGTGAAAAGACCACGACGAAGTGGAGACGCAGAGAGACTGCTCCCCCACCACATCCAGACGCCGAAGGACGCGAAGCCGATTCCTGTCCCTTCATACGGTCAAGCATACGATATCGAGGCAGACTGGAACCCACCACCGCGGAAGACAACGCAAGCGAGCATGGCGGCTGGCCAGCGTCGCGGGATTCAACCTCAGAACACCTTGACTCGAAATACACCACAGAGCGGCAAGGCCAATCGTACAAGTGGTTTCTTCAAACCATACGCTAAAGGCCAGCCTTCAGCGCAGCTTCAGACTCAGCCCAGTCGAGGTAGCAACGTCACCGCCAGGCCAGACTTTCCAGACGACTTCGAGCAACCACAGTCGAGACCTGCCAAGAAGCGAAAGATGAGCAACGGCATGCATGTCGACCTGACTGATGACAACGACGATATGCCGCTTGGTCATGCCGTGGCGCGACAGAACAAGAAGCAGTCTGCGAGCCAAGCATCCGGATCATCACATCATGGAAAGCCCAAGAAGCAGGATGAGCCATTCAAGACTCGTGAGCAGAGCAGCGTGGACCAGTTGTTGAGGCCACGTCGCTCACTTCAGGATGTCCGGCCCGCCGACAACGGAAGAATATCTTCAGATCGTGCATCTACAAGGAGTTCCGAGCGGGCTAGGTCTGTCAACAGCGACAAACGGTCCGCGATTGGCACCAAGGGGTCACCCGTACAGTTGGATGAGGACGAAGAGCCCAACGTCAAGATTCAGAGGTCTGTTGCACCAGCTCAACTACCGCCACCGAGGCAACGTGCGGGTGTGCCACCGATCAACCTCGAGCTGGATGAGGAAGAGTATGTGGAGAAAGCCAGACGGAGAATCGAGAAGCTGCACGGCGGCACCGGTCAAGGTGACCGTCACGACATGAACGGCATCAACGGTGTCTTCCAGAAACAGACTCCTAGGAGACATCTCGATGCACCTGTGCTGCCGGCTCGGACTGCTGAGCAGCCCACTGATCGAATCACGAAATCCACGACTTCCCACGGACGCAATGGCGACAGGACTCGCAACATTGGCGAAGAAGCCGACCACAGATTGGCGGACTCATTTCGTCGGAGCGATGGCAGCGAGAAAAAGCCAAAGCAGAGGAAGCTCATCGAGCAAATGCAAGGTACTTCTGGCACGAAGAGGGTCAGTCTTCAGAGCGAAGACGATGAGCTGGACGGTCCTCCAACCGTGCGCGGCACGAAGTCGCGCAATGCGTCGCCTGACAAGCCAGCTCCAGCTGGACAGAGGAAGCAGACCACACCTGAAGGTGTTAGTATGTCGCAGTATTACGAGCCGTCCAGCATCAAACCGACCGGTTTCACTCGCGGTGGACAGCCGCTTTCGAAGATAACATCGGAACTCACGTCCAAGCCAGAAGAGGATGACTCTGACGAGATACGGGTACCCATCAGTTGCATACTATGCAAGGCTTTCGTTTCCACTGAAAAGGGACTTGAACTTGTGTGGGACGAAGATTTGAAAGCATTCGTCGTGGTCCATCAAAGACTAAAAGTGCGCATTCTTGACGGCCCTCTTGTCAAGATCGGAAATCAAGAAGTAAATTCGTGGTCTGGCTCACGTGAATGCCTGATCGTGTGGCTGCGTGGACCAGCAACCGATACCAGCAGCGGTCAGATCGTCATCGAGTTCGATGACGAAGAGGGCCTGTCCGTCTGCTATAACGCCTTTCGTTCTCTCAACGAGTCGCTGAAATACAATCGTGTCGCCACCGACACTCTTGTGCGTATTTTGACCAAGCAGAAGGTCGAGATGACCGAAGTGCACGAGAAAATGAAGAGTAAATCCACGGCAGCTCGGATCACACAAAATGGTCGGTTCAACTATCGACCTCGACAGTCTTTTGAAGAGGAGCAGATCGTATACGAAGGCGATGGTGAACCTCAGCCACGTCGACCCAAAGCTCGAGATCGCATGCAAGGGGCCAGTCTGGCCGAAGTGATCAACCATGACAGCTTCCAGGACTCGCAACAAATACACGAGCGGGATGGAGAGGTCTCAAGGCACTTTGACCAACCAAGGAGGACAACTCGTCAAACGAAGCCAGCACCAGTCGAAGAGCGGACACCATCTCCGGTCAGATGGACCCGAGTCAATAACCCTAAGCGATGGAGTCATCCCGTTGTCTATCCAGATCAAGGTCTGCGCCGTGTCACGGTCGACTTTGAGGATCTCGAACGCCTTGACGAGGGCGAGTTCTTGAACGACAACGTGGTCAATTTCGAACTACGGCAGATTGAGGAGAATATGGCGCCTGAGCATAAGGCGAAGGTGCACTTCTTCAACACGTATTTCTTCTCCTCAATGTCGCACAAGAACGGCAAGAAAGACTTCAACTACGAAGCAGTGGAGCGATGGACCAAAAAGACTGATCTCTTCAACATTCCATACGTTGTCGTACCCATCAACGTTGAGTTGCACTGGTTTGTCGCCATCATATGCAACTTGCCTGCCATTGAGCGCAAGTGTGGTGCCCTGGACGATCTCGACGAGGGTCTTGAAGAAAAGCCATCGGAGACGAATGGAGCCGAGCAGCCTGATGCCAAAGAGAGTGGTGCAGAGCCTGATGCTCAAGTCGAAGCAAATTCATCTGTTAGAGCTGCCGACAGTCCAGCAGGCGACGTTTTCGATTTTGGCGACGATGGCAAAGTAGCTGCCACTCAAGCCAACGACTTAGACGACGCTGCCTCCGACAGTCGGCCGAGCACCGCGAAAAGCAAGAAAACAAAGAAGAAAGGACCCAATCTACGCAAGTATGACACCCGACAGCCGATCATCATGTCCCTGGACTCCTTCGCAATTCAAAGATCAGCCGAGATCAAATACTTGAAGCTGTACGTAAGTGCAGAAGCCAAAACCAAACGTGGCATTTCGTTGGAACCGGGCACCCTCCAAGGCATGTCCGCGAAGGGCATTCCAGAGCAACCCAACTTCTGTGATTGTGGTGTGTACTTGCTGGGCTACGTCGCCGAATTCGCCAAGGATCCTGACACCTTTGTCAAGAAGGTCTTAACCAGAGAGATGGACCGTGAGAACGACTTTGCCAGTTTTGATGCTTCTGCCAAGAGAGTCGAGATCCGTGAAAAACTGCTGAACCTTCAGACCGAGCAAGACGCTGAGCGGCGAGCACAGAAGAAGGCAAAGGCTGCTGCAAAGGCCGGCCAGACTCCAAAGACTCAGAACACGTCAGCCGCGGCATCAGGCAAATCGGTTGCCCCGGCTTCCACCATTCAGAAGTCGGGCACACAGTCTAACGTCAAAAAGGCTCCACCGAGTATGCCTCGATCGTCGCTTTGCCCTCCAGCGAACGGCGAGCGCTCAAAGAAGCTTGCACGTGACAATGATAGCGAAGAGCTAGAAGTGGAGCCACCAAGTTTTGTCGGCAAGGGCAAGGAAGACACCTCTCTAGGCTCGTCCGGGGTGCAAACGCCAGCTGTCCAAGATGATGACGATGAGGCCGAAGATGAGATGTTGATGGGCCAAGTGGAATCTGGAGGTGCAAATCGACATCTCTCCAAGGCCGCCACACCACGGCAGCAGCAACATCCACCGTCTGATGTATACAATCGCGATCTTCCAATCGCTTCCGGTGGTCGACGAAGCGACCTCGTGAGCCCCTTGGCAGGCTTGGAGCAATGGGCGACGAACGGGGAAACCAATGGTGTCCAAGGAGACGGGCCTGAGATCATCGACCTCGGCGACGAGGAGCATGAGAATGCCACAGTGGAGATACCTGACTCGCAAGAGGTCTCACAGCCTGCGACTAAAGGCAGTCGCAGGCGCATGCGGTTTTAGTCGGTACGACGGGATGATGCTGAGGCGGTTTGCGCTGAAAAGGAAGCAAACTGCATGTGTTTGTTTGGAATTGTGATTTTAAGATACCACTATAAGCGAAAATGATTATATCAAATTCATGTCTAGATCTATCGCTCCATTCTCAAAGTCACACACCCCCGGACGCCTCGCTGACAGTCAACACGCTCAATCATACACCGTTCAAACGGCATTCTTCTTGATCTCATTGAGCGCGTTCGTAATATGCCCATTCGCACCTCTCCCACCCGTCCCATCCTTCCGCTCCCCAGAAGCAGCAACCGCCTCATCGACCTCTGCAGAAAGAAAGAGAAAACGTCAGCCAATCTCTCGTAAAAAAACAAACCAACTAACCAAGAGTCGAAGGCCTACCAGCATACTCCCCCTCGCCCTCCTCCCCAACCCAAAACCTCATCTTCTCCCGCTTAAACTCCTCGAAATCCCACTCCCCCTCCTCCAAGTTTTCCTCCCCGGCAATCCAGATGTACGTCTCCGCTTCGACTTCCTTCCCGTCGTCTCCGACTTTGACGCGGACTTTCTGCCGTGAGTATTCGCCGCCTTCGAAGATGTCTAGACGCCAGATGTCCGCGGCTGTTAGGCCGGTTACGTAGGTTCCGCGGACGGTGGATGTGGGGTGCGGGAGGATGGCGGGGTAGTCGGCGTGCCGGACGCGGTGGCGTCGGTGTGAGGGGAGGAGGGCTGGGGTCGTGGTGAGGTTGTGTGGGTACGTTGGATCTGGCGTACCGTGGACTACGCGGTGCAGGACCGAGGGCGCCATGAGGGTGCCGTAGAAGAAGGCGGTGTGGGTGTCGTTGGATTTGGTGGTGGTGGACATCTTGGGCTGTTGTCGGGATGGTCTTGGTGACTTTGGAGCTTCTTCGATGGGACGGAGTTCTTGCGATGATCGGACGAGTTGGGTTTGATCAGATGATCTGTTTCGGTGTTCAAGCTTCTCCGGTATGATTTCTTATGCTTGGCCGGTGAGTGGTTGAATGAAAGAACCGAGGCGGTATTGATGGATAGAGAAGAGTGCCTGCGACCAGGCCTGGCTTGATATATTTCCTGCTCGACGCTGGTGTGGCTTCCAGTGAAGTCCAGGTGTCTCAAGATGTTTGCTTCTAGTCTTTCAATGTTTGCTTCTAGTCTTTCAATGTTTGCTTCTAGTCTTTCAATGTTTGCTCCTAGCCTTTCAATGTCTTATAATCATTTCCTCTGTCTATCGGGGATAGAGGTGAAGTCGATAGGGCAGACCAGGATCTCCATGCCGCCAAACAGAATTGAGCCGCAACGGCGACGGGCCGGCGCCAGATTGCCGATCACAAGGAGATCCAGCAGACGACGACTCCTGGATGGGCTGGAACTTGTCCTCTTCCTCCTCCCTTTCCATATCGACTTCAGCCTTGTCTCATCGTTGCAGTTCACTTCGATCGTTGTTGTTTCTTTCCTTCCGACTTGGGCGTGCTCTTTCCGTGCAATGCGGACGTGAGAGGCAAGATTATTCTTCATTCCTTCCGCGTGCTTCCGCTCTCCGGCCTGCGCGTCGACACCGCTGCGTAAGTCATGTCCCTCTTCGTTGCAATCTCACATCCATATACACACACTCGCTGGCAAGAATTTTCACGGGCGGCGACATGGCGAAATCACAGGATGAAGTCGACCCTGGCTGGTGGAGCGTCGTATCGACGACTCTGTCGCAGATAAGCTTTTCACTCCCCACCAACCTGGCAGAGCAAGACCACTCTCGTACTTGGCAAAGATGCGGATTGAGACTGACATTTCATTGCAGGACTATGAATCTCGTCAAATACACCATCACGCATATTGCGCCTGTCTTCATCGTTACGTCGCCGGTGACGTCCTACGGAGATCAGATATGGTCGATGAACCGGAATCGCTCGTCGGCGGGCTTTTCGCTCGATATTCCCCTCATCATGCTGGTGGCGTCCATTCTCAAGTGGGTAGTTCGACACGTCAAGACCGGCAAGCTGGATTGGTCATGAGTATGAGTAGCTGATGATTACAGGGTCTTTTACTGGTTTGGGGCCCGCTACGACTTTCCTCTGCTCATCCAGGCTTCGGTCATGATAGTGGTGCAAGTGGTACTGCTCCACATCGCGCTCATCTACCGACCACCTTTTGGAGCGCAGCACAGTCTCAACAAGCCTTTTGCGGGAGCTTCGGAAGGTGATGATCTCGTGAGCAGGCCTTATAACTTCTGGCAGTGGAGAAGTCGACGACCTTATTGGCAGTTCCTTGCTTACTTCACCGTGACCTTGGCGGCGCTGCAATTCCTCGTCGGGACCAACGAACTTTACATCGGGATCCAAGGATACGTGGCCTTAGGCGTCGAGGCCGTTCTGCCAATCCCACAGATTCTAGAGAACCACAAGAGCCGATCCTGCAAGGGCTTCCGATTGAGCGTGCTGGTCAACTGGTTGATTGGCGATGCTTTCAAGATGACCTATTTCTTCTTGTCTGAGGGTGGAGTGCCTTGGGCTTTTAAGCTTTGCGGCCTTTTCCAAGCTGCCTGTGATTGTTACCTTGGCGTTCAATACTGGATGTATGGCGAAGGGGAGAGTGTGATGAATGGAGAAGAGAAAGACCCAAGACTTGCTTGAGCTGGAGTGCATCGATGCATCCTCACCGCCGACCTCTTACTGCCTGCCCGGAGGACTCCACTCACAGGATTGCAAGAAAATGAGGACGAGCATTAGGACCGGCTGGACGACACCTCATATACATCGCAGAAGCGCTTGAATTTTTTTAATTGGTCAGATCACAAGATTTGGTGGTCATCACGAATCAGCAAGCGGACACTTGAACCGCGTCCTCCGGCCAGTCCCTCGATTTGGTTCTGGTATTGCTGGCCCGTGCGGATAGCCCCGAGAGTCTTAGAAAAGGACGACAGCCAGCCAATATAGCGAAAACCTATTACCATCAGCAGGAATGGTCATCTCTACGCCCCCATCAAACCCCTCGACATGGTCAATTCCAGCGCTCGTAGCGGCAATGTCTCCGCATTGTCGACTGGTCTGATGCCTCCTCTTCCCAAGCGTTCACGACAAGACTAGAACGTCATCTGTTGAGGAGATATCGTTCCGGCGACCTGGATTCTACGACCGTCGTCCGTGGTATGAATGTGAGGAGAAGCTGTACATACTCGATCCATGACCAAATTTCATCTCGAGGAGATGCTGTCTTGCTCTGACGCGAAATCTGCGGCATCGTGCGGGAATCAAGCACTCGTCTTCCTCTCGCACTTTGTCAGTATCACTTCTCTACTTCTGCTTCGCTGGTTTCACCCTTATAAAGCCTCTTGGCCACCGATTTTCTTGCTTTCAACTACCATCACGCCCCTCTATTCCGCCAGTCACCTGACTCTTAATCATCAAGATCTTATCATCCTGCGTTCGTACCTGCTCAAAGTCGGGACCACTTCGAGGCCTTTCCTTAGTCGTGAGCTGTTCAACAGGTGGTGCTTGCCACTACGATGGACTCCTCTTTCTCCGGCGACTTCATCGAAGCGTACTCAGCAGCGACGATGCCCACGAATCTGGCCCCCAGTCTCTTCGATCTCGACGGCATGCCATTCGATTTCCTTCAAGAGGTACAGTTACTCAGCATCAAGCTGAGTCCTACACCTTTACTGAGCAATTCACAGACTCCGTTATTCATGGCTGAAGAACAGCAAGGCCCTCGTGAGACGAACATGTCTTCACACCGCGGCACCATGATCAATTCCGAAGCACAGCAGCAACTTCCTACTACACAAGTCCAGGCTTTGACCCCTTTCGCCGACAACAGCACCACCCAGGCCACTGCTGACAACTATGGTTTCGTCAACTATGGCATGGCAAGCCTGAGCGAGCATGCTCGCAACGTCGCCGCCCTCATGGGCAGAGCTCAGACGTCGAACATGAGACAAAGTGTCTCCGGAGCTGAGGTCTTCCAAGACCAGATGGTGGGTACGTACTTGGTCATCTCCTTCTTTCTATCCCCTGCCCTGCTGCCCTACCCACCTTGCGCGCTGTCTTCCTGGGGATCGAGATCTGGATTACGAGGAGCGCTTCTTTCTGCTTTGGTCAAGTAGTAAGCCAGGGAAAGCTTTTAGGCTTAGGGTCGATGCATCAACATTCACTTGATCATGAACTAGTCATCACATGTGATTGCACCATCAGCAATGCCCTGAAAGGGACGTTGATCTTCTGATCCTTGGTCCTCTGAACCTTCAAACCATGGTCTTCCTATTACCATGCCTAGAAGTCAGCCTCGAACAACCATCGGCTTACATGCGATTCGATAAAAGGACTGGAGACTTGCTTCAAACACGAAGGAGGGATAAATCATCTTACTTTGATGATCATCGTACTACATCCGACTGGCCTCTGGCTTATTCACTTCACCAAGGCCACCTATGGACGATGTCGAAAGCCTTCTTATAGGGCCTGGACTTCCCTTGGACGTGTTTCTGCATCGACTTTTTCAACCCGGACTGGATATACCAAGGCCTCACTGGAAACAACATCAACAAACAACTCCAAAGGACCATCATCGACCAAGCCTCCTATCGTTGCATGGGGTGAGGTGACTAGCGGTTTTTCCCGAGAAAAGTACGCTGCCGAGTCCGATGCCGGAACCCCACTCTCGCTGGCTGGTCCTCGTCGCACAATCTAATCAGATCATCTCCATCCTCTCGCGCAGCTTCCTTTGCTCGCCGCCGCATCCGACATGACTTCTCCCGCGCAGACTGCTGATGAAAAGCCTGTAGTGCCACCGCTGAACACGCAACCACTCTCCGGCTGGCACCCTGCCCAACAACACCAGCACAACCCGTCACTGGGTGCGCTGGAGCAGCACGCCAGCCACTACGCCCACTCCCACGCCCATCCGGCCGGTCTCCCGCCGCAACTGCACCGCGGCAGCAGCGATGATATTCTCTCCCCGACGTCCACCTACCGCAACGAACGTGTCCCGATCGAGCGAGAGAAGCGCGGCAGCTTGGACCCCAGCATCAGCAGCCCCGAGGACTCGACACCCGGCAGCGACCAAGCCATGGTGGTTCAGCAGAGCGGTCCGATGAGTACATCGGTCACCGTCCCATCTCGTCCACGACCCGGCAGGAAGCCAATCCCACAAGAAGATGCAGCCGACAGGAGAAGACTGCAAAACCGCATTGCCCAGCGCAATTTCCGCGACAAGCGCCAGCAGAAGCTGCAAGAGGCACTTGTTGAGCTCGAGGACAAGAAGAAGCAATACCAGGCGGAAATTGCGGACATGAATCGTAGGATGGAAGAGAGCCGCAGAAGCACTCGTGAATTGGAGCAGAGATTGAATGCGCAAATTCAGTCTTTGGTCAAGCAGGCTGAATCGGCCGAGCAGCGGGCACTTCGAGCCGAGAAACGAAACCAGGAATTGGAGAAGCAATTGCAAGCCTCCAAGACGCAGCAACAGCAGCTCCCATCAATCGCAAACTTCCGTCCAGCTCAGCCTGCAACTACGCAGACTGGGAATCATATGAAAGATCTGTCGACGCCTCCAACGTCGGAGAATGGCATGGAGGTTGACTTCACGAACTTCGGCCGACCCACCGGATCCGGCTATGGCCTGCACCAGACTATGACCAACGACAGCAATCAGATGGACTATCAGACAGGGGATCATTGTGGGTTCTGTACCGATTTGCAAAACTGCGCGTGTGCTCAGGAAAAGGCTGAGGCCGCCGCGGAGAAGCCGGTGCCCGTCAGTCTGCCAGGTAGCTGCGATCAATGCCGTGCCGACCCAGTGCGTGCTCAGGCCTGCAGAGACATGGCTGCATCGACTCAGATCTCAGCACGTCCACCAACGACAGATGACGCTGCCATGACCGGGGTGACGACCACCACCAGCATGCCGCCACCGCCACGCCGTACTTGCGCCAGCATGGTTGACAGCTTCAACAAGTTCGGCGAGCGGACCTCGTCTATTGCCTCTCTGTTCGGGGGCGGGCGTCTTAACACCTATCCTGCACCGAATGGAGGCGGATATGAGTTCGAGGAGACTGAGGCAGCCCAAGTGCTGTCCAATCTCCACCGTCGTAGCACGAAGGCCGAGTCTCCACAGAGTCTTGCTGAGTCGGCCCAGGAGGAGCGCAGCCCTCGCACGCTCTAGATATGAATCAGCAGCATGCTTCCGGTGCGTCACTTACGGATAGAGTGTCTATGGGGTAAAAAGGGCAATCCGTTGGACATGGGAGGAAAACGCAGTCGAATGCAACTACTAGACGATGATGATCATTATGGGAGGGGAGCAAAGCAAGCAAGGCGTTTTGGAGGGCAGTTGGAGGGATGACGATGAGTCTGAGCCCTTTGTGGCTCCCAAACGCTCCTCCCAAAGTGTTTTCTTATTATTGATACCACTTGAATCGAATGACCAACGTTGGGTTGGCTTTACGATACGGTCCTTACTCATACAGTAAGGCTTGGCACATACTCTCATTCACCGAAGCCCTCATATCCAAGGGGTAGGGTTACAGATTGTGCATCAAAAGTAGATGCCGGTGCAGGTGTTGTCGTACCACGACAATTCATGATTTCCTATTTTGTTAATCCGACGGCGACTCGAGTTGGAAGCAAATGCCGAGACGAACCAACGCAGTTCTCTCCGCCTTGGTATCAATCGTGTCGCTCTCCCGACTCCTCCAACAAAATCATCATGGCCCTGAAGGATCCGACATCCATCACCTACAGGAAAACGAGCGGCATCAGCCGTCTATCAATGTCGCCGACGCCCTAAGCAAGAACGCGCTGCGGGATCGGTCGCGCATGCCAGATGCGTGGAAGCCGAACGTGGAAGGAGTGGTCGATGTGGTTTAGACTTCCAAACTCTATCTGCTGACTGTACACCTACATTCGCTGTGAACATGAAGGATTCCGCACGCCCTGAAGCATGACTAACCACCCTCGATGAACTGTTCAGATTTTCGGCGCCGTGAATCCTCTGAGGCTGGCCTAGTGGCTGGGGGCTGGCTGCGTTGGCCGACGACAGACACATGGCATGAAGGATCTGGTCTTTTCTTCATTTCCGGCCGACGCGGTTCGCGACACATGGGAGAGCCTTGTCATCGCTGCATCTCGCTGTTCGTACAGCTGATTAGGGAGGGGATCGACTTGGTCCGTCACGGCACGGGATACGCTTTTGTTCCTGGAGCCGGGGGAGGGTTCTTGGGGAGGGCATTTACGCCGAGATGCGACGGAAAGGGTTGGTTTACACGAATCTGAAGGGTCCTCGATCTATCCAGATAAACAATCTGGATGCCCGCTGACGTCGAGCTGTGTGGTGAGATGTTCTCGTCATACCGACACGTGCGAGCAGGGCTGAGAAGGGGCTTTGTCAATCGACACACTTGCCTGAATAGGCTGTGAAGGGCGCTATTATCGAGGCCTGTGGGGCTATCCAGCGCCAACTCTAAACATGGCTGTGTCCTTACCCGGAATACTGGTCTGGCACGTTGCGGGTGCCCTACTATCTGCATGTCTTCCTGCGTCGCCCACCAGTCATGCATACTCAGGCATGACGGCCTCTTGGATAACAGTGTTCGAGGCTAGGGTGATGCTTCGAGTGGCGATGCCAACAGAAAGACCGGTGTGCTTCGAATCGGTGTTACGGACGATACTTCTGGGCCCGACCAGAGGTTAGTTCTACAGGCTGGATACGATGGACAGCTGATCACCACCTGTACCATCGCTGGGCATTGCGGTATGCCCTATCGCCGAGGTGGGTTTCTGGGCAAAGGTGTTACGGACGAACGAATCACCTCTTTCGTGCGAAGCCATGGACAGAGCGATTTCCGCAGCACAAGGCAGCCTCGTTTCACCACGCAGCAGGATGACATGTTGTCGTATCTAAGCATACGCTCAACCATGACCATTGGCCTCTGCGAGGAAAAAGGATCATCAACCAACGCGCCACACTCCCTTCTCCAACGATCCCTACCGTACTACCGAATCCTTCAGCACGCTGCTTGTGGGCTCCCGGGACCGACACCATCGCAGAAGATTGCCCAGAGTCGGCTTGCCGCAGGCAGAGCGCTCTGGCGGAAAGATCAATACGCTGGCTCAGCTCGGTGCCCTACTTGCGTTAAAGCTGCTCCACCCTGGCCACGCCCTAGATCCCCTACTGGAAACCTTATTCCTGCTAGTGGCCTGGAACCTGGAGCCGCAATACCATGATAAATCAGCACAGCACGGGACTGTTGTGTGTTAGGTAAGGATTCTTGTTTGGGCCGGGCTGTTCCCGCTTTCTCTCCATATATCCAGCGTGACGGAGCCACCACGGATGCCGGATCTCGTGGAGCGTTATTCACTTACTTTTCACATGACACGTTCGATCGATCAAGATGCCTGCTAATACAACCTCGATCAAGCCTTCAAAGCACGTCTGTCCGGATTGTGGACGTCCTTATAAGGCTGCTGAGACGCTCAATCGACATCGAAAGAACCATTCAGAGACATCGCAGTACGCTTGTTCGATTTGCGATGCAGCGTTCAAACGGAAGGACCTCCTCGATCGACATGTTCAGATTCACTCCGGTGGGAAGCCCGCGGCAAGTCGAAATCGCAGCCATCGCGCGTGCGATCGATGTTCGAGACTCAAGACGAGATGTGACAATTTGACGCCCTGTACGAGGTGTTCGAAGGGCAGTCATGAATGCAGTTACAAGCAGCTGCGAAGTAGGGCGCGTACCGATCGATCGTCAGCGAGCACCACCTCCTCAATACACAGCAGTCCTCACATGACGGCCGAGGAGCTCAGTAGCATTGTGGGCACGCCTGAGGAGATTAGCACGTTCGATTCGAATCAGTCGTGGGCTGGTAACGATGGCATGGTGGATAGCCTCTGGTTGCAGGATCCCGCGTGGGAGTGGCCTCCGATGGTGCCAAACATGTCGGCGATGGAATCTGAACCCAGCTCACTACGATCGACTCTACTGCCTCACGTCAAAGACACCATCGAGCCGACCTTCGCCTTGGACCCAGCGCTCCATATTGGCAAAACGCAAGCGCCCACCTCCTCGCCCATACCCTCCGGCACCATGTACGACGACGTGTCGTTTGACGGCAGCAACAGCATGCCGTGGTACATGTGCCAAAACACGCATTTCGACAACATACCAGTGAGCAACCACCAAAACCCCTCCACATCCTCCTCATCAGCGGCTGACCATCCTCGCCGCGCGCCCAGATCCCAGTCTACACCAACCCCAACATCCAACACACCCACGCTGCTTGTTGGTGAAGCCGCGCGCATCGCCCAAGAGACCACCATCAGAGAACTCGTCGCGCTCTGCATTACAACCTCCACAACCGGAACTCGTTCTGAACCCCCGAACAAATGGTTCTGGCACGCCATGTCCTCCAAACTCGAACTCGCCTTCAACCTCTCCGGCCCCAACCCCTCACGCGACGCAACCGTCTTCGAACACTTCACGTCGCTCTTCGAAAAATTCTTCTTCGTCGTCGGGTTTCCCACCCCTTCCAACAATTCTCCGCCGCACCTCCACCTCGTCATGGCAGCGATAGGAGCCGCATACGCGGGCCCGAAAGCGGAGGCGTTCCATGCGCGGGTCATGGACGCGTTGATCCCGGCGTTGGTCGATGTGGCTCTGCAAGGATCTTCTTCTTCAATGACGAGAGAGGGCATGTTCTACTTGGTGCAAAGTCTCGCGCTCCTACAGACCGCGATGCTTTATTTCGGGGACCGCGGGGCTTTAGATGTCGCTGTGGGGATGTCCAAACTCCTCGTCGGGATGAGCAGACGCATCTGCTTGTTCGACGAGGAGCAGGAGGGACATGGGGCTTCGATGACGGCGAGGTTAAAAGTTGCGTATGGTGTGGCGAGGCTGGATGCTTTGGTGGCTTGTTTGTTTGGGACGGAGAGGTTGTTGATGGAGGGGGAGAGGGGTGGGAAGGGGAAGGAGGATGTGATTGATAGGTTGTTGAGGAAGGCTGCTGGGAGTGCGGCGGTGAAGGTGGGTGTTTCGGATGATCATTGGGAGGCGACGTGGATGGGTTCGTCGCCTTGATGTTCGATTGAGCAGAGCAAGAGGCTTGTATGAGTAGGAGGGTCATGGTCATCGAAGGATACCATCCATTCAAATCCTTCTTGCCATCTAGTCCAACCACCCCTCGCAAAGCGATCTAAGTCTACAATCACCCCCAAATCGCATCCTTACTCCTCCCCCCACCACCCACATCCGGCGGCGTCGTCAACGTATAACTCCACGTCTCCGCCCCATCCACAAACAACCGATAATGCAACACGCTCTGATCGCTCGTGCTCGGATTCGAAATACTCACCGCTCCGAACTTACTATTGCCATCGGGTAGATACTTGATGCACACGTCCGAGACGTAGTCCTCTGAGGTTGATTGTTCGGAGTATGTCCTGATGGGAAGGTAGAACATATTCAACGGCGAGACGCTGAATTCATGGACCGTCGCGCTGAGGGGCCAGCGTTTGCGGCGGGTTTTGAGAGGAGCTGCTGGGTTGGTGTTGGTATTGAGCAGGTTCGCTACGCCGGCGCCTGTCAGGCCCAGCCCGACGATCTCCTCTTTGCCGTCGGGTGGTGGAGGGAAGGCCGTGGCTGCGAACTCGTGTCTATCACCGGAGAGGATGATGACGCCGACCCCGCCGCGCAGGCCGACGTCCCACATTGCTTCGAGGATGATTTGCCGCTCGCCTAGGTAGCCTCGCCAGGTGTCTTGGGCGCCGAACCACCAGTTCTTCGTGAAGGGGATGGAGGAGACGAGGATTTTCCATTTGACGCCGGAAGGTTCGGGGCGTTTGAGCCAGGCGAGGAGGTCGGAGAGTTGTTGGGCGCCGAGCATGGTTTTTGTGGCGTCGCCGGTGATGGGGTCTGAGCCGTTGGTTTGGTCGTTGGGCGAGCGATAGCGGCGAGTGTCGAGCATGAAGAATGTTGCTGGACCTTGAGTGAAGGAGAAGTAGGTCTCGCCTTTGCGTGCAGATGGTGGGTTCGCCGCGACGTGGTAGTGCTCGTAGGGGTCGTTTGCGGCTGGGAAGAAGCTGGTGGTGTTGCCGTCCCAATCGTTTTGGATTTCGTGATCGTCGTAAACATGGATCCAGGGGAGGTCTTGGGCGGCAGCTGGCCAGTCTGGGCTGGAGTAGACCTGTCTGTACTCGCGGCGGTAGTCTTCGAGCAGGGCACCGTGTCGATGAGGCACGTCAATGTAGATGAAGTCGCCTAAGAAGAGCATAAACTGTGCCTTGATGTTTTTCATCGCTTGAGCGAAGTGCCTCAGCCCTGGGGCGGATAGCGGGTTTCTGAAGGGAACGTAAGGGAAGTTCAGTTTCAAGCAAGAGGAGTGGACAAAAGTGAATTGGTTCTTGTTCGACTCGCGAGCCGAGATTTGTCCAATCCGTGGAGCAGTCGTGAAGTAGCCCGTATAATTGTTCACAGAGTATTGATACTTCGTGTCAGATTTGAGGCCAGTAATCGAAAAGGTACCCGTAAAGTCAGTTCGATCGTCCAGCCAGTCGATACGGCCTCCAAATTTCCAGGCCGTGTCCGGCAATGCAGAGCCCACCGTAGTCCAGAGTGGCGCATCCGCATATCGGTATGATAGGAACACGGGGTATTTGTGTGCATCTGGCTCTCTGACCAGAAGCTTGGCTGAAGAATCGGAGACGTAGCCAACGCGGGCCATGGAAAGGTCGTGCGAAGGGTAGAAGTACGTCGTCCTGTAGACCAGATCAAAGGTCATGGCCACGAGAGCCGCATTGATCAGAAACGTGAAAGCACTCCATAACGAGCTGCTTGGGCTCGGCAACCCCGTCAAGAGTGTCTTGAGTATCTCCGGATCTCTCTTTTCGACTTCAATGTCCTCTTCCACCACCAGCTCTTTGCCTGGGTCTGTTGCGCCATTGGCATACCGAGGATCGAGATCCACGGCATCATTCGGCCTCACATCCCTCGTACGAACCTTGACATCGTCGGCGACCACTTCATACGGGGGCGTTTGGGAGGATGTGTAGAAGAAGGTCGGGACGTAGACGGCGAAAAAGGCGAAGACAAGAGGTGGGAAGTGCTGGGTATTGTGAGCTCGGATGTAATCGATTGTGTGCTTCTACGGAAGACTGACATGGCCTGGGATCTATCCAACTGTCAGCTTGGTCTCGTGAGGTGTCATTGTCGCCGGCGCGAAGCGTCGAAAGGTGATGTTGACGTACCCATCGCAAGAAGATCCATGCACTGAGCCTGAGCAGAAGCGAGCTGCCCGCAGCCGCGTACTTGGCTCCTTGACTGAGCAAATCGGCCTCCATTGCTCTTTGGTATTATCACTGCATGTTGATGAACAGGTCAGACATGTTGTTCCTCTTAGAACAATGTCATTCCTGTTTAGCGAGTGGGTCTGGCGACTACGCGAAGTCCAACGTCATGGCAACGTCGAATCAGCTCGAGGAGATTACACACGCATCCTCATGCATTCCGGCGGCCATGGAAGAGTAACAACACTCGTCTGTGCTACAACATCGTGAAGGCGGCTGTATAACACCGCTTGCAAAGTTGCACCAATTCCTTGGGTATTCAGGGCCCATCCGGTGAGTTGTTGTTCCACGGACTGGACGAATCTCTCCGAAGCCAAAGCTGTAAAAACAAGTGAAGTATCTCCCATATATTCCTCCTCAATACGTCCATCAAGGTGCCCATATCTCACTATAGATCCACACCATCTCCATCATGTCTTCCTCAGACGCCCCTGCAGAAGCACCTTTCCCTCTCGAGGAAACCGGCGCCTGGGGCCACTATGACCTCCACTGCCACTGCGGCGCCGTCCGCTACACCATGAAGATGTCCCCACCGCTTTTCGAGGAAGAATCGCAAGGGAAGGGGGTCTGGAAAGTCAACGAGTGCGACTGCTCCTGGTGCGAGAGGAATGGGAGTTTGGCGGTTCATCCTTTGGAGGAGAATGTCACTTGGACGAGAGGCGTGGAGCATCTTTCCAAGTACTCGTTTGGGAATAAGAATGTCGAGCATTTGTTTTGTAGCAAGTGTGGGAGTTTTGTGGGATCGGATTCTGGGGCGATGTTCAAGAAGATGGGAAGTGCGCCGAGGACGGTTGTTAATGTAAGTGAGATGTTGGTGAGAGCGGCGAAGAGGCTTAGGCGCTGATATTGTGACTCTAGGTGCGAATGCTGAAGGACTTTGACCGGAAGAAGTTGACGATCAAGAGGGTCGAGTTCATGAAGCAAATGCCGCCCAAATACTCGATCGATGATTAAGCCACGAGGCCAGCGAGCATTGCATAGAAGTCACCACTCATGTAGAAGTACGAAAGCCTCTCAACTCCCATCTCGAACATCTCCTCAAGCAACGGCGGCGTACCTGAAAGGCACGACGTCGAAGCTGCCCGCCTGGCTCAAGTCTCGGAACGTCTGGTATGTCCCAGTCTGCCTCCCACGCCAATAGGTCACCGTGCTACCACTACAGCCAGCGTCAGCAAATCCACACGCATCGCTCCAGCAAATCACTCACCCGCTCGCCCGATCATTATACCCCATCTCAACCACCATCCTCGTCTCGACATTCGGCCTTCTGGGCCTTAACTCCACAAAAGCCTTCACGCTCTGCACGCCCTCGAGGTTGCCACGATTGACGCTGCAGTTGCGGAACTCCTTGCTCGCACGCGGGACGTTGTCGGCCACGCAGGTGGCCATGAAGCCGGGGATTTCGCCTCGTCGGCCGGCCTCGACGACGATTTGGTAGTGGCAGACGCCGTTGGCGCAGCGGGCTTGGAATTGTGAGATGTGCCATGTGTAGTCTGCTTGCCGGGTGTCGAGGGCGAGGTCGGGGTCGGGGTCGGTGGGTGTTGCGGTGGTGAAGAAGAGGGAAAAGAGGAGGAGTGTGAGGGTTGTGAGGATGGGTGAAAGCATCTTGGCAATAGAAATCGGGCAAATTGTATGCTGAGGGATTTTCCGCTGTCGATTAGTTTCTTGGGCAATGGGAGTAGAGACTGCGGTACTGAGGCCCTATATATGTCTTCGAAGATTCGATGATGGACAGGATGAAACAAATGCTTCTGTAAGACCTGGAAGATGACCTCCCGGGCTTTCCTTCCATGAATGACATGACACCCACCTCGCCACAAGGACACGTCGATACGAGTGCTTCTTGGGATGTGACACAAGGTGTCGTTGCATGCTATGGAAGATGAAGGCTAGGCGAGGTGATTCGAGACCCATTATAGACACTGACAGCTAGGGTAACGTTGTTGCAAGGATGCTTTGCTTGGGTCTAGGATAGGTGAGAAATCGATTTAGATTCGGTAAGAGAGGAAATCCGAGCCGCAAGTCATCTTTCGAGTCTGGAGCATCCATCTCCGCATCATGAGAGCGGCTTGGATTTCGCGAAAAGAACGCCGCCGAGGGGCTGTGTATTGTAGGTCTTTTAATCATTAATCTGGTTTCGTATTCATAACTTTTTGTTTCTGCATCATTAGGCTGGGATTGCCTTCAATCCGATTTGCATGCGTAACCGCTCGCGTCTCGCTTGCTCGCTGCCTGTTCGTTCTGTATCTAGCTGGCTCAATATCTCGTTGATTTGCACCACTGCTCAGGTCAGTGGCTGGTCCGCGCGAGAAGGTCACACTTGCACTCACATGTAAGCTTTTGGATGTCTTTAGCACTCTCCGGAAACTTCTCCAGAGCCTTGCCCGTCTTGATGGAGACCAAAGGTGTCAATTTACCCTCGGGATCCGTGATGTGCGAGTTTGCGACTCTCGCCACGTTGTTCGTGTTACTTGAATGATGATCAGTATCCGACTCAAATCGACACAACCCTGAACGTACATGGCCTTCTGTCTGATCTCGAGCTTCTCAATGGCTTTCACTGTATCGTCTTTGGCGGTAGCAACTGCACTGTCCCCAGCAAGCGATTCTGTCTTCTTCGCGGCTGGTACTGTCTTGGGTGGAGTAGTCTTGGGAGCCTGAGCTGCAGGCGTCTTTGCTGGTGTGGACATGGTGAATTCTGATTCTGTTTTGATTGGGAACACAAGAAACGATTGGAAGGTAACTCAACTTAATGCAACAGGAAGGCTGTGGCACTCCTCTGATCAAGGCACTTTATATGTATGCGGCCATCAGGTGAAACTGACCCTTTCTTCTGACGCAACGTGAGCGTCGAAGGCGATGGCGGTCGTCCAACTTTTGTGCCAATGGTGGCGTCATTCTTGACCCGCTTTTCCACGTGCGCTCCGGTGAAGCTGCAGTGCCTCAGCTTGGATCGACGAACAACACCTCCCTAGCAACAGGCAGTCAATCGGTTTGCAATCTTCAAGTCTCTCTACGTTCTCAACTCAACGACTTTCAAATACACCTTGGATAAAACCATCGCCAGTCGACAAAGCATCAGTCACGAGTTATGGTTCGCAACACCGCATCGATGCAGTCCCTCCGCGACAGCCTGGCCGATGTCTCCATCGCTCCACCAGCCTCGCCAGCAGAGCAACAGCAGCCTCCGCTAACGCCGTACCAAGTCCAACAACGTCTAGTCCAACCACAGACAATGCAGTTGTGTGGTAACGACGACTACACCAAGGCACTCATGACCAAGGTTGCAACTGGGCAGGCCACAGACGCCGAATTAGCTGCGTTCAACAAGCACGTCAACGAAGCTCGATCACTTCCGTCGATCCAAAACCTCCTCCAGCGAAGCCCGGAGTCCTCGTCGCCTCCTGCGACTACTCATCAACCCACTAGTGACCCTATCAGCTCAGGGCCAACGTACTGTTCAACCAAACTTGGAAAAAACCATGCCCTCATGGATTATGAGGCGCAGCTTAGGCTACTGGAACTGCAAAACGCTAAGCGCCACCAAATGGCAAGGGAAGAGATGGAGAGCGATGAGAGGACTGACTCGAGGGAGCGCAGAAGACAGGTGCTCATCGAGAAAGAGATGGAGCAATTCAACCACGGAACACCTTGGTCAACGTGGAAGAGAGACCACACTCGGCTCTTGCACGTCGAGCCCAGCACGTGCAGTCGTCATGAGAAGGATGAGTTTGAGCTTCTGTGGCAAAAGAATCTCGCTGAGCAGAGAGCGTCCCGGCGCAAATCGAAGGGTGGTTTGGCTGCAACTCTTGCTGCCAATGAGGCGAAACAAGACGAGGCGCTTCGCTTCAAGCAGGCCACTCGCGAGAATGCGGCCAAATACACCAAGCCATTCTGCGACTTCTTGACTGAGAATCCAACGGTCTTCCACTGCGTTGCGGCCATGAAGAAGGATTTGAAGGACTCCGGCTGGACAGAGCTATCGGAGAGAGAATCGTGGGACCTCAAACCCTGGGGCCACTACTTCGTCTCGCGCAACGACTCTTCCCTGATTGCGTTCGTCGTGGGCGCGAACTACGAACCTGGCAATGGAGCTGCGATCCTGGCTGGCCACGTCGATGCACTTACTGCCAAGTTGAAGCCGGTCTCGCAAGTCCCGAACAAGGCTGGCTACCTGCAGTTGGGTGTTGCTCCTTACGCTGGAGGCTTGAACAACACTTGGTTTGACCGGGACCTGGGCATTGGTGGCCGCGTCCACGTCAAGCAGGGTGACAAGATTGTGACCAAGCTTGTCAAATTGGACTGGCCCATTGCGAAGATTCCAACGTTGGCTCCTCACTTCGGCGCTGCAGCTCAAGGTCCTTTCAACCTCGAGACCAACATGGTGCCGATCATTGGTCTGGAGGGTACTGAATCAGCGACGACTAGGTCGTACGAACTTGCCGACCCATTCAGCCAGCCACCATTGCTCGGTGGTGCTAATGGACCCGTTGGCAGCTTCGTCCAGACGCAGCCACCCGCCCTCGTCAAGGCCATCACTGAGGCTCTTGATATTCGCAGCAGCCAGGACGGCACAATCGTCAACTGGGAGCTGGAACTCTTCGACGTGCAACCAGCCACCGTCGGAGGACTCTCCAAAGAATTCATCTACGCCGGCCGCATCGACGACAAGCTCTGCTCCTGGGCCGCCCTCCAAGCCCTGATCGAATCCCAAGTCTACGACACCCGGCACTCGTCCCTCATCAAAGTCGTCGGCCTCTTCGACGACGAAGAAATCGGCTCCCTCCTCCGCCAAGGCGCCCGCGGCAACTTCCTCCCCGCGACGCTCGAACGCGCCGTCGGCTCCCTCGCCGGCCACCACCCATCCTCCGACCTGATGGGCCGCACCTACGCCAATTCCTTCCTCGTCTCCTCCGACGTCACCCACGCCGTCAACCCCAACTTCCTCTCCGCATACCTCGAAAACCACGCGCCGCACCTCAACGTCGGCGTCGCCGTCGCCGCCGACTCCAACGGCCACATGACGACCGACTCCGTCTCGACCACCATCCTCAAACGCTGCGCGGACAAAGTCGGCGCGAACCTGCAGGTTTTCCAGATCCGGAACGATAGTCGGAGCGGTGGCACCGTGGGGCCGATGTTGTCGTCGGCGCTGGGGATTCGCGCGATTGATGCGGGACTGCCGCAGTTGAGTATGCATTCTATCCGGGCGACGACGGGCGCGTTGGATCCGGGGTTTGGGGTTTTGCTGTTTACGGGGTTTTTGAATGGGTTTGAGGGGGTTGATAGGGAGTTTCAGGATGAGAGTCGGTATTAGATAGGGGGTTGGATGTGTATGATACCCATTGAATCAGGAATGACATGTTGTTATGATCCTCGTCTCGTCTTGTAGATTAGAAAGTGCATGCGACTTGCAGAGTAGTCTGCTCGCGGCAGGACATTGGAGATGACAGTGGAGCTTGAGAGAAAGTGCACTCAAAGATCTGGCTATAACAGCTTTGCGTGATTTTCATTTCATTCATTCATAGCTAACTTCATCATCCCTTTGCGCTTTGATCTCCGAGGTAGCATCTCGGTAATGCCCTTCTCATGACTTGCTTCCCTTTCGATACACTTACATCATGCCCCTTGTGAACCCGTCACAGACATGCCACAAAACGCCCTATCGCTCTAAACATCGACGCCGTCGACGACCATGCCCTTGTTCCATTTGTAACACATCTTGCGAGCGACCTCTTCGGCCGCGTCGTCCGAGACCAGAGCTCCGACCAAGTACAGAGCCCCGTCGATGCCGGACGTGACGCCGCTGGTGGTGACGACGCGGAGACCGCCCAAGCGCAGGTTGGCGCGCTTGAGGACGCTCTCGCGGCGGTGGTTGCTCAGCTTGAGACTCATGCTGCCCTTGCGAGCGGCGGAGGGACGACGGCCGTTGGTGGGGCTGGTTCCGTTGGTGCCCTCCTGGATGGCGGGCATGCCGCCGGAGCTCTTGCGGCGCTTGTGTTCCTTCAGCTCCTTCTTGTTCAAGACGTACGGGTTGCTGTCTTCGTCGTCGCCGAGGTCGAAGCGGAGGTTGTTGACGACGTAGCGCTCCTCGACGACGTCGCAGCGGTCGGCCATGTCGCGCTGGGCGGCGTTGGAGCAGATGATCTCGAACTTGGTGACGTAGTCGGGGTGGGTGGTGGCTGTGAGGCCGGAGAGGATGCCCGTCTCGCCGAGGAAGAGGGCGCCGGTGCAGACGGACATGAGGGTGCGCTCTTTGGCGGGGTTCTTCTTCTGCAACTCGGCGAAGGCCTTGATGAGTGGCATCGGCTGGCTCTTGGACTTGAGCACGCCGTCGCTGCTGCCGCCGGGGATGACGAGGACGTCGATCTCGTTGAGACGCTTCATGGCCTCGGCGTAGTCGATGTGGGCGCGGAAACCAGCGCCTTGGCCGGTGACGACGTACTCCGACGGACCCGCGAAGATGGTGCGGAAGGCCTTGGACTCTGTGTAGTGTCAGCGTATCGATACACGCATTGCTGAAGGACGTTTCAGGCTTTACCTGGGTTCTTGGGGTCGTGCTGAGCCTGGCCAAAGACCTCCAAGGGGCCAGCGGCGTCCATGGAGTCCATCTTGTCATGGAGGGTGATGAGGACCTTGAGAGGCTCGATGTAGCCCTCAGGTTCCTCGACGATTGCACTCATCTTGCCGGTATTGTGTGTGGGGAATAGTTTGGTGGTGGTTGGGGGTGGTGAAGAGACTTCAGGAGGGAGGTGAGCTGAGGGTCAGCGGGCGGGTTGTAGCTTTGTACCGGGCGTGCTGGTCTCACGATGCGGTGGCTTGTCCTCAATGCCACCAGTGACGAGACCTCGCGTGACTTCCCCCGCGCCTTCCCCAGATTTAAACCCTTGCGCTAAGAACGTCGCTTCCACGACCAATCACAATAGTCTTGCTCCTTGCTCTCCCTGAGCACGTTCCTCACCGTGGTTGCGCCGGCGACGACGTGGTCTTTCGAATCATCAACACGAGACCTCGCAGCACTTTTCATCTATCAGACGCGCAGTGGGCCGGCCTAGTCGAAGTGGTCGCATGACCTTGCCAGTCTGATCACGCGACAAAGCTGCCCATCACGCGTCCGCGGGCTCGAGTCAAAGGAAGCTGATTTCCATCGAGGACACGCATCTTGATGGCATGTCAACAAACCAGTCGATCCAAGAGCCTTCATCAATACTATCACAGTTGTTATACCTGCAAGACTGCAGCTTCTGACATGCCACCCACAGACACCCACGAGCGAACCCAGCAGATCAAGCACGCCGCCAAACGCGATAAGGACGGGGTCTCAGTCGACCACTGGACGCTTTTCAGGAGGGACGATGTCGACAAGTGAAGCATTTGAAGGCGGAAGGCTACAATCTTCCAAACGACGTCCAGATCACGTGCAGCGGTGCTACAGTGCGGGGGCCACAGCGATGCCTTATCTCGCTCAAAGCTTGCCGGCAGCGGCGACGTCGATCATCGCAGACATTCGCCCTGCTGCAGGTCCAGAGGTCGGAAAAGCGCCCTAGATTGCTTTCAGGTGAGTAGGTACCGGCCCGAGGGTATGGCAAGTTGTATATTCGCACTTCTTTCACCTTTCTTTTGTTGAGTCTCGCTATGTTTCGTCGTATCATTCTGGAAATAACATTGTCGCGCTGTTTAGCGACAACAGATTTTGTCAAGGATGGACGAGAAAGACGCACCAGTTGATCTTATTGTGGTGGGAGCAGGTAAGGTGTTTCAATGGCCTTCTACCCTCGGTGTTCTGCTCAAAGTGGAACATCTATCACTATTACTCCTAAGCCCTTTTAAGCAGCTTAGAGTGCGACCAACAGCGCAGTCGCCTATAACAAGCCGGAGAGATGGCAGTTCGATACGTTCCAATTTGAGCGGACCGAGGAGGGTAGTGTAGTAGCTTACGTCGATCAGGAATCGGAGGACTATGCGCTGCGAAGACGTATTTGGAGCTTGCGCCTGGAAGCAATGTCATTATCCTCGAAGCTGTGAGTTGAGAGGCTGGGCAAACATTCGCCATCAGCTAACATGCCGGTAGAGGAAGACACTGGGAGGCGTATGGGCCGAAGAGAATCTATACGAAGGCCTGAAGACGAACAACCTCTACGGGACTTATGAGTACTCCGACTACTACATGGACCCCAAGATCTACGACGTGAAAGAAGGCTGGCACATTCCCGGTAGAGTCATGTACGATTATTTGACAGACTATGCTCGGCATTTCGATATCCTACGATGTATCCATTACCTGACCACCGTCGACGAGATTGAGAAGCTGCAAGATGGATGGCTGCTTAGGACAAACTATGCCAATGGAAACGGATCCATGGAGAAGACGTACCGCAGTAAGAAGCTCATCATGTGCCACGGGCTTGCATCGCGACCAAATCCAGTGAATCTGCCCGGACACCAAAACTTCGATCGCCCAGTCTTCAATCACGGTGCCCTAAGACAACAAGGCGAAGCACTAGCCAACGATCCAAACGTCAAGTCAGTCACAGTAGTAGGGGCTTCAAAGATAGGATACGACGCAGTCTACATGTTCGCCACGCATGGCAAGAAAGTCGATTGGGTGGTGAGAAAGTCTGGAGGTGGACCAGTATGGATGAGCTCGCCATGGGTCAAGCTAGGGCCATGGACCGTAATGCTGGAGCATGTCGCGTGCATGCGCTTCTTCACTTGGTTTAGCCCTTGTATTTGGGGTTGCTATGACGGCTTTGGCTGGATACGGGGCTTCCTGGCTCGGACGCGGATTGGGAGATGGTTGACGGATAATCTGTGGGAGAAGATGCGGTTCGATGTGGTGGACTTTAACGGCTATAGAAAGGAGGAGCAGCTGAAGCATCTGGAGCCATTCGAGAGGTACGTTATATCATTTTCGCACTGTCACATTCTGCTGATGTACATCACAGTCTCTTCTGGTCCGCCCGTGTAGGCATCCTCAACTACGCATCCGACCCCCACGACCTCCTCCGCTCCGGCCAAGTGACCCTGCACAAAACCGACATAACCCTCTCCCCCAACGGCACCATCACCCACGACGACAACACAACCCACCAAACCGACGCCGTAATCCAAATCACCGGCTGGCAACTAACCCCAACAATCACCTGGTCACCCCCAGGCATCGACGCCTCCATCGGCATCCCCAGCAAAACCTACACGCCCTCCGAACTCGACTTCTGGGCCTCCCTCGACGCCCGCGCCGACGCGCACATCCTCCGCCAATTCCCCCGCCTCGCCCACCCTCCGGCGAGAAAACTCCCCTTCACCCAACCCATCACGCCCATGCGCCTCTATCGCGGGATCGCCCCGCCGGGCCTAACCGCCACGGGCGACCGCTCCCTCTGCTTCCTCAAAATGGTGCACTGCACCTCGAACCTGATCCTCGCAGAAACCCAAGCCCTCTGGACCTTCGCATACCTCTCCGGCAACCTCGCCATCAACGAGGCGGACGTGTACTGGCACACGGCGCTGACGAGCCGCTTCGGCGGGTGGAGGTATCCGTGGGGGTTCTCGCGGTGGTATCCGGAGTTTGTGTACGATGCTGTGCCGTATGCGGATATGTTGCTGGGGGATTTGGGGGTGCGGAGGCATAGGAAGGGCGGGTGGTGGAATTGGAGGGAGTGGTTTGAGGGGTATACGGTGCATGATTATAGGGGGATTAGAGGGGAGTGGGTGGAGAGGGAGAGGAGAAAGGGGAAGGATCCTCGTTCCGGTCAAAGTGGAACGGATGCAACTGCTGTCTCTCCGGCTTTTGACGAGCGACTGCGCTGCTGATTGGATCCTAAGCTGCTTAGACGGCTTAGCGGTAATGGGGATGGATAAATGTTCCACTTTCGGCGGAATACCCGGGGTAGAGCTCTGTTGATGGACAAGAATGAGAGAGAAAGGTATGAGAGGGGGAGGCGTTGGTGGTGGAGTTAGGTATTCAGATATGGCATATCGCGATAGTCTTTAACGCTCATGTCCAGTCAGTCTTAGACTATGCGGAATCAAAACCATGGATCATCGTCCTCATCCTCGTACCCGCCTCCCTGTCCGCCTTGGCCCTGACCACCTTGACCACCATACATGCCGCCATACGGATTCTGTCCGCCGCCGCCCATACCCCCATACATTCCTCCGTATGGATCTTGCTGCCCACCACCTTGGCCGCCCATAAGCTGAGCGAGCTGCTGCATGGCCATGCCGTCGGTCATAACCTGCTGCAGCGCAGCCATCATGCACATTTGGCACATGTTAGTGGATGTTGGAATTGTTTAGGTAGTGTGGTATGATGCGATGTGGATAGTTTTTGTAGGTGAGAGAGTGGTTGTGGGTTGGTGGGTGGTGTGGAGAGATTTGGAGTTGGTGCAGGGGTTGGAATGTTTTATGCGCTTTCAGTTAGCATCGATTAGAGAGTGAAGGGCGTTGATATGTAGGGAATGTTTGGAATTTGGAGAGCTTGATATATTCCTTGAATAGCAGCTGGTTGCTCGAGGCATTGATGATCGTTCTTGGAAGTGGTTTGTTCAATGCGAGGCAGTGATTGAAGTCAAGAGGGCGAACAGCTTGAAGATGTCGACAGGTCTCGAGAAGACAACGACAGCAAGCGGTCGAGCAAAAGACGGTAGAAATGAGAACGCGAGGAAGAAAGATCTACCATCGATTGAACATGCCTCCACTCATAAACGCCCATCACCACAAATCTCCAAAACGAAAATCCCCCTCACGCCCCACCCCAACTCGACCCCGGGCCCTTCCAAACCAGCAAAAGGAAAAGCCGCTCCGCGACCCTCCTTTGCCCCCAAGCCCGCCCTTCAAAGAACTGTATACTAGATGTGCCATCTCAGCATTGGACAGAGAACACTCGAAGGGCTACAATCCATCAGATTTAGCTTTCGTGTTGCTTTTGATACGTTGATGTTAGGTTCAAAGGGATATATAACCCTTTGAAACTCCGGCCGAAGTTCTGGCGGATGTTTGCCGGGGCGGTGTGTTGGGGTGACGTGGGCGTTTCTGTGGGGGGTTTTCTGGGAGCGATCTTTGTTCATGACCATCCACGCGTTTTGCATCATCTCCTACAGACTTGCTTATACCAGGTCATCGTGGTCTGGCTGAGTATTAGGTCGCGACATTGTGCGACAGGGACGAGTTGAGTCTGCGTGGCTTCCGATCCTCATTCTTGGAACAGAGTTCTTACGCTCAACAGCGATGCTTCCTAGCGCCCAAGTGCATTCGAACGTAATCCCAAGGTGTCTGCCATGATGCCTACACAAGATCTGGCATTTGCACTGAGGCCGGGATCGAGAAGAGATCCAGATCCAGGGCCGACTTAATACTTCTGGCCAATTGGTCCAAGTCAAAGCCGTTGGCAATGATGTTTAATTCTTTCACTCTTAATCTCTTTGTTCTTTCTCTTTGTCTTCATTTTGCTGGAGCATGTCAACACTCATGTTGCATATGGACACCCTACATATCCCAATTGATTCTATGCACCAGGAACAAAGTCTTTGAACGAGAATGGAGGAGGAAGAGTAAGGGAGTGAAGTGAGAGGAGAGATGGAGTCGGTTTAAAGTTTCTGGAGCGTGAAAGACGGCGGCAGGGCGGCTCGCAGATCCCTGCCAAAGGTCAGCACGTGTGCGGAGCTGGGAGAGCTCTGCCGCGAAAGTGCTGGGTTGCTGCTTTTTGGGCGGACTCCGAGACGGCAACACTTGGCTGCAGGCGTTGAGCTCCCCGATTCATCAAGTCGCGGCCCAGACAATGCTGTGACCTGTGTTGACCTGAATCTTACGCTCACCGTCCCTGGCCGGCGTGATACTGAGCGATCATCGCATCCGCCAGCATTGAGCTCAACGCGCTTCCAGTCGCGTGCCCCGGATTTATTACTCGACATGGAGCGACAGCCCTCCCAAACCTACCGCATCGCATCCCTGAAAGACTTCCTCCCCTTGTCCTCTGACGATACCTCGTTTGCCTCTCCTCGAGGACATCACCTGCCAAGCATCATCCAGGCACGATCCAGCACAAATCTCACACGACCACGTTCGCAATGGACGCCGAGAAGGAACAGCATCACTGCCGCCGAAATGCCCGGCTTGAGGCAGCGCAGCGATAGCTCCAGTTCCAAAGATGTTGATATGACACAGAAGGCTATGCTCAACCCAGATGTCGCCCATGGTGGAGTTGCAGGCTGGGGTGGTGGTGATGATCACAACCGGAGGATGAGCTATCAAGCGAGTGTTCTGATGACCCCGGAAGTGCGCAGTCAACGTTTGATTGGCAACACAAATCCGCGATATAGATGGGAGAAGTATTGGCAGACGGACGACGATCTCAAAAAGATCAAGAAGAAGTCGGTCCGAGAATACTACGAGCGAACGAATTACCTCGTCCAACACTACATGTACATCGACCGACTCCTGGACAGCAGTCTGCCGCACGACCTCATCCAAGAGTACCAGCACACGTCACCGAACCCCCAACTCACCCCGCAAACGCCGGTCATGCGTGGTTCTTGGCAAGGCGACTTACCAGATACGATTGATGAGGAAGAGGCTATTGAGCCGCCAAGGATATACACTGAGCGACACGGCTCCTTTGATAGTATCCTCGCGAACGGAGCTTTCTATGCGAATGGCGAGGCGGAGCCAGAACAGGCACCTCAGAAAGTCAAGAGAACGCCCAAAGATATGTACTCGCTCAAAGATAAGAAGCATGACAGGAAGCCGAGCCCACACCACGAGAATGGAGAAGAAGAGCCTCTATTGAGTAGATTTGATACAAGAGGCGACGAGGAAGCGGGTCCATTGCCTCCTGGCCTTGATCTGGAGATGGAAGAGGAGACTTCATCGCAATCTCGAATTGTCACCATCGCGATCCTGGTCAACCTTGCCGCAAACACAGCGCTTCTGGTGATGAAGCTCGTCGTCGTGCTGCTCAGTAACTCAGTCTCCGTACTCGCCTCTCTCGTCGACGCAGCGCTCGACTTCCTGAGTACTGCGATCGTCGGCATAACCACCAGACTCATATCTCGAACAGACCAATACGCATATCCAATCGGCCGTCGACGTCTGGAACCTGTCGGTGTCCTGGTCTTCTCCGTGATCATGATAACAGCATTCATCCAAGTCCTCTGGCAAGCGCTAAACGAACTCACCAACGGCAAGCACGAAATCGTCGAACTCGGCCTCCCAGCCATCATAATCATGGCCAGCACCGTCGTAATCAAAGGCGCCTGCTGGCTCTGGTGCCGCCTGATTAAAAACAGCTCCGTCCAAGCCCTAGCCCAAGACGCCATGACCGACGTCGTCTTCAACACTTTCTCCATAATCTTCCCCTTGGTCGGCTACTACGCGCGCATCTGGTGGCTCGACCCGCTCGGCGGTGTCATCCTCTCCCTCTACGTCATCGTCAACTGGTCTCAAACCGCCAACGGCCACATCGTCAACCTCACCGGCGCCTCGGCGTCCGCGGACGAGCGCAATATTTTGCTCTACCTGACGATGCGCTTCGCCAAGACGATCAAGAAGATCCAGGGCTTGCAGGCGTATCATTCGGGGGATAAGTTGAACGTCGAGGTGGATATCGTGTTGGATGAGGGGACGAGTTTAAGGGATTCGCATGATTTGGGGGAGAGCTTGCAGTATGTTTTGGAGAGTGTGCCGACGGGTGAGTTATGGATACCCTTCATGCCTCCAGAGATTGAGAGTCTTGCTAACGCTAATTTCTTCTAGTGGATCGAGCCTTCGTGCATATGGACTATGCGGATTATAACTTGCCTTCGCATATGACGCAGGATTCATGATTGTACCATATTACACGCAGACGTTAGAGACAAATCTCTTGTACGATGTTTAGTAGAGTGACGCCTTTTTGGAAACGTGAATTTCTTTTTCGGGTTTCAATTCGTGTCTTGTACAATCTATTGTACATGTCTTGTGCAGAACAGGCTTCGCAGCATATCGAGCAAAGATTACTCTCGCCGGCAGAGGGGTATCATACGGAACGCAACAAAGCAGCAAGTCGTCCGAAGCAAGCGCTGACAGCAGGGGGTATCAAGCAAAGAGGTTCGCGCAATAAAGCAAAGTCCATCAAAGCAAAGCAAACAGTGCGCTGCCAGCGCGAGACTATCCCGACAACCGACATGAGTGGCGAGGCTCCCAACCTCAACCACAGAAGACAGCATCACAAATCAAAGACGTCGCCCATGTCGTCCTGGAGTCTCCGAAACTTGGCCTTCTTCTTCGCCTTCTTCTCAGCCTCGTCCTTGGCCTTGTCGTCGTCCATGTCTACGTCCTCGTCGTCACTGTCTTCTCCGGACGGGGCGCCGGTGGGTGGGGTGCTGCCTGGAGTCTTCGACAGCTGGAACTCCACCTCCTCGTCGCTGTCGTCGTCATCGGACAAGCTCTCGTTGTCGCTGGCATTCTCGTCGTCGGATAAGGTGTCGTTGGAGTCATCTTCTCCGGACTGGTCGCTGGTGGGTGGGGTGCTGGTGAAGGAGTTGGAGCTGGAGGTGTTTGAGCCAGATGAATCAGAGCTGGGGGTAGCGGAGCCGGGCGTAACGGAGCCAAGGGAAGTGGTGTTAGGTGGAGTGAAGCCAGATGGAGTAGAGCCAGATGGATGAGAACCAGAGATAGTAGGGGTAGAGACAGGCTGAGCAGGAGCAGGGGGAGCAGAGCCAGACGCAGCAGAGCCAGACGCAGTAGAGCCGGTGGGATTCGCGCTGGAGGGAGCAGCACCAGACGAACCCGTAATAGTAGCTCGATCGGTCTTCAGGTCATCTTGATCGTAGTCCGTGTACTTGTCGCCGGTCAGACGGAGACCCGACGGCAGGGGCTTGGCGTCGCTGTAAGCGTTCAGCTCGTTTCCTGAGACCTTGACTACTTTCTCGATCGCCTCAGCGATGATGCGTATCATACGCTGCTGCTTCTCCGTCAATTCCTGCTTTGGTGCCACACGCGCGGACCATGGTTGCTGTCGTGCCTGACCCTGGGCTCTGGTGATGCCGGCGGTGTTGGTGCGTTGACGAAGATGAGAATGAGGCCGACGGCTCGTTGCGGTAGCTCGCTGAAGAAGGCCTGAGCCAGATGAGTGCTTTCCGCTGCGCTGGACTTTGTGGGCGGTGGTGGCATCATCATCGGATGAATCGGTCTCATCGTCAGAAGCGTTGACGTGACCTGACTCCGAGTCTCCGTCGTAACCCGCAGTCTCGTTCTTGGAACTGTTGTTGGCACTACCGATGGTTGCACTGATGTTCTGGATCAAAGATGAGAGATCGAGCGTTTGTGCAGATACGGAAGGAGCCTTCTTGGTGTGTTCGCCGCATGCTTCCACTGCGGTGACGTTCGTAACTTTCTCGTTGGACTTGATGGCTGGCAAGGGGCCAACTTGTTGAGTCGAGGTCGCGTCTTGTCGTGAGCTTGAACCAGCGCTGGCGACAACTGAGCTGCCGTTCCAGTGAGACGAAGTTGGCGTGCTTTGTGAGACATGAACGAGGATGCCTTGACTCCGCTGCGCAACGGCTGAGCTGCCATTGCCGTTGTTGATAACAGAAGTCGCCGTGGTGTGTCCGAGTGACGATGGGGTATGCTCTTGGGCTGGAGGTGAAGCTGCTTGAGTTACTTGTTGGGCGGTAGCGCTTGTAGAAGAAGGACGGCCGTGATTGTTGGCAACGGGGTGGACGACCTCAGATGGGCCCTGCTCGCCTTCCGACTCGTCGTCTGTCTGTCCGTACTCAATGTGCATATGGCCCTCCAGCTGTGCAGCATCCACTCCGTACATGGTGGCACGAGGAGTGTTGTCGCCATACTTTGATGGCTGCATGAGCCATGAGTGCAACCGGCCAGATGGACGTCCGAACTCTTGGAGGTGCTGCTCGAGAACCAGAGCGCGCTGTAGGTGAGTGACAATGACAGCATGTTGGCTCATATCTTGTGTCTGATGCATGAGTTTCTCAGCGCGATGAGCTTCCTTGAGTTCCATGCTGAGGCGGTGAACGAAGAACATGCAGCGCTGTGAGAGGAGTTCCTATCCGGTAGGATTAGGAGGGAGGTAACGAGCGATGATCTTGTCGAAGATGTCCGAAAGGCGAGGGCGAGACTGCTTCGCGCTGTGAGCAGCCGATATCACGACTGGCTTGAGATCTTCCTGAAGCTGCGGCGCTTCTTGGCCGAGGATGCCAGCTTCGATAAGGTCGATGGCCCGGTCGGCATTGATCTTGGTGGGATCAAATGGCTTGACACCATGAACCTGTTGAAGTGAGCGATTGCCAAGCTACGAATTTGGGTGCAAGATACCATCCAGAACAGTTCGTATGTCTCGCTCGGTCGCAGGGATGTGATCCTGCTTGTCAACTCCGTGAGGTGGCGCTGGAGCTCCGTCAAAGCGCGACAAAGCATCTCAGAGCTTGACTCGATCTTTGAATCGACGACCAGAGAGGTGAGTTCCGTGAAACTCAAAGATGTGAGGTCTGGCAATTGCCTTGCTGCGACCTGCCGCCTGAAGAGGGTGACTTCAGTGTCTGTGAAGCCGAGGCCACGCAGAGTCTTCTCCAGTGCGTGAAGCAGCGTCTTCGGAGCGCCATTGTCTACAGTAACACGTCAGTATCTATCAAACCTCGAAGGAATCAGCGTCTGGCAATACCTTCTTGCCGAGCACGGTTCTGGCGACGAGCACGATGCGCGGCGCCGCGGTCGGCATTTTGTCTGGCTGCGCGACTAGCATCTTGCTCCGCCGCCCTGTTGATCCTCTCTCTGCGTCGCTGAAACTTGGGTTGATGGCTTCGCGCCGATTGCGCCTGCAGTGAATTGGACTTCGAGTCTGTCTGCTTGGCTTTGGGTTTGGATTGACCAAGTTGAGCCTGTCGACTGCACATAGCGCCTCGAGCAGGTGCCATGGTGGTGCGGGAGTCGGTTTGTCAGTGGTTCAGGAAAGGACGAGAGTAGAGGAGAAGAGAGAAGAAGTATGGTGGTGGTTTCGGGAAGGGTCCGTGCTTCCGTCCGAACATTCACTTGCCGGCAAAAGTTCCCTTTTGATGTTCACGTCCAGGCGCGCGCGTCACGACTTGCCGCGCCCAACATCGTGAGTCACTAAGACCCACTTCTCTGCAACTACAAATAATTAACTCATCCCGCCGACTTCCATCTTCTCTTTCCTCTCTCAAGTTGGCCGATTACGGGTCAGGTGAGCGGTCTCAGGGCTAGTCGTCAGGGTCATTGGGCGACCGCTTGACGGCCATTTGAATGGCAGAGGTGCTCTGGCTGTCTTCGCGCAGCTCATCACCTTCTGCTTTCACGTGGCTGCTCTTGTGGATCGTTCCTCACCCGCGCGGGATGGGCGTTACTGTATCTGGGCACTGCAGGTCGTGTGTCGTGACGGGGCGTCTGGGCGAGTTCAGTTGAGACCATGGTGTCGGCATGGCCACATGCGGCCATGGTAACATGAAGGAGATGCTTCTGCCTTCGCGGGCTTTGCTCTCTGAGGCTCGTTCCAGCAACCTCTTGGGCATTCAATTGTCACCTGTTGGGAGCCATGCCCTGAGATCGAGGATTCAAGGAAATGCAGCTGGGTGGCCCCACTGCAGGATGTCGACAAACAGAGATGTGCGGCACAGTATCTTTCGGTCCTGCTCGTCGTTCGGCTCGGTTCTTCCAGCCTCGAGGGCAGGGCCGCCTGGTGAGCACCCCTACCCCTCTCATCACATCTTTCGCTTCAAACTCGAGAACTTGTTGACAAGCACGCTCCCACAGGTCTGAGCGGGTGGTGCCGAGTCATGGTGGGCAGACATGGCTCAAACAATTCATACTTTTTTTCATCAGACCTTCGGCGTGAAGTCATTGCCGATCGCTGGAGAAGAGGGGCAGTTACACAGACGACAGAAGCAGGTGGACATTGACTTCGCAGCCAGCTTGTAGTGCCGAAGACATATTCAAATATAACACAATAGCAGAGTAGTGCGCGTTGTTGATGGGCACAGGAGGAGGTGAGGTCTGAAGATCAAGCTATACCATTTCCGGCCAAGAGCCATTGTTGCCGACATCGCCGGGGACCTCAACTCCTTCTTGGCGCTATCCAAAACGCCCTCTGATTGGCCAGATTGTGCGACTCAATGCACAGGGGATGTTGTGCTGAGCACAACAAGCATTACTTCGGAGTGTGGAGCAAGCGTGAAAGAACACGCTCCTGCAACGAACAACTGAAAAGGCACATCCTCCGCTTGGCAACACCGTGAACATGACGACCAGCAGCAGCAAGCGAGGCCACCTCATCGTCTTCGAGGGCCTTGACCGCTCGGGCAAGAGCACACAATGCGAGCGTCTGGTGGAATACCTCCAATCTCAGGGGCAAAAAGTCGAACATGCCCGGTTTCCCAACAGGTCCACTGTCATTGGACAGATGATCAATAACTACCTGACCGGAACGAGTCAGCAAGAAGACCACGCTATACATCTCCTGTTCTCTGCAAACAGGTGGGAGGCGGCGGAGAAGATTAAGTCTTCGATCGAGTCTGGTACGACGGTGGTGATTGATAGGTACTACTATTCTGGCTGTGTCTACTCCGCCGCGAAACGGAACCCGACCATGGACCTTGCATGGTGTAGACACATGGAGGTCGGACTGCCTCGGCCAGATCTGTGCTTGTTTCTGGATATCACCGCGGAGAAAGCTGCTATTCGCCGCGGGTTTGGCACGGAGAGATACGAGAAGCAGGAGATGCAGGATCGCGTGAGGGAGCTGTTCGCGGAGATGAGGACTCACCCGGACGAGGAAGAGGATATTGTGGTCATTGACGCAGGTGGGACTGTGGAGCAAGTGGAAGCTGCGATTCAGACGACGGTGAAGCGACGATTAGGTGAAGTGGAGGCGGAATCAAGACCTTTGAGATTCATTCAGCCCTGGTGAAGAAAGGCTAAGTGCTTGGGAATGCTACGTCTCGACCCAACGACTTCGCCACCCAGTATCCAAGGGCTTCTCGAGCGATGTTGTTGCTACTCCAGTTCCGACTTGGATGCACGCGGTTCGCAAAATGCAGGAAGAAAGTATTGCTGGGTCTATCGATCGCCAAGGTTGTACCAGTGAAGCCAGTATGGCCGGCGGTCTGTAGGCTCGCCATCGGGCCAGACCAGTAGTACTGGTCCAATTCGAACCCTAAGCCGTGCGCATCGCTGGGGAAGCGGGCGTTGAAGTTGGTGAAGATCCAGTCGACCGCCTGCTGCGATAGATACCGGCTCCCGCCGTATGTGCCATTGTTCAGAATCATCTGGCAGAGGACAGCCGTGTCGCCAACAGTCGAGAAGAGTCCAGCATGACCACTGACGCCATCCAACGCCCACGCATTCTCATCATGCACCGTCCCACGCACCGGCTGTGGTCGCTGAGGCTCAGAGGGACCCAAGACGGCAATCTGGAACTCCTGCGTGGCCATCCGCCCATAAGGCCGAAACGCCGGTCCCTCGACATTGCCGCGGTTGAAGAACGTACTGGTCATTCCAAGAGGCTTCGTAAAGTCCGCGATCAACACATCGAGCTGCTTCCCCGTCACCGTCTCCAGAAGGATGAACAGAGTCATGAAGTTCAGATCCGAGTACGTATACGTACTCCCCGGCGCATCCTGCAAGGGCGCAGACAAGATGGCATCGATGCGCTCCTCGTACGTGGTATACACTGGATCGTACAACCCCGGCACGGGATCCGGTGCAAACCCACTCGTATGCGTGAGCAGTTCCAGGATAGTAATGCCCTCCTTCCCATTTACCGCAAACTTCGGCAAATACCTCGCCACGCTCGCATTCAACTGCAACGTCCCAGCATCCAGCTGCCGCAAAACCGCCACCGTCGTGAACAATTTGGTCAAACTCGCCAGATCATAAATCGTATCGAGTGAGGCGTCTTCCTGCTTCCAAGGCGGTAAGAGCGTGCCGTTGACATCGCTGTAGAGGTTTCGTTTTCCGACGGCGAAGGATGAGACGATGGTGCCACAGTGCCCGATGATGTTGGCGGAGCCGGGCTCGATGGGATGGACTTGGTTGTGGGTGGGAGAGCCGTAGTTGGCCGGGTGGGTGTAATTTGTCAAGTTGGCGACTGCGAGTTGGAGAGGATTCGACAGGAGACCGACGGACTCGCGAGAGCCATGGTGAAGAGTAAATTGAGGAATACAGGATCTTTGATGCCAGGGTGGATGTGGTGGAGGATGGGCAGTTGCCGTTGCTACGAACAGTGCAGCTACAATATATGCAGAGCTCAACATCTTCGTCGACATCTCGAGCAACCGTCGATGAGAGGCTCGAGCAATATCGAAAGACCTCCGACACACCTCTCTCAATGCAAATCCGCCCCACCAGCCCACGCATTAAACGCAGGAACGCGAGCAGTGATAACAGTGTAGCGTGTCGAATGCACGTGCTAGCCGTTTCGGGCAGCTGCCAGGAGATCAGCAGTGAATAATGCAACCCAAGCATCCGGGCGGCAGCAGCAGGCGAAAGCTCCAAGCCTTCGGCGGACAGGCTTGGCCGGGTTGATTGTATCGTTGCAAGGGACCGTCGCTGTTGTAGACAAGGCAAAGTAATGGAAGATGTGGTTTTTGGTATCGTAATCGTAATGGGAGACTGAGGATCATAGTCGAGTTGAACCACTGAAAAGACGCTAAACAACACACGGTAATCAATCCGCTACACGCACACACTCACGCCTCCTCAGCCTTCTCCTCAGGCATACTCCCCACGACCTCCGGCTCCGTCGTCCGACTAACCGTCAAAACCGTCGGCAAAACAATCAACAAACTCCCAATACAAAGCCCCCAATCCATGCCCAACTGCGTCATAGGACTCTTGCCCTGCGCACTAATCCTCCACGCCATCGCGGCGCCCACCGCCTGAAACGTCTTATACCCACCGACCAGAATCGCCGTGCGTTCCGAGGAGTTCGACACAGTCCCGATGAGCCAGTACGAGAAGCCTTGCCAGAGGGCGTCGTAGCCGCCGTAGAAGATGTAGAGCATCATGGGCCCGGCGGAGAGGGAGCCTTGCGTGTAGTCGATGTCTTGTTTGAGGCCTTGGGCGAGGCGCCGGTTCAGCCAGAGCTGGAAGGCGTAGCCGCCGCCCCAGATGGCCATGCCGGTGACGAGGACGAAGGTCCAGCCGATGATGGCGCGTTTGGGGCGGGAGACACCTGGGAGGTCTTGGAGGAAGCCGATTATGAGGCCGCCGAACTGGTTGGGGTGGTTAGTCAGGGGCGTAGACGTTAACGTTTTGGACTTTTGGCTCACCATTTGGGACATCCAGTACAGGGCACTGTTCAGGGACCGAGTACGGATGTTGAACGTCTCGCCATTCACAACGTTTTGCTGATAGCTGTAAAATACATTGGCCGAAAACCATAATGGGATCATAAGGAGGACACGCCAGTTGGCAATCGTTTTGAAGGTGACAATGGCGATGTTCTTCCAGTGGTGGTTCTCGCCCTCCTCGGCCCGGCGGAGCTGTGTGAGTCGGACACGTTTCGGAGAGCAGAGGAAGACGCCGAGAAGCCAGCCGAAGAGCATGATGACCATAAGAGCCACGTAAGTCGAGCTGGAGACGGTATTGGAGGTAGAGTGGAAGTTGATGCCGAAGCTTGCGAGGGAGCCGATGCCTCCGCCGACTGCACAGCATGTCAGTGCACTCGTCAATCAAAAGATAGAAAGACACCTTACGATTGAAAATAATCCAAAACAACGCGATCGCCCGCCCCTTCTGATGCTCGGGCACGTAACTCGTCATGATAGCGCCCTGCACAACCCACAAAAACGAGGCTCCAAGACCTAGAATCGCGCCAGCAGCAATGACGAAAGCGCCATTGCTGTCGTGGTTGAAGTTCAACAAGCTGCCGCTGTATAGGGCGTACGTCCAGCCTCCCATAAGGAACAGGATCTTCGGTCCGAGTTTCCAGAAGAGAGGCGCGCCGATGAAGAGTGCTGTGGCGGCAGTGACAGAGAGCAAGGCGACATTCGCGTTGGCGGCGACTGTTGGGTCGACTTGGCCTGATCCGCCGAGTCCGGTGAGGGCGTTGTACATGCCTTGGAGAACATGTTAGCAAGCATCCTCGCCGTACGAAAGATACCCTCGGATTTACTCACCAGGACAGCAGAAACAGATAAAGCTAATGAGGATAATCTGCGTCCAATTGTTCGCATACAGTTTCATAAGCTTATTCCTGGGAGGCTCCAGGACAGCGCCATGTTCAGCGGCGGATGGCGAGGGTGGCGTCTCAATGGCCGGAGCAACTTCTGTCGAGTTCTTGTTGTTTTCCATGATGATCGATGCTTAGCCTCGAGGTAGAGGTAGCAGAAGAGTAGAGGAAAGGAGAAAGTAAAGAAGCCTCCTTTCAGTGCTTCTAATCATGCAACGTCGGATTAGGCGAACCCGTCGTTAATAAGGAATAGGTAACCTTCCTACACACTCCAGCAGTACTCATGCACGAGGTACCAAGCCGAGTAGAAGAGAGCAGGGAACGTTACAGTAAAACGAGGAGGTCGCGTGCCAGCCGTCGATCGTCTTGCCATCGCTGCGTAACACCGCACCGCAGCAGCAGCAGCCAGCGAGCGAGGTCCCGCTAGCTTGATGATAAGAAAAGGCACACCGGCTCGGGCACGCTCCACCCTCGTGGAGAGCGTGGAAACTCTAAATCCTTCTGCAGCGGGCACGGCCAACGAGCGGCCGATGTGGACGACGACTGGCCTGGACAGCTTTGCATTGGCCGAGAGGTGACGGTGTCAGCAGCTGCCAGCGTCGTATTTCTGTTCGCTTGTCGATACGAAGAGGTGTGTCGTGGTAGCATGCAGTGAAAGCCATTGATTTGCGGCTGATATTCGCACACGCACTCATTGTTTCCTGTATTTCTGGGTGGCACAACGCCATGCAAGGGCAACGGAGCTGAGCGTGAAGGAGATTGGTGTGTCGTGCAGCATGTCGACTGCATCTGCATCATCAGCCGCACCGCTTGATTTGACGGCTATTCAAACCGAATCTCGCAATCGTGCAAGTGCGAACATTGATGAAGTTTCTACGGATGAGCTTTGTCGGATTATCAATAATGAGGACAAAGCTGTTGCCGGGGTTGTTGAGGATTGTATACCGATAATTGCGCAGGCGATTGATGCATTGGCCGAAAGGGTTCGCGGGGGTGGAAGGATCTTCTACATTGGTGCTGGAACGTCAGGTCGATTGGGAGTGCTCGATGCGTCGGAGATTCCACCGACGTATTCTGCACCACCGGAGCAGTTCGTTGGATTGATCGCTGGCGGGGATGTTGCGCTTCGATCCGCGGTCGAGGGTGCTGAAGACGATGCCGGGGCCGCTGTCAAGGACCTGAAGATGAGGGAGCTGGATGGCGAGAAGGACTGTCTGATCGGCATTGCAGCGTCTGGCAGGACTCCATATGTTCTGGGCGGCCTTGCCTGGGCGAAGAGGCAAGGTTGTGTGACTGTTGGAGTCGCATGCTCGAAACCCTCTGCAATAGGTCGGAGTGGAGATGTCGATTTCATGATTGAGGCGGTCACGGGCGCAGAGGTGGTGACAGGAAGCACGAGGATGAAAGCTGGGACGGCGACGAAGTTGGTGTTGAATATGCTCTCCACTGGCATTATGATAAAGATTGGCAAGACGTATGGGAACATTGTAAGTAAAGGAAAGAGAATGGCAAGAATAAAGCTGAGATTGTGGAAGATGATAGACGTCAAACCTACCAATGTCAAACTGAAGCAGCGCACTCGCGGTTTCCTTCGTGAGATTTGCGGCGAGCGCTGCCCCGTACTCGACGAAGCCTTAGATGCAACCTTGGCAGCCTGCGGCAGAAGTGTGAAGCTGGTTGCTGTCGTGATATGGTTCAACATTCCCATTGCTCAGGCACAGCGGCGCCTCGATGAGGCGAATGGAATTCTGGCAAATGCACTGCAGTCTCAAGAACCGCCGAGGTTAAAGGAACGAAGAGCAAAGACGTTTTATCTCTGCGTAGATGGTGGAGGCAGCAAGACCCATGCTGTAATTACCAGCTTCGACGGCATGAATGCCGGGGGTATGGAGGCCGAAGGCAACGCAGGTCCTTGCAATGCGTAAGTCGCACGACCTCGAATCGATAAGGCAAGTAGTAGCTGACTCGCTCTAGCACTGAAATTGGAGTCGACACCGCAGTCTCCCAAATAGCGCAGGCCGTGGACCAGGCCATTGCTGCGCACAACGACAGCGATCTCATTCGAGAGGCTGGATTCAAGTCTGCTTGGATAGCGATGGCGGGCCTCGATCGCAAGGGACTCAAAGAGATCCTGTACAAGGCCCTGCAACACAAGCTCCCACTCCAGCCAGAGGCCTCGCTCCAGATCACGAACGACATCGAGCTGATTGCGGCGGATAAGTTCCATGAAATAGATTATGAAGTCCAGCAAGGAATTGACCATGTCATTGTGCTTGTGGCAGGTACTGGATCGGTGGCCATGACATATCATCGAGAAGATGGCCGCATTGCCCGAACAGACCGCTCTGGCGGCTGGGGCGCTCTACTCGGAGACAACGGGTCTGGGTTCGATATCGGCCGGCAAGCACTGAGGTTAGCCCTTGCAGATTTGGAAGACCACAAACGACTGGAGAGTGCCAGCGGCGAGTATGACATGGTTTCTCAAGACGCCGATCCTCTCACTCAGGCGGTTCTCGACCATTTTGGGCCCTGGGGCGGCACTCCTCCAACCGATCTGCTGAGCGCCGTGATGATGCCCAATCCTGATGATGTCCAAGGCGTTACTGGGACAAAGCGGAGGATCGCAAGTTGCGCGAAGATTGTCACTCAAGTGGCGAAGAGCAGTGCGAGAGCCAGGGCTATCATCGATACAGCGCTACGGAGCCTGATGGCTCTCGTGCAGAGTTTACTGAGGGCCGACATACGTCCTGAGACTTCTGCCTTGGTACTCGCCGGCGGCTTGATGCAGTCTGAACATTTCCGAGAAGGACTCAAAAAGCTGCTGTTGGCATCTGGTATAGACTTTTGGCAAGTCGGATACAGCGCGGTGCCCGCTTGGGGTGGTGGAAGGTATCTTGCAGTAGCAGATGATTCATCAGATTAATACCATGTCAAGAAGGGCAATCAGTCCAAGACCTCTGCCTGGTCCCAGTCGCTGTCTTCGATGACCGGTTCGGAAAAGACGACGGCAGTGGTCGGTCGTTTGAACCTGGCGGATCCGTGTCCCAGGCTCGGGTCACTTCTGATCTTTTTGTGATCTTGCTCGTCGTCACTGCTCTCGGAAAGCTGCTGCCACTCATCTTCTTCTTGAAGTACGAGGTCGAGAGGGTCGTCGTCGTCGCCCGACTCATCTGACTCCGCGATAGCTGCAGCCGTTGCCACTGCCTTCTTTCCGCGTTTTGACTTAAATATGATTTTGACTTCTTTCTCCCCTCGCGTGCGTAGACTCAGGTCTTTGACCAAGTCAACCCATTGTAGCTCGGCTTTACAGCTAGGACATTTGCCGTGCGTGGGTACCAAGGCGTCGTGTCCACTTTCCTCCTTCAGAAACACACGCGAGAGGCATTGCAGATGGCTGACTGCACTGCACCCATCATTGGTGCATACTAGGGTCGCAGCACCTGTCGCTGGAGTCGCCTTTTGACAGACGACACACGGTGAAGAGGTGTCACCGTTAAATGCCAGTTGGCTCTTCTCCAGCTGCTGTTTGATGCCTGAGTAGCCGACGTCAAGGGCATGAATACCGATAGGATTTCCGGGAGTTTCTGCTGCCGCAGACACGTTTCGACTCGCCTCGTCCATGGTCACTTGGATGCCAGATCTCAGCTTTTCTGGCGTCTGCGATGACCATTTCTGCCACACACGGTGCACATCTTCACAGAAGAATGTGAGCTTGAGTGGCCATCTGGCAAAGCTAGGCGAGCGCAGGAGGAGATGTAAGTTGGCCAGCCGATCAGTCAAGGAAAATCTCGGTCGCGCCGACCGCTTGCGCACTTTGCCCGTTCGTGGTGAGATACGCGAGGTCATCTTCGACTGCGTAATTCGCGAGCCGGGTGGAATATGACGCGTGAGGTTAGGATTCTGCCACGCCCATCTATTGATACGGTCAACACAACGCGCGTGCAGAATTGACCAGGTGCTCGACCTACTCGAATTGAAGAGCGGCGATCTTGCTTGGGAAGCCCGTCACCAAGCATGTCATCTCCCATGGGCGCAGGGAGATCTTGGACGTTCGCACCGCGCCGCCCTTCGCGTCGCCATTGTGCTGCTTCAGGCGTCTTTGCGGATTCGGCGTTGAACCGACGTACAGCGAGGAGTGCCTAGCGATGGACCGGAGCAGATAGCACGCGTAAAACGCTGGGATCGGCGCGAGTTGCTTCTCCATGGGGCGCGCCTACAGCCGGCCACATCAGTGATTGTCACAACCTGGTGATGCTGTGGCTCTTATCCGAAGGCGAGTGTTGTCGAAAGAGAGTCCGGCATGCCGTTCAGCGTCTTGCCCGTGATTGGTCGCGCTGACCTCACGCTCCACTTTTGCCGCTAAGGCAGACAGGGATCGTTAGCGACTGCCACCGCACGCGATGCGCAGGCAGGACGACGTTCGTCTTGTCTTGCAACGAGGTTGGCGCTGCATGTCTTCCATATAACTTGCTCGACGCATTAAGATTTGTTTCGTCTTATATCAGGACCTTTGCGGTGTAAGACGAGGGGAACCCGCCCAAGCAAGGTGCTGGGAGTTTAAATAGGCAAAGCTTGAGGCTGCCGCTAGTTCGACTCTCCGCCGCATCCATCTCTCCATCGCTCGCACCACGCTGTCTGTCCTCTCGCATGACCACGCCCTCCCACCCCGCCGCCCACCGCCCAATCCTCACCACGCCGCCCCGATCCACCGTCCATCGCATCCTCGATACGCTCGCCTCGGCTGGCAGCCTGGATATTGGCCGGCCGAGCCCGTCTCGCCGCGATTTCCAGATTCGCAATCCGCGCATCTGACCGATATCAGCGTCTCATGCCACCGAGGCTCGATATTCTCCCACGCACCCTTCAATCCCGCCCATCACCACCTCCGCTTGGCTGCGAGACCTAACTCGGCCGCATCGGCCAGCATCAGCCAGCATGGTGGTCCCTCCTGCTTCGGGTGGCCCTATTCCAGCCCCTTCACCTGCGCCAGCACCACAACTCCCAGGAGCCGCGCCCGCAGCAAGTCCATCAGCCTCCGCCAACGGCAAATGGAAGCAACCAGTTTCTGCTCCAGGTACTTTGAACGGACCGCCTTCCGGCAACAACCATGCTATTCCTCTCTCTGCTCGACGTGCAGAGCCGATGGACCTTCGTTCGGTCGAGCGAAAGGGCCAGCGACCAGATACCCCACGGACAAGGCGAATGTTCAATCTCCCCAACGCACCCATCTATCGTCCCACTGAGGAGGAGTTTCGCGATCCGATGGAATACATGCGCAAGATTGCGCCAGAGGGCAGCAAGTACGGTATCGTGAAGATCGTGCCGCCGAACAACTGGAATCCACCATTTGCGATCAATACTGAGGTATGCATCCTTGAGTTCAGTATATGAGTTATCATAGAACACATTGGCTAATGTGATGTCATTGTAGCGTTTCCATTTCCGCACACGACGACAAGAGCTCAATTCGGTTGAAGGTGGCAATCGCGTGTACAACGATTACCTCGACCAACTTTCCAAATTCCATAAGCAGAACGGACACAACCTCAATCGATTCCCTAGCGTCGACAAGCGGCCACTGGATCTATATCGCTTGAAAAAGACCGTCGAGCGCAAGGGCGGGTTCGAAGCCGTGTGCAAGGGCAAGAGGTGGGCTGAGGTTGGACGTGATCTGGGATACAGTGGCAAGATCATGTCCTCGTTGTCCACCTCTCTGAAGAACTCATACCAGAAATGGCTTCTGCCATACGAGGAATACTTGCGCTTGGCCAAGCCCGGCGTTCATCAGCAGCTTGAGATGATGAACGGCGGTCCCTATACGCCATCTCCAGGCCCATCGCCTGCAAAGAAAGCTTTTGGACCATCGCCACAAGATCAGGGAAGCATTCTGCAGGCTTCTGCGGCACTTCATGCCTCTTTGCAAGGCCAAACCCCTCAGCATCTGCCACCCCAGCAGCAAGAGACGCCGCATTTGACGCCCCAGCAGACTCCTCAGCCAGCACTTGCTCAGCCAGCGCCCCCTCAGACGGCACTTCCTCAACCAAGCACAGGTGGCTTCACCCCAGTGAATCCAGGCGGCTTCACCCCGGTCAACGTGCCTGCTCCGAGCCCATCCTTTACAGCTGTTAATGGATCGAGCGACTTTCACCCTTCGAACAATGCCACGCCGCAGCCTCCACCGCGTTCCATGGACTCAACACCTGTCAGCTTGGGCCAAGGCCAGCAACTCATCGCGCCCCATCCCAACGGTGTTGCAGCCTTGAAGCGACAGCACAGTGAGCTGACACCCGAGGAGGTTGATGTGCTGAATCGAAGAAGCAAGCGCTTGCGACGAGACATGCCAACAGTCGTCGGGAGCAACATGCACCATTCACGTATGGGCGCTGCCCGGGCCCAAACCGCCAAGGACCGAGTCGATCATATACCAGGGGACGTCTGTGAGGCTTGTGGCAAACCTGACGAGCCTCACAAGCGGCTCATATGTGCAAGCTGCGAAAGCGCGTACCACATGTACTGCTTGGAGCCTCCGCTGAAGCAACCACCTGACGTCGAGTTTCACTGCCCACGCTGTCTAGTCGGCACCAACGAATACGGTTTCGAAGAAGGCGACGTGTACTCGTTGTCTGGTTTCCAAAGGAAGGCCAATGAATTCAAGAACCACCACTTCCTCTCTCTTCCTCCAGAATTCAGCCCGTTCAACGAGATGCATCGTGTCTTGGACGAGGAGGATGTCGAGCGGGAATTTTGGCGTCTTGTTGAGGATAAGAACGATGCCACCGAGGTCGAGTACGGCGCTGATATCCATTCCACCACGCATGGAAGCGGGTTCCCAACAATCGAGAAGCATCCTCGCGATCCTTACGCCACGGATCCATGGAATTTGAACATCCTTCCGCTGGACAAAGAATCCCTCTTCCGTCATATCAAGTCAGATGTCTCGGGCATGACGGTGCCTTGGCTGTACGTGGGAATGGTGTTCTCTACGTTTTGCTGGCACAACGAAGATCATTTCAGCTACTCGGCCAACTTCCAGCACTTTGGCGAGACCAAGACCTGGTACGGCATTCCTGGCGAGGATACTGAGAAGTTTGAACAAGCTCTGCGTGATGATGTCCCAGAACTGTTCGAGACTCAACCGGATCTACTCTTTCAGCTGGTCACGCTCGTCAAGCCCGAGAAGCTACGCAGGGCTGGTGTACGTGTCTACGCTGTGGATCAACATGCTGGAGAATTCGTCATTACTTTCCCAAAAGCCTACCATGCCGGTTTCAATCATGGCTTCAACTTCAACGAGGCTGTCAACTTTGCGCCTCACGACTGGGAGCCATTCGGCGAAGAGGGTGTGAAGCGGCTCAGAGACTACAGGAAGCAGCCATGCTTCTCACACGACGAGATGCTTCTAACAGCTGCATCGAGAGACAACACCATTCGAACGTCGAAATGGTTGGCACCTGCTCTGGAGCGGATGCGAGACGAGGAGCTGGCAACCCGACAGCAGTTTCTGACTTCTGAGGAAGTTGACCCCGGCTCAGCGCCGGCGGACACGTACCTTGGCCCTCGATACAAGGCACCTGCGCAAATCATCGAGCTCAGCGTCGAAGAAGACGAGGTCATTTGCACGTTTTGCAAGGCGTACTGCTTCCTATCCCGATACGTGTGCAAGAAGACTGGCAAAGTCCTGTGTCTTCTGCACGCTGCCTCTTATGAGTGCTGCGATGCCCTCGAATTCGAACGCTATTCTGGACAAAGTGGCGAGCACGTACTGTACTACCGAATGACGGACGACCAGCTGGTCAACACCGTGCGCAAAGTGGTGGACAAGGCGAACATTCCCGAGAATTGGGCTGCCAAGGTCGACAGCGAACTCGAGGAGAACCCACGACCGTCGCTCAAGCATTTGCGAACCTTGTTGACGGAAGGCGAGAAGATCCAGTATGAGCTTCCTCAACTTCCTGACCTGCGGCGCTTCGTCGAGCGGTGCAATGAGTGGGTCGAGGAGGCCACTAACTACATCACTCGAAAGCAGACGAACAGGCGTAAAAACGACAAGGCCTCGCGAAAGGGCACCAAAGCCGCCGAGATGGAAGAGCGCGAGAAAGAGCTGCGAAAGGTCTCGAACATTCGGAACCTGCTTGCCTCTGCGGATCAAATCGGATTCGATTGCCCCGAAATCAACACGCTGCGCGAGCGTGCCGAGAACATTGCAGCTTTTCGGAAGGAGGCTAATCATGCGCTTAGTAACGTTGTTCAGAACGAGACGAGCGTGTTTGAAGAGCTTCTCGAGAGGGGTAAGGAGTTCAATGTCGACATCCCCGAAATCGAGGACATCGAAAAAGTGCTGCGCCGGTTGCGATGGTACGACGAAGCCAAGGCGAAGCGGCCCAATCTCGAGACTGGACGTCAAGAGCAGACACTCAGTGACATCGAGAAGTTCATTGCGCGCGGTGTAGAGCTTGGCATTCCCGACACGAATCCGGATATCGTATTCTATCGCGAGCACAAGGCACAAGGAGAGGTTTGGGAAACAAAGGCAAAGGAGCTCATGGCCGTCGAACAAGTCCACTACCAGCAGCTCGATGCCCTTTCGTATCAAGCTTTGAACCTGCCGGTCAATTCGGAAACCTCCGCCGCTGTCGACGCCATCTTGAAGAAGCAGCGCGAGATCCAAGAAAAGATCGTCAGCCTGGTGCAGCGAAGCAAGGACCCTGACTTCCGGAATCGCCCTCATTATAGGGAGATGAAGGCGGTGATGGACGCATTGGACGAGCTTCAAAGCAAGCCAAATGGGACCATCGATCTCGAGAAGGAGTCCAAGCGACACGAGGACTGGATGCGAAGAGGCAAGAAACTTTTCGGCAAAGCGAACGCTCCACTTCACATTCTGCACCAGCACATGCAGACTGTGGACAAGCGAAACGAAGCTTGTTTCGAAATCGAAGACAAGCCACGTGGACCCGTCGAGCCTTCATCACGAGCAGCGACGCCAGAGGATGGTGAACCGATCACTGTTGGAAGTAACTCCAGCAGGGACGTATTCTGTATCTGCCGCAAGTCTGAAGCCGGCATGATGATCGAGTGCGAGCTGTGCCGCGAGTGGTATCACGGCAAATGTCTCAAGATCGCCCGCGGCAAAGTGAAGGAAGACGACAAATACACATGTCCAATCTGCGACTGGCGAGTGAAGATCCCGCGTGATGCTGCTCGGCCCAAGCTGGAAGAATTACAGAGCTGGCAGGATGAGCTGGAAACGCTGCCATTCCAGCCAGAGGAGGAGCAGACACTTAACAGCATTTGCGACCACGGCCAGGCTTTCCGCGAGTTCATCAAGCCTATCGTCGAGCCAGCTGTGCCTCCGAGTCCTGCCGAGATAGGTGTCTTGCGCTTCTATCTTCGCAAGATTGAAGGCGCGGATATTCTACTCGCGCATGAGACCAACTACTTGCGCCAGACTCTGCACAGGATGGCTGGTATTACACCTGGGCCGCCGCCTTTGGTCGAGGCGTCGAGTTCCACTCGTAAGCCACGACCCACGAAGCAGCAGAAGCTCATGGCATCGCTTGGCATCACGAATCCAGAGGAATTGCCGCAACAGTACAAGATCAAACCGCACGTTGCCAAGAGAAAGGTGTCGGAAGTGATGGGCAAACCCGGTATGCCTTTGCAGCCAGCGAGTGCCTCGCCAACAGGATCGATGACTCCGGGCATCCCACCTTCGTCCTCGGGGTCTGCACAGGCCTTCCCCTCTGGCATGAGTCCCTTGCAACCATCGGAGCCACAGCCGATTCGAAAGAAACATCTGACTGCGTTGGCGGTGCAAGTACTTGGACCTCTAGCCGGCGAGCCCATGGTCGATGAGTTCCTGGCGACCGAGCCGCACGCGAACCGTGACAGACTATTGAAGATGAAGGCTGTGTTGGAGCTGAAGGATCCATCCGTCATGACCGACTTGGACACATTCAAGGCCAAGGTCAACTCGATGTCCGTGCCAGCACCCCATGCGCCTTCGCTTGGTCTCGAAACCCCAAACCAGGAGCGTACACCTGCTCCCACAAGCGGTTACAACACGCAGCCATCGATGTTTTCGTCAGGCAATGATGGTCCTTATCACCACGCGCCTTCTCAGCAACCAAGTCTAGGTTCGCCGTCAGCATATGCGTATCCAGCTCCGGCGCCAGCTCCATCACCGCCACCGCATTTTGGCCCACCGATGTTCGATACTGGAGCGAACCTCTTCGAAACGCCAACAGCGACATCCGGCGAGAATAACAAGAGCATGACTAGTCCTGACTTTGGACCTCAGTCCGGGGGCGGCATGGGATCTAACCACATTCCCAGCGGAATGCCGTCCGGCATGTTCGATTCGCCCAAGCAACCGGAGGTCAGTCATGCCCAACAGCCAGCTTTCACTACCAGCGCGGGACTCAACAGCCCTGGTTTTGGCGGTTCTCAACAAAGCGCAAGCGGCAACATGGACAGCGTGTTCGCCGATCTCGTGCACGACCAAGACGACGGACTGCCAACATTCGACGGCGCACCCGACGTCCGAGACAAGGAACGCATGAACCTGATGGACAATGCTCCCACTAGTGAAGGTGCGGCCTTCTCTGGCGCCGCGCAGTCGACGGAGGGTAACGACTCTTCGGACGCCTTCGCGGCTCCTTCGACGGCGATGCCGTCAGATCCACAACAGCAGGCTTAGGAAGCATACTGGGACATGCATCTCGACGGACCGTACTATTAATCAAGCCCGCACACACTACCATACATTGCGACACAACGGAACATCCATTACCCTAATCGGCGCTTCTGGCTGGTGTTTCAACCTCATGGCGGACGTTTTTATACCCAAGCGAGGGAACACTGTTGGTGCTGGGCGGCTGCCTTTGCTTTACTGTTTTTCATGATATTCATGCGATATCTTCCCGGCATGTGTTCATCAACATTGGCGCGGATCAAAATTTTTTGTTTTGGAAGGCAAGGGAATGGGAAATGGGAATGGGATGGGGTACATGCTGCATCGATCGCTTTTTCTGAATGCACGCGATTGCAAGGGAACTGAAGGCATCAAGAAGAAGAAGAACACCAAAATCCAGTAGAAACAAAGATGATTGCTCGGGCAAAAGAAGAAAAAGAAAAGGAGAAGAGAAGAGAAGATGTAACGTAGTGTACGGGAAATGGAATGATTGGAATTAAGACTTGGACTTGATTCTCTTCGTGTCGTCTTGCATTGTGGTTGGTCTTGTAATATTGGTGACAGTGGTTGGGCGGAGCAAGCCTGGCCACTGACTGCTGAGGTATAGTACATGCGTTATGCTGCTTTGCTTTCCTTCACTTCCGTCTCGAAAACGCCATGCTCGTTCCCATACGACATTACACGTTTCTACTCCGGAGGCGCACCACTGCCCTCGCCCGCCGGCCTCTGCGCAAGCACCTGCTCCGGGCCCTGCGCATTAGCCGCCGCATCACCAGCCGCCGCTCTCTGCCCACCTCTTCTGCTCGCGCTCGCCTCCGCCTGAGCATCCTTCTCGCTGTTGATCTTCTCGACGATCTTCTCGATGTCCTCACCGGGCAGCATCTCGACCGTCTTGCCCGGGGCCATGATGGCGATTTCGATGTTTTTGGCGCCGGTCTGGACGACTTCGAGGAGGGATTTGATGGTCAGTTCGATGGTTTCGTCGCGGGTCATGGAGTCTTTGTGGTTGCGTTCGAGGAATTCGCGGACGGTTTTGGAGGAGCGGCCGATGGCGTTGGCTTTCCTGTTGGGGGATGTGTTGTTAGTTGGGAATGCATTATTTATTGGTGGTTTGGGGGTGATTATTTGGACGTACCATGCGCTGTAGATACCTGATGGCTCGGTCTGATAGAGTCTCGCCTCGCTGCTTCCCGGATCGAAACCCACAATCAATGTGCTGATGCCAAAAGGCCGCACACCTCCACTCTGCGTGTACCGCTGCTGCACCCCAGCCACGTACTTGGTGATATACTCGATACTAACAGGATCCTCGACCGTCAACCGATGGCTCTGAGCCTCCAACCGCGCCTTATCGACCAGAATCCGTGCGTCGGCGTTGAGTCCCGCAAAGGCGAGGCAGACGTGGGTGTCGACCATGGAGATCTTGGAGGGCGTGATGCGGGTGTCTTGCAGCTTCAGGGCCGAGCGCTTCTCGCAGCCTAGCACGACGACTTGCGAGTCTGGGGCGGTGCCTTTGACGGCGACGGCGCAGGTGCCGCGCTTGACGGCTTCGAGGGCGTATTCGACTTGGAAGACGTGGCCATCGGGCGAGAAGACGGAGAGGGCGCGGTCGTAGCCGGACGCCATGGTGGTGGTGTTGGGTTGGTGAGGGTTTCAAGGGGAAGTCTAATCAATTGTTCGTTGAATGTCAATCGAATCGTTGGTGGGATTGAATGGGAGTGTCGCGGTGATGGTGTTTGATGTGTGGTGGTCGTTGGAAGCTCATGTGAAGCTCAGCAGCAGCAGGCGACCAACGACGCGAAGTCCAGCAAGCTCCAACCTGAGGCATCAAACACGGAACCACCTCCGCTCCACACACCCCACATCGTCACCTCGCCTCCAATATCTCAATCAATATCTACTACATCTCCCACTGCGAGTCTTCCTCAAACCCTAGGACAACCACATCGGAAGACTCGCCAAGATGGTGTTACAAGACCTAGGCCGGCGCATCAACGCCGCCGTCACCGACCTCACGCGCTCCCAAACCCTCGACGAGAAAGCCTTCGATGGCATGATCAAGGAAATCAGCAACGCTCTCATCGCCGCCGACGTCAACATCAAACTCGTCTCGCAGCTCCGGAAATCCATCAAGGCGTCCGTCAAATTCAACGAGCTCCCTCCGCACGCCAACAAGAAGCGCATCATCCAGAAAGCCGTCTTCGATGCCCTCGTCGATATCGTGAACCCCCACCAGAAACCTTATGAGCCGAAGAAGGGCAAGAGCAATGTTATCATGTTTGTGGGTTTGCAGGGGAATGGAAAGACGACGACGTGCACGAAACTTGCGAGGTGGTATCAGGCGCGGGGGTACAAGACGTGCTTGGTTTGCGCGGATACGTTTCGAGCTGGTGCGTTCGACCAGTTGAAGCAGAACGCCATCAAGGCCAAGATTCCGTACTACGGCTCGCTCACACAGACGGACCCCGTGGTTGTCGCGAGAGAGGGTGTGGAGAAGTTCAAGAAGGAGCGATTCGAGATTATCATTATCGATACTTCAGGTCGACATCATCAGGACGAGGCGCTGTTCGCCGAGATGGTGGAGATTCAAGGCGCAATATCGCCACATCAGACAATCATGGTGTTGGATGCGAGTGTGGGTCAGGCTGCCGAATCACAAGCCAGGGCATTCAAGGAAGCTTCCGACTTTGGAGCCATTATCATTACGAAAACCGACAGTGCAGCCGTAGGAGGAGGCGCCATTTCTGCCGTTGCTGCTACCCACACGCCGATTGTTTTCATTGGTACGGGAGAGCACTTGCTGGACATGGAGAAGTTCAACCCTCAATCTTTCGTCTCGAAACTGCTTGGGATGGGCGATATGCAGGGCTTGGTGGAGCATGTGCAGTCTTTGAAGTTGGATCAGAAAGAGACGTTCAAGAACATTCAGGAGGGCAAGTTCTCTGTTCGTGATATGCGAGATCAGCTTGCGAACATCATGAAGATGGGTAAGTTCGAAAGTTGCTGAGGTATTCTCTACGTGTACTGATATTGATTGTAGGTCCATTGTCGAAAATGGCAGGCATGGTAATTGATCGGCAGCAGCCAATCCATAAAAATTAAAGCTAACAGTCTCGCAGATTCCCGGTCTTAGTAACGTGATGGGTCAAATGAACGACGACGAAGGTACGCGAGCTTAGCCCATCCTCATTCACAATGACCCCTACTGATACTTCCCCCAGGCTCCATGAAACTCAAACGAATGATGATAATCTGCGACTCCATGACAGCCAAAGAGCTCGACTCCGACGGCAAAATCTTCGTCGAGCAACCCACGCGCATCACCCGCGTCGCCCGCGGCAGCGGCACCAGCGTGCGCGAAGTCGAAGAACTCCTCTCCCAAACGCAGATGATGGCCGGCATGGCCAAGAAGATGGGCGGCAACATGAAGAAGATGCAGGCTGCGCAGAAGAACCCGGCCATGGCGTCGCAGATGCAGCAGATGCAGCAGCGCATGAAGGCGATGCAGGGGCAGGGGGGTGGCGGGATGCCCGGGATGGGAGGTATGGGTGGGATGCCGGATATGGGGTCGCTTATGAAGGTATGTTTGTGATGATATGGGAGAAGTTGTGGGGATGATTATGCTGACTATGTTGTGCTAGATGATGGGAGGTGGTGGCGGCGGAGGCGGAATGCCGAGCATGGGCGATATGCAAAAGATGATGCAGCAAATGGGCATGGGTGGGATGCCTGGCATGGGCGGTGGGAGGAGATAAGGCACAAGAGACACTTCTATTCTTTTCGAAAAGGCATAGCGAAGGCGTTGAAGGCGTAATACCAGGGAAAGGACATATTGGTATCAAGTCAAGGCTTGAGTTCACGACGACATGCAGCATGGCATGGATGCGTGTACAGGACAAACCCGGGACAGAAAACCACATCTATCATCATAAATTCAAGCAAAAGCTAAAGGAAAACAATCTATCCCAGCCCGTCTATCCATGCATTCCCTTCCATTCTCATCAAAGGTCCCCCAACCCCAAAGCCCGAAACTCAAGCACTGAAAGGCTGGATATAGTAGAACCCTGTCTTCTTCTTCGCGCTCTGCCTCTTGGGCCTTTCCTCCTCATCAACTTCTTCAAGAGGAGAAGGGGTGCGTTGACCATACGGCACAGTCCTCGCGCTCGAGAAGACAGGTTTCCGACTTGGAGTCTTTCGTTCTGCTGATGGCGTGGATGTGTAGGCGGGCTTTTTGACGGGTCTTGCTGTGCCGCGCTTTTGTTTTCGAAGGGGTAGGTCGTGGGCGCGGGTGGTCTCTTTAGTGGTGAGCTTTGAGCGTGGGTTTGAGTACTTGTTGTCGGGAGACGACTCGGTGACTGCAGAGCGATGATTTTTGCTCTTTGTCTTCATTCTTTGCGTTTGTGCATCGCTTTCGTCCGAATCGTGTCGCCTTTTAGGCGTATTCGGCATGTGACTCGAAGAATGCCATCGCAGTGAGCCTTCATCCTCAATAGACGAAGCCCTAGCGGATTCGTTCCCCCGTGCCCTCTTCGATCCTGACTTGTTGCGCGTCGGTAGATCACTATCACCATCGGTAGCCGATCCCACAGCAGGAGAAACGGTTCTCTAATCCGACCTCCTCAAAGGATGTCCTCCTCTCCCAACCCTCACATCCCCAGCAGCCGGACTAGCCTGCCGACTCCCAGCACCCACCCTCCCCTTGATCGGACTTCCAACTCTCGGACTCCTGGGAACACTACTCTGTCTCGTGCCCATACGCCCCCTCGTCGCCTCCTTCAACCTCGTGATCTCTTCATCCCTGAACTTCAGGCCCGCCTCGCGGTCTTGCAGCACAGCCTTGAGCTTCGCATTCTCCCGTTCAAATAGCTTGTACCGCATGTCTTGTGAGGCCTGTCGAGCCCGGGCTGCTTCTCCTTCTGCACGAGCGGAAGCGACTACGAGCTCCTTTTCGAGCTCGGCTTTCTCCAGAGCCAGATCACGAGCGCGGCTTGAGCAGTCCTGGTACATTTCCCGTGAGTACTCAAGCTCTTTTTGTGCAGCCTGGGCCCTCTTCTCTGCCTTGTCCCTGTCTGCTTTGGCTTGCTCCATCTCGGCTCGCAGTGCCTCGAACTCAGCCCGCTCCGGAACAGTGTGGTCGAGGAGCTTTCGATTAGCCTCCTCCAGCTTCTCTTTCAGCTCTGTTCGCTCAGCCCGCAAAGCGGAGGAGTTCGTCTCAGTGACTCTCATGCGTTCAACAGCAGCTGACGCAGTGGCAATGGCACCATCTCGCTCGCGCTGCACCTGGACCAGCTCGACACGTTGATCCTCATGTCGGTACTGAAGGTCTTCCAATGCTTTGACATGCCCTTCGAGCCGATTTTGTTGCTCTTCAAAAACCTGATGTAAATGTTGTTCCGCTGTGCTCGCTTCGCCGGACGCGTACAATTCACTGACGGGCAAAAGATTCGACTGCGTTCCGTGACCGAGCGAGTCACTCACATGAGTGATCTCGACATCCTGAGGGTTGATAGTAGCAGGCATCACGTCCGCATCAGACTCCAAACGAGGCCTCTTCGACACATCGCCGGAAGACGTTGCGTCATCGGCACTGTCGAGCGGTCTCTTGACGCTGTTGCTCTCCTGTGCACTTGACGATTGCTGGTCAAGGCCGGAAACCCCGTCAGTGTCAGTTTGACTGTCCAGATTTTCGATGACACTAAGAGGCTCGAGAGGCCATTCAGCCTCAGGGTCCTCCAGATAGTCGACAACGTCCTGAGCAGCCTGCTTCAACGAGGGCAGTTGTCCCTTACCATCTCCTTTCTTGGAGAAGTGGTCGTGAAACTGGTTGATCGCTGTTAGCAGTGTTCGGGTACGAGCTTTGCCAGTCAAGCCGGGAAGTAGAGATCGTTCGATGTGCTCGATGGTGCGAGGAGCGACAAGGATATAAAGACCAGCCCAGTCGTTAGCCCAGCTCATGCTTTCATGTCTCTTGTGTTGCCTATAAGCTCGAACTGTCGGATGTTGATATTGAACCAGTCCATCCATAGCGATGACGATATCAGCAGGTTCAATGTCGAGTGCTTCCTGGTCCAGATCCACAATGGTGGCTCTCACAGCACTTTTGACTGAAGGCTCTTCATGCTCTGACGACTCCTGCTCCGGCAATTCCTCGTTTGTGGGAGGGTAGCTCTTCTTAAACGAGACATGACTGCCTTTCAGGAGCATCTCCAGCATGTCCGCAACTTTCTGGCCGCGCACAACGATAGCGATGTGGAAGCTGCGATCGGATTGATTGTTGATGAACTCTCGTAGGAAGCGAAATTTAGCGCTGGAATCACAGTCCCACTGGGCCTGGCGCTCTGGCGTGGAAAGTTGAGACAACGCCTCGGGATTGACCAGATCTGGGTGCATGACTATGCACCGCAATCGATCGAAGAGACCATCTGCTTGCTTGAGAAGACTTTCACTCGGATCTCGTTCCTGCAGGAACTTCTTGATCATGTCGTCGTGTAGCCAGAGGTTTTGCAGGTAAGAATCTCGCTGAATGCCAAAGAGTCCAACAGGCACATCGTGTACATTGGCAATCTCAGGGTCTGCCTCTGGCTCTTGTAATGGTCGAGAGGTGCTTTCGCCGTTTGTGTTGTGGGTCTCGTTTCCAGAGTTGCTGCCCTGGGCCTGCGGAAGAAGGGTCTCGTACCTCTCTGAGGTATTCATCTCCTCTTTTGTGACTTCGGGAGACGGCTCCATCGCAGGAATCATCGAAGGCGATCGCCCACCCTCCGGTGGAAGAGAAAGGCGCGCTGTTCGCTGTGCTGCTGTTACTTCAGCGCTGATCAACGGTGGCAGCGATGAAGCGGGTTGGCCGTTGTTCTGTATTTGTAGGAGCGTCTCCTTCGGTGACGGTGTCTTCGCCATGTCTTCAGGTGTATCGAGCTGCGGCGGGGCGCTTTCGCCGAGAAAACCCAAGGACTGCGACGGAACCAGTGGAAATTGGCTGTAGTCTAGTGTTTGTCGAGGGCTAGGCTGGGAATGTGACTTTTGTGCAGATGCTGTGGTGTCTGCTTTACTCCTCCCAACCCGGTTCGTGCTCAAGCTTTCGAGAGGAGGTCGGATTTGAGTCTGAAAAGGAGAAGAGTACTGAGTCGAGGGATCTTGCCTCCGCTCTGATGGCTGCTCTTGGGACTGCGACTCGCTTTCACGGGGTGCAGACGGCAGAGAGTGGGAGACGCTCGTCGAGTTTGCTGCGTTAGCAGGCGACTCGTTCGCGAGAGAACTTCTGGGATGGGTTGCAGAAGATGGAGGCGGCTTCTGGCCAGCCGGAGGAGGCCTGTAATGTGACGACCGACTCTGCAGCGTGAAAGAAGGCCCGAGACTTGAGTATGGAGACTGCTCCTGGTCCTCGTTCGAGCTGACGATGATAGGTCGCTGTGCGTCCTCTCCGTCGACAACGCTTTGATTCGTCTGAGTATTCGCTGGTGTTGAGATTCTACTCTGGTCAAGCTGCGTCGGGTGCTTAGAATGTCTGGGGGATCTGCCTTGAGTATTGTGCTGCAAGCTTTCGTGCTGACTAGCTTCAGGTACCGAACCAGAATTTGATGCTGGCTTTTGGGGATACAACGGTTGGTGACCAGAAGTTACCGCTCCTTCGGGTCTGCCGTGCGCAGAGCTGTTGCGTAACTCACGCCTAAGTTGGGAATCAGCTTCGACGGTATCGTCGTCCTGGAGTGCGCCGGACGACGCCTGTTCTTGTTCCTGATGAGTAGGCCCAAAACCAATTCGCCCCTCAACCAAAGATGAGCGCTGTTGAGAAGTGCTGTTATCCTGATTACAGTCCGTATGTTCTGGTGTGGTATTTGCAGCTCCTTCTAATTCTGCACGACCAGTAGTCGTATCAGCTCCTGGAAACACCTGACTAGCAGCTGCAGAGTTCAAAGTAGATTTCTTGAAGGCACTCGACGCAATCTGCGTTTTGGACGCTGCGATAGGCGATTGTCTAACGGCTGATACAGCTTCGCTCTGCGCAGTACTATGACGTCTCGAGCCCGATACTGTCGAAAAGCCCTTGAAACTCGAAGACTCTTCGTACAACAGCTGGCTTTGCGAGTCGGGAATGACCAAGCTCGTGCCGTTGCCGGTCTCTGTCGAAGTTACTTGGCTTTGAGTCGGAGGCACCGGATCTTGGCTCTCAACACCGGGCACCACGTTCGGAGATCGCTGGGTGTTGGACACAGGACTTGTCTGAGGACTTAGCTTCTCGTATGCTCCGGCGTCGAAGCTAGAAGGTGGGTTGCCGAGTTGCACTTGGACTTGCTCCCCTTCGAATCGGGTAAGCGATAACTGCGAAGGATTGTCACCGTCGTCGACTGTGAGGGCACCCTCTGTATCGCTCTCCTCAATTTCGAGTTCTGTTCCGGGGTCGTTGGCACTGCTAGACGGCGCAGGTTCAGGCCGAGGTGAGAAGTCCGATTGTTGACCCTGCTCTGGCGACGAGCTTTCGATGACTTTCCTGTTTCTCGCCGGTGGTGGCTTTGCAAAGGATGGAGTAGCGGCTTCGGCTGTAGGTCAGGATCAGTATGGATAACCGACTAAGTAATGAATAACGCAGTGAAGGGACGTACTGTCAGACAAAGAAGTCTCAGGGACAGGCCTGTTTTTGGGTGGCCTGCCTCGTGGTCGTTTCGCTGCAGACTCAACAGGCTGAACAGGATACTTCCTCGGTCTACCTCGTCCACGCTTCACGGGCGCAGGAGTAGCAGCAGCAGTAGCAGCAGGAGGTTCTTCGATTTCTACCAGAAGTCAGCATTTCAGATCCTTATATAATTACCCAGCCATGAAGAGAAGAAACAAACTCACGTTTCAGTGCCTCCTTCCTAGCCTCCCACTCCTCAACAGCAAGTCGATTCGCGTTCTTCTTAGGCTCCCAGGTCGGCTCGTAAGATTCACCAGTGACCTCGTCGTCAGCCCAATCGATTTCGTACTGGTCTTCAGTCTCCTGGAGGATAGCCCGGACTTTATACAGTCGCTCGGGGTCGACGTTGCCGTGAGGATGTGGCGTCGTCTTCACTTCTAGAATAACACCTCCACGTCAACCACCGATCTAAAAGCCCACGGACACTCGATGAGAGGCGCAAACTTCCTTTCGGAACGTTGCTGCGTGCATACGTGCGTGGTAGAATCGACATACCTTCACGACGCCTCTTGTCTCGTCCGCTTTCAGGTGTTCCTAACAATGTCGAGCTGCTGCGCTTCCGCTTGGCCATTATGCGGCCGCGACGTCGCGCGAAGCGATGCCTGTCGACGCCATGATTAATATTCTGCACTGTAATTGGAAAGGGACGGAAGTGATGTTGTTCGGCGGTGTTGATAGAAGGTCCAAGGGCGGAAACTCACCAACAAGGTGGAGCGCGGCGTCTTTGTCCCCGGGTCTTGGCGTGGATCGTCGGTCGTGTGGGCGAGACGCGTTGCGTGAGGGCGTGTGTGAAGATGGCGGCGAGGAACACCGGGATTGTGTTGATTGCCGATTCGAGGATGTGATTGCCTCGCGGGTCTCTTTGCTCACGCGGAAACACTGGTTGCGAGGAGTGATTGGTAGAAAGAGTAGGAAAATAGCGGAGCGTGAACAGGTGGACTGCGACGCACGTGCGCTGAATTTAAAGCTTCGCAGGGGGATGGAAGTTGACGCATCATTTCTCTCGAGCTTCTGGCATTCACCTGATGAGCGGTGGATAGATCCTTCACACATGCTTGGCAAAACACGCTGTACTTCTGCAACTTTTGCGTTTCCTTCCCACCGTTCGTATCGCCGCCCCAGTGCAAACTCCCCAACTCCTCGCTCTCCTCCCCACGCCACTCCGTCCCAGTCCTTCTTTCGAGATCATCCAGTCTCGGACGCAGAGCGGTCCTTTTGCTCCTTCACACGCTTGCGCTCAAGATCGCGAATCATGTCCGGGGGACTGTCTTCAATCAAATCAGAACCCTCCCCCTCATTCAGGCCAGTCCACTTGGGAAGTCCGTCTGGGATGTCCATGACTCGCTCGCGGTAGAACATGTGCAGTCTGGGAAGGAAGTTAGCATCGACATACTTTATTGACAGTCGACTGTACTCACCTCGGCTTGAAATTCCTCTTCTCCTGATCATTTTGAAATTTGATCAAGCTAGGAAAGAGCAAGATCATATTCCGGCCTTCATCCATAATCGGCGAATGGCAGTAGTTGCACCGAACCTTGCACGGTAGCTTGTGCTCAACACTCTTCGTAGACGGGTCATACCACTCGAGATGGTGATGACCGTCACGGAAGTTGATATCGTCCTTGTGAAAGATGGCTGCCCACTGGAAGGGGGCAGCATGAGACGTCTGGCAGGTCGTGCAATGGCACAATTTGCTATCCAGAGGCTCCTCCCGGCTCAGCTCGTACTTCACCTTGCCACAGTGGCAGCTTGCCTCGTATCGTGCTTTGAAGTGTTCGTTTGACTCGTGGATGCGGTATGGTGCTCGCTTCTTCCACTCTTCGACTTTCTCCTTTTGGGTGTTTGGGTGTTCGACACTGTTGGCAGATGGCATGACGGCAGTTGATGTGAAGAAACGGTTGCTAGGGGCGGAGGCGAGTCGTAGTTGGGAGGCAATTGGTTGGCGTTGTCTGATAGTGGTGCGGGCGGTAGTGTTGTACACTTTCGGTACCTGTCTGAGGACTTCAAAGCTCATCAATGGGCGTCGATGACGGGATTTGTTTAGTGAACACGCTGCAGAGGAGAAAGGTAAGGAATTGAGATTCTGAAATACTTATGGGATGTTCGTGAGGTCTTTCTTACGTCGTGGACGCCCCTATTGAATCCACACCTAATAGTGACGTGGTCGAAGTGTCGTCTGTGATTTTGGCAAGCAGCGTTCCTTGCAATGCACGGGCCCTCCTCCCCGCAGTCGCGTGAGATCAAACTCAATCTCGACGTCAGTCAGATTAGCTTTGGCGCTTGTGCGCAGTGCCTCTATTTGGTTGATCGATCGAAGACATTGATGGCCTTCGTGCTTCATATTATCGCGGCTAGCTGCCCCTCTGCAGCGCCGCCGTCGCCTCCTTTGGACTGAGTCCCAGGATATTCGTCAGGTACTCCAATCTGAAGCAACGTCAGTATCGCTCTGAACCCCTTTCTGTTGTTCACTTACTGCGCTGCCTTCGCAATCCTCTGCCGCACGCCTTCAAACTCCTTCACGCACTTGTCCCACACGATCTCTCTCTTGTCAGGATCCACCGTCTTGATCCGCATCCGTAACCTTCCGCTGACTGGCCGATGGTCAGATATCCGGATCTGGTCCCATCGCCTGTACTCCTCCATCTTGACCTTTCCAAGGCCACGGTATAGGATGCGGTCGCACCAAGCTGGAGCTCGACGTTTCTCAGACGTGTCATAGTCGTCGCTGTGCACGTTGTATTTGTACGTCGGCGCAAACCTGATGGGTGATTCCTGGAAGGCTCGCAGACGGAAGCCCGGGTTCTTCTTCCGACTAAGAAGAAGCTGGTCACGCTCGAGGAGTCTCGCCAGGTTCCCTTGTTGAATCTGCTTAATCACCGCATCGCGACCCATAGTATCGATGCGGTAATTCAGATCTCCATTCAGGATGCATATCTCGTGGTCGAGGATCATGCTACCATCTCCGCCACCTGCAAAGACATCGCCGTGGTCGACAAGCTCGTTCTGATCCAGCGGGTACTGAGGCAGCGCATTCGTTTCCAGAATCTCGGCAACATCGTTGTTTCGATGCATTGTATGCGTCTGTCCTGCTGCAAGATGACAATTGACGAAGCAGATACTGCTGTCATCCAAGACCATGCGCACGATAAGAGCACCTTTGTTCCCGTGCATACCTCCCATGCCTCGCTTGACTTCAGACGTATGGACATGCCGAATTCGTTGTCGCTCAGATGATTTCACGAAAATGCATGTGAAGAGACCGACCATGCTCGTGGTATGCAGCAAAGTATATGTCTGGTTCGTCGGCATATGCTCGTCGAGGCAGCCAGTGAGGTGGTCTCTCCAGGCACGGTATTGTCGAGACATGTGCTGCTCCTCAGCAGGATCCTTCTTCTTGCTTTTGAAGAATGACTTCGCAGTGACCTTCTTATCTTCCAGGTCGACGAGCTCCTGAAACCCAAAGACAAAGATATCCGGGGGATCGCCTGACCTCATGAAGTCGCGGAAGAAGTTACTGTCATCGATGCTGTGCTGCAGGAAGCTAGGCTTCGAAGCGCCCGCGTTCCATGTTAGCACTGCTGCGGTCAACTCTCGGAAGCTGCAGAACTCGGAGTCGCGACTTTGCATGCGCGCTTCGATCCAGTCTTCCTCCAGCATTCCATCCCAAATACGGAGTAGATTGTCGAGCCCTAGCGTGACCAAATTGAGGCGTCCCATCTTCCACATTGCCGAAGGGTCCGCAATGATGCTGCAGATTTGCTTTTCATGAGCTTTCCAGTCCTTTTTGACAGTCCACGGCGTTGTCGATGTGTCGTAGACGTACGCCATCCCAGTGCTGTAACCCGCCCACAAGTGATCGCCGACTCCGACGAGCGAGCTGATCTTGTATACGCTGACATTGACCACGGCTTGACAGGTGTAGTTTGAACGATTGTAGACGCTGACTTTGCCATCCGAGTGCCCGAAATAGACCAAGTCTTGCTTTCCATTGAGCGTAGCTCCAGATGTGACATCGCCACATCCGGACTGGATAAGTGGGCTCTTCAACACTTGGAACTCGGTGTCGGATTGCGCACTTGGCAGAAAGACACGAATCTCTTTGCCACAAGCAGTCCAGAGCTGTTTGCCCGAAGCGAGTGAGAAAGACACGCCCTTGGGAATGCGCCAGTTGTTGGATTGCGAGTCCAAACTGGGCATACCCTTGTGGTCAGGCCTCCATACAAGAAGTTCGCCGCCATCGTCCAATGTCCACAGTTCCGACTCGTATCTGAACATGCGGATGACTTCGCGTCGGGTGTGAGCTGCTTTTGTCTTTACAAGCGACTGGGTCGGGATGTCAACCTCGTGGATTTCGCCAACATTTGTCCCAAGCCAGAATCTCTTGCCCTCGTCTTCGATGTTGGGGGATGGCTTGAATACGATCGACGTCACTCTCGTTTGGTCGCGATGCTCCATGTTCAGTAACTCTTCTCCAGTCCGCAGATTCCATGCCTTCGTGATGTAGCCACTTGTGCATATGTAATCGCCGCACACAGCAAATAACCTTGTATCATAGAATGTGGGAATTTGCCAAGGGCGCTGCTTGAATCTCGGTGGTCTCCTGTTGGACCGCGTACCGTCTGGATAATCTTGAGGGCCTGCAAAATTGTCGTTGTTGAAGCCAGGGGGTGCTATGTCTTCCTCGTCGTCGTGCGACTGTCCCTGGACGTGTCCGCCGATAGTATGAACTGCGCCGGCTGGCGCTGTAGATGATGGGGGAGGCGGCGGCGGACGCCTTTGGTCCATAGAACGACGTGGTGCAGGGACTGCAGGAGCTGCAGAAGGTGGTCCCGAGGTTGGTGATCTTTCAAAGCCTAGGGCAAGAGCAGACTTTGTTCCTGTCCTGACAGCAGGTATTCTGGGGGCGTCCGTATCTGAACCAGCAGCCACATTTTTCAGCCCGTCTACCGACCTCTTAAGGGGTAGCTTGCCAAACTTGGTCGGACTGGTTCTTCCAGACCGTACCTTAGGAGGGCTGGTCCGACCAGGCCGCATCTGCAGTTCCGGCCTGAGTGGAAGCCGTGGACGCTCTTCTGGTGAATCGTCTACCTCGTGTGTGTCACGGCCGGGGGCAGGTCGATACCTGGCCGGCATTGTTGGTGCTCTTACCAGGCCGTTAGCTTGCTGTTCCCGGCGTGCAGCAACAGCATGGTGTGTTGGAGGGGGCAGCCAGCTGTCAGGTAAGGATGAAGACTCAACAAACGACGCGTTTGAGCCTGTCCTTGCCCGGTCAACGAAGGAAGCGTCAGAGTCACCACGAATCCTCTGCACCCAAGACGCCTCCGAATCATTCCGCGGCCTCTGTGGTATGGGCGCATGCGTGTTGATCCTGTGCCCGTGTGTGCTTTGCGGTCCAGGGTCTTTCTTAATGTCAGGAGAGCTGCCTTCGCTGCTTGGCGGTGTACTAAACGGCGATATGCTCTGATCCGTCAGCTCTGCACTAGGTTCTGGTGCAGCAAGGGTACTAGGCTTCTTTCCCAGAATCTGCGGTTTTACAGGCACTTTTGGCTTGGCAGCTCGATTCACCACAGGCGGCTCCTTCGTTGGATCAGCCTTCACAGGCTTTTGCTGCGGCGATGGCAGTGGTGGAGCATCCTTCACAACGGGTGACTCAGTAGCTTGCAAGAAAGCTGCTGCTCTTGCCTCTAATGCTGGAGTCGCCGCTCGACTGATGTTACGAGAGTGTGATTTAGGTGATTCGCTCGTCCGATTGGGAGTGAGTGGCTGCAATGGTGTCGTACCGGCAGATGCTGAAGGACGTAGATCTACAGAGAACCCCTTTTGGGGTGAACGAGGAGAGTCAACCGTGACCAGAGGAGGCGAATGGGGCGCTGGAGGACTCATAGGCCCCATAGATGAAGGCCGTGGCTGAGTTGGCTTTGGCTGCAGCCTTCGTGGTGTTGGAACGGTGGGCACGACCTGCGCAGACGGCGTCGACACCGGGCCCAACCCCAATCCGACAACATTACTCTCCCCTGCTGAAGTTTTCGGCCTTGTAGCAGGTGATGCTGGATTGGCAGTCAACGATGACTGCCGCGGAGGTCCCACCGGCGACTGCGGGGTCTCATTGTCCTTTCCCAAGTTCTCGAACTTGGACTTCAGCGAAGAGAAGGGTTTGATGGAGGTGGTATCCGGACCATCTCCAGGGTCGGCCATGGCGATAGGACGCCAGTCTTCAGGGTGTGCGTAACAATATAACAAGCTTCCAACTCATCGCCCGCCAGGCTGTACACAGCTCTTCCATGAATGTCGTTGCCCCAATCGTGTGAATGTCAGGAGAGTGTACAGAGCAAGTGGGAGCTTCGGCGGAGAGAAAGTTGGTCTTGCATGCCGACAGGGAAGCGTGTCCTCAAGAAATGGCCATTCCACGTAATCCCTGGCGAGAGGTTGAAGGGTGCTGATTTGGAGGTGGAGTGAATGGCGTATTGGGGTCGCGGGCGGTGGTGAAGGTGAAGACGGCGGCAGTCTCACGTTGGCAGCTCCGGGGTGGCTGTGCGTGCCTGACAACAGCAGCAGCAGCAGCAGCAAATGCGAAATACGGGCGAAGTTGTTCCTGTGCGAGGCCCATCACGAGCGCTGACGATCGCCGCGTGTTTCCTCTCCACGCTCGGCTGCCGCCGACAAACCCTGTCTGTCACTCTGCGGCGCCCTGAAACAGCGAGGGGTGTTTCAGATATCCGCCCAGAGGCACGAGCACTACCATACCACTTCACGCGACCACACGCCGACCGACGCGACATCGAAACAACAACACACCTGTCAAAATGTGGTACGTTCCTATTGCCAGGACTTGCCTCCCACGGAGTCGCCAGCTGATTCGCTTCCAGCAAACACATCCTCAACGCCCAAGTCTCCATCCGCTCCCCCTGCTGCAGACAGTGGTTCGACTGCGCACAATGCCACGCCGATGCTCAAACCCACACGCTCAAACAGGCCATGGAGATGACCTTCGCCTGCAAGAAGTGCAAAAAGTGCTTCCGCAAGGACATGAACGAGTTCGATGAGAGTGACGAGTACTGCCCGCACTGTGACAACCACTTCGTCATCGAGGCCGTGGAGCCAAAGGCGAGACTGGAAGTGGAGGGAGAGGATGTGCGGAAAGATGCGAGGATGCTCAAGGACGAGCGCGTCAAGGCAAAGGAAGGCTTCAGCATCTGGGAGGACGAGGGCGAGGCGTCAAGATTGGGATGAAGAAAGACCTGGAACACGACTTTGTGGTTGACAGTACTTCGAGCGGCATCAGAGGAGAGGTTAAAACCAGGCATGAAAGTTACGATATCAAGACCTTACGATTGAAGGACCAACACGCATCTGTCGATTTCCGAGTCAATTCACGGCATACAGGAAAACTTCACCTGCTGCCTCATTGAATTTGATACAGTACTCCCGATGCGAGGCTACCAACATCTTGCCACTCGAGCCTGCATCTTCGGTCAGTCAATTTTGTCTTGCCCGAGAACTACTGGTCCCGGTTCGGCAAAGCCAAACACCGCCGAAGCCAGACTTCCAGACAGTGTTCGCATAAGGGAACCAGGCGCAGGTTCAGGAGATCACCGCAGCAGAAATAACCTACCCATTCGCAAATGGAACATGCGTATACGAAAACTCTATCACCTATCACCAAGTGGAGCCTTTTGATATCTGCCAGGCCAAAGCCGGTTCCTTCCAGTGACAAAACGCAGCCGAATCCTTCAAACAAATCACAAATTCGAAATGGAAGGTGTCCCTGCCATGCCATACAACCACATTATCACGCATGCTGAAAACGTCCCGCTAGATCCGTTGATCGGCTGCACTCGGACCAAAGTCGACGACACCACGTCGATGAGCTGCCAAGAGCAGGATAGCGTACTCACTGCTGTACCTACTAGTAGCAGAATTGCAAGATACCGCAACTCCGCCATGCAATCCTGTCCAAGCTCGCATTGCAGAATAGATAAGTATAAACGGGGCCCGTATATCAGCATTTTGTCAAGCATTTAGTACGGCTTGACTTTCAAGTTTCACGATTTCAGCCAACAAACATGAAGTCGGCTTTCCTGCTCATAGGGCTGGCCTGGCTCGCATCTGCCTTCCCACAGGGTGGACCAAAGAGACTCAGGGCACGACAGAGTACATCCCCATACCCGGTCTACACATTCGATCAGAAGGTCGGGATACTTCAAGATTATTGCCGCTCTCAAGCTAAATGCTAATCAAGCACAGCTCGATCACTTTCCAAACAGTACTCGCTATGAACCTCATACCAATCGAACGTTCAAGCAGCATTACTACGTCGACAACACGTATTACAAGCAGGGTGGGCCAGTGGTCTGTTTAATGAGCGGAGAGTCTTCCGCGGCAGGCTATGCGAGCATTGCTTTTCCTTCTGGCTGTACGTTTTGGCCCATCAGTCTTGTCGCCGCCGCCGTCCTTGTTGATATTAGCAATAGTGTTGAAACTATTTCTGCAAGAGTTCAATGGCCTAGGAATCGTCCTGGAGAATCGCTACTATGGCGCCAGCTATCCTTTCAACACTACTACCACTGACAACCTGAGGTTCTTCACCACAGAGCAAGGTAAGGCGTCTACTACACAGTTCCTGGGCTGGCTAGTTCTGATCATTGCAGTCCTTGCCGACACGGCACACTTCGCGCAGAACGTGATTCTACCCGGCTATAATGCCTCACTACAAGCACCAGAATACCTTTGGGTCAGTGTTAGGCGTACACGTTCCATCCGAGACATCCAGCAATGTCATTGACTGACGAATTTCCGTTCAATAGGTTCTTTTCGGTGGAAGCGTTCCAGGAGGCCAGGTGGCTTTCGCAATGAAAGAATACGGCGATGTATTTTGGGGCGGATTCGCCTCCAGCGGTCTCACGAAAGGAGTCTTGGGCTATCCCGAATGGTATGAGCCAATCCAGAAGTTTGCGCCTCAAGATTGTACTGCCAGTCTCAATGGCATCATCGACAAGATCGACACGGTCTTCGCGAATGGCAACGCAAATCAAATCAGCCACATGAAGAGCATCTTCGGCCTCGAAACCCTGCACGAGAACGGCGACTTCGCTCAGACCATCGCTTACCCTCTCGGAGGCCCCTTCCTCTACCCAGGCGCGACATGGCAAGAGATCAACTGGGACCCAGCTGTAGGCTATTCGGACTTCTTCTACTTCTGCCACAACATCACGAACCCCGACAGCACCAAGAACATCACCTCTCTCGACTACGCTCTAGCCCCGTACACCAACAACGAACCCTGGTCAAACCTCGGCAACTACGCAAACTACATCAAACAATACCTCATCCCTACATGTGACGGTGTCCCCGTCAACAACAGCGCCTGCTTCCTCCAACACAACCAATCCTACTGGGCCGACACAACCAACTCCGTCCGCCGCTCCTACCTCTACACCATGTGCACCGAAATGGGCACCTACATCGCCGCACACCAAGACAAACCCAACCTCGTCTCCCGCGTCCTCACGCCCGAGTACACCCAGCAGTGGTGCACCTGGGCCTTCCCCCCGGGGAAACACAACAAAATCCCTCCCACCCCGGACCTCGCCCGCTACAACGTCTACGGCGGCTCGAACATCTCCGCGCCGCGTCTCGCCCTCATCGGCGGCGAGCAGGACGTCTTCCGGGACGTTGGCTTCTTCGCCGTCGATCGGGGGGAGAGGTATTCGTTGAGCGTGGAGGATGCGTATCTGCACCCGCAGATGCTGATTGAGTCCGGCGGGCATGTCTGGGATTTCGAGGCGTTGAATAAGGGGGATGTGTGGGAGGAGGGGAGGGAGCCGCAGTTTATCAGGGAGGTGCATTTGTGGGAGTTGAGGGTTATGAGGAGGTGGATTGAGATGTGGGAGGGGAGGAAGGGGGGTTGGGGTTCGAAGAGGGATGAGCTGTGATGTGCTGTCGAGTTTCTGGATATGTGGCTGTGAGAAGACATTCCGTACAACTCATGCTCACCCCCTGTCCTATTTTCGGGCCCGAACATGCACTTCTCGGCCTCTGGTGACCTTCGCCAACATCAGCATGCCGACCACTGCTATAAAGACCATCTACTACACCAAGACCCAATCCGCCCCAATCTCACTCCACCCATCCACCAAAATGTCCACCCTACCCACCATCCCCGCCGTCCTAATCGGCATAACCCGGACCACAGCCCTCTCCTCCAGTATCGACCTCTTCACCGGAACGCCATACTCCATCGCCGCAGTCCTGGACCTCCACGAAGCCCCCGAGAAGTACCAATTCAGCCTCAGCAACCTCGGAACGGTGCTTTACGCTTTGCACCCCAGACCGCGGATTCTCGGGACGGGGACGGCGATTGAGGCGGAGATGGTTGAGGAGATTGAGAGTGTTTGGGGGGAGCATGTTGGGAGGGTTGAAGGGAGGTGCTGTTGGGTTGCGGTATGTTTCTTGTGGGGTTGGGGGTGATTGATTGATGGAGGTTTTGCTGACCTCGAGGGGAAGTTGTCGAAGACGCATGGACGGCCTGGGCCGCCGCCGCCGGGGATCGGCGAGGAGGTGATGAGGCAGTTGGATGCGGTGTTTCGACCGGAAGTGAAGCATTCATGAGAGGTGGACGCCCCTTGTTTACCTGATGCGTGAGTCTCATGGACAATCATCGAACTTCAGTGATTGGAGATTCGTGTACAAAGCCTCGAGCGGGCCTCTCGGGCCTCACGGGCTGGTGTCTAGTAGCTTACTGTACATGGGGCATATCGGACCCAAAGCTGTGCAAATCGCTTCTAACGCTGTACATCAGCAAGACTACAGCTTTTTGGGTCTTCTTGCAAAATCGCAACGAGCAAAAGCCGCAGTGGTGTTGCTGCGGGACGCGTCATTATTTGTCCGCGAAGTCTGATGCTTGCAAATTCCTGGTCATCGAGGGAAGCTTCACCACCAGTCCATCCAGTTCCTTGCTCATTTCCACTTGGCAGCCTAGACGTGAAGTCTCCGTCAGGCCAAAAGCGAGGTCCAGCATGTCGTTTTCGTCGTCGGAAGGTTCCTCCTGTGGATGTGGTGAGTCCCCGGTCATTCTTCTTCACTCCTGATAATGGCTTACCATCTTATCATACATTCCATCGTCTGTCACAATGACATGACATGTACTGCACGCACAGCTTCCTCCACATGCCCCCTCCATCTCCAGATCGTTCGCCTGAGCAATGTCTAATAGATTGTCTCCGTCTGCTACTTCGAACGTATGTTCATGGCCCTCCTTGTCGATGAAAGTCACCCTCCTCTCCTCACCCGGTTTTGGGGGTGTTATATCGCCATGTCGTTGGGTTTGTGTAGTCGAAAATGTTCTTCGTGCATCGGAGGTTCGTAAAACCGAGGAGGATTGCCGAGCAGGTATCCTTCTCGAGAGATTCGATATGGGTGTGTTGGATAATAGGGACGGCGTGTAGGCTTGTCGTCGGGGTATCGCCCTTGTTTGGAAGCATCTCTGCTGATGTGTCGGCTGATATCTGCATCTTCGTGTGCTACTTCGTGCTCCAGCCTCGAGGAAGTTTGCAGCCGTCCTGGACGCTGCCACGCATTGGCTGCGCATTTTGTTGGCTCCCAAATCCAGTCCCTGGCAATGACCGTGTTTTCCTCTTTGCCTGACTGTGTCCTCGGCGTGTATACGACTAGTCCAGCACGTGATGTGAATAAGCAGCTTTGTGAGGTCGAAGATTGAAAGATGGACCGGCGAAGACGGCGTCGTCGAGCTTCAGAGCAAGCTTTGCCTTGGCGGCGCTCGGAGGTCCGCTCGCAACAACCGTCATCCACATCTCTCTCTTCCTACGACACACTCCACCGACACACTGCTGCTGGAGCTGGAGCTGCACAGTACCGTATCCTTGGTCTGCCGTCATGGACAAAGACCGCTTTCCGATGGCGCCCTCGCGAGAACCGAACCCGCTGCGACCTTACTACATACCGCCCTCGATCGGTCCCAAACCATCAGTATCCGCATCGCAAACACCTGCTATCGGGAGGACTAGTGCACCGCGGCCAAGTGCGTCGATATCAAGCACTGCGCGTGATTTGTTCCCAGAGCTGGACCTGGACCTGAAATCAACGACCAGTGAAGCATGGCAGCACACAAGGAGCTTGTTCGACACCCTTGCGTGGAGGTATACATCGGTACTGCTTGCGCAACCGTTCGATGTGGCCAAGACAATACTACAAGTCTCCCTGCCTCCAGCGAGCACGGTGGCTACGCCGCAGAAAAAGAAGAACGCGCAATTTGCACATGGGAGCTCGAGAGGGCGAGGGAGTCGATATGAGGACGAGACGGAGGATAGCGACAGCGACAGAAGCGACGACATACCCGATTATTTCACCGCAACAGCACCGCGGAGTCGATCGCCCAGGAAACGCAGAAGAACGCCCCCTAGTGAAGATCTGTCACCCTCGCCTACACCCCGACCTAGGAACCGCAAAGAACAGGATGCAGTGGAAGATTACAAAGTCCGGGTAAAGAAGCCCGATGCTATCATGCATGCTATCTCTGCATTGTACAATACGTCTGGAGCTGTAGGATTATGGCGAGCAAGCAACACCACCTTCCTGTACTCGATACTTCTACGAACGACCGACTCCTTCATCCGGAGCTTACTACTTGCTATCCTTGGACTACCAGAGTTGCCGGGTCCGGATCAAGGTGGGCTGGCTCCAGGATTAAGTGCCTCCGGTGGTGCTGGATTCAGCGGTATCGATCTCAGCGACAGCCCAAACGCGATTGGTTCTCTGATAGTCGTTGGGCTCGCCAGTTGTCTGACAGGTTTGCTTCTTGCGCCTCTGGACTTGGTGAGGACACGGCTGATTGTCACGCCGCTGTCGACACCTCCGAGGGGGCTGGTTCAGAACCTTCGACGGCTGCCATCACTCGTCGCCCCGTCTAACATGTGGCTTCCGACTGCGCTTTACCACTCCATCCCAAACATTTTCTCGGCAGCCACACCACTCTTCCTTCGGCGTCAAATGCTAATCACTCCAGAACTGGCCCCTATTTTGTGGTCATTGGCGGCATTTACGACTAGTCTGACGGAACTGTTCATCCGTCTACCCCTTGAGACTGTAGTGCGACGAGCTCAACTATCGACAATCACGAAAGCTGAACCACAGACGCAACTCGTGGTCGACCCTGCCCCTTACAGCGGTGTATGGGCCACTGTCTACAGCATAATGTATCTGGAGGGAGAGACCACGACAAGGGCTGCCAACGGAATGTTGCGTACCCGCCGCGGTCAAGGTGCTGCTGGGCTGGTAAGAGGTTGGCGTGTTGGGTTCTGGGGATTGGTCGGTGTGTGGGGTGCTGGTGCTCTCGGTCCTGGCGATGTTAAAGGCAGGCCAGGCGAGTTTTGAGGAAGATGTTTGTGTGCTTTGATCGATACCCTCCTTTGGCAATAGATGATACCCCAATTTCTTGTGAGGATGCGATGTGCTTTCGAATGAGGCCAGAATGAGATAGCGATGATGAATGAGGAAGCTCTACTCTGTTCCGTCACTCTTATTGAGTCCCTTCCCTTCTCCTTAGTTTGTGTGGGAAGAACATGTGAACGTGTCGAAGTGAATAGACTTCAGCCGCATGTGCTTGGCGTGTTCAGGGTCCGTCCGCCGCTTCGGCATTCAGATGATCTGGCATCTCGAAACTACAACGTAGCCACAACCTTCTGGACAGTCGCATCCCAACGCACTTCACCCCCTTCGCACACCTCGATCATAAGCAGCAACCCAAGCAAACCGCCTGCAGAATCCGCTGCATCACCGCCATCATGGACGCAATAGACACCTACACGCAACTCCCGCTCAGCATCGACCCAGCAACAAAAGCGATCTCAACATCAGACTCGTCCCTCACAACCGAAATCGAAGAACTCAACAAGATGAACCGCGCCTTCATCGCCCTCGACGCACCCAACCAGATCCCTCCACCCCCGGCCCCCGTAAACCCCAAACGCAGCGTCCAAATCACCAAGCTCAAAGACTCCGGCAACACCTCGTACAAAAAAGGCCAATACGCCGACGCGCTCAAAATGTACGACCTTGCGATCCGCATGGCCGCCGACAGGCCTACGTGGGAGGCCAGCGGGCTGGTTCGGGAGGAGCTCAGCACATTGTACGGCAACCGGGCGCAGACGTTGATGGCGCAGCAGGCGTGGGCTGAGGCTGCGGTCGATGCGGAGACGGCGGTGGAGATGAAGAAAGTGGGGAATGTGAAGGCTTGGTGGAGGAGGGGACAGTGTTTGAAGGAGATGGGACGGTTGGAGGAGGCGGCGGAGTGGGTTAAGATTGGGTTGGAGTTTGAGAGGGCGGGGCCGGATAAGGGGAGTGTTGGGGAGTTGGAGACGTTGGCGAGGGAGCTGGGGAAGGCGTTGGATAAGTCTTGAGGGTGGTGTTGGGTGATTGAAGTGCGTGGCGGACAGAGTGGGCCATGCTGGTGTAGAGGGACATTCATCGAACCACGAGCTCCAACCCAGGAAGGACACATGCATACCATTACGACCCTCTTATCAGAAGCGCCATCACGAGGATCTGAGGACCGATCTGCCCCGAGTACAACCAGGATCCGACAAGTGAATAGGGGTCGATGAACGTAGTGTCACATGCAGCTTCGTATCGTTGCGATGGCTTGACCCTCGCTCACCCCACGGCCAACGAGAACGATTCGAAGGGGCTGAAGGTAGATTCGACCTTCACAGCCGCCCTTTCGTCTTGTATGGCATGTGTTTCGAGAACGGCAGACTTTAACAGGATGTTTGACTACAAGCTACGTAGGTATTCGTTGGTCAGTCAATTCAGCACTCAACCTTTGAGCAAAGCCTGTGCAATTCTTCAGTTCAAAGTGTCCTGTCCTCCAATTCGCCCCTATGCTCAGTTGAAAAACACCGCAGGTGTTTGGGGATGAATGCCAAGAGTGAGTGCCTCAGGCAGGCCTCCAATTCCGAAGCCCCCAACCTTCGATTCTCACAAACAATCTTCCTCCCCTCCTCTCAAATGAGCACACAACAACCCCTCCGCGAATCCGATCTCATCTTCTCATCCGCTTCATCAGCACTGAAAGATGCCCTCGGCGAACTCAAGCGCGCAAACTTGTCGATCAAGAATCGACTTCGATCCATCAAAGAAGACTCGGAATTCGTGACCAAAGTCGCAGACGCTTTCGATCTACCGTTGGTAGCCAACGAGAGATGTGGCAGCTGGTATATACCGCCTGATCGCAAGGCTGGGAGCGCGTACTTCAAGTCTACGGATGGACATTTTCATCAATGGGGGTTTAGTTTGAGGAGGTTGAATTTGCAGGTGTTGGATGCGTTGGGGAAACATGGAGGGTGGGTTAAAGTTGGATGAGAACTTCAATGTCTTCGTGCTGATTATCCCTAAGATGCGTTATCGTCGACTCTACACGGCGAGGCAAGAGCATGCCAGATGCTTTGTCCAAAACTATTCCGATCTGGATCACGGTTCTGAACCGTCTAATCTTCCCAGACGATGCTGAATCTCATGATTTGAGGACGCCGTTGGATGTGGTCTCTGAGTCTGAGCATGTTCAGATTGAGTCTCGTCTAGGTGAATGTGTTGAAGCTGCTCGAGGACTCAAGTTGGACCTCCAGCGGCTTCGGGACAAGCTACATAACAGGCGTATCCAGGTGACCTGGCAACGTCCGGGAGACACTTTGCCGGAGAGACTTGACGGAGATGTGTCAAATCTGATTGTACTCTGTACGGCTTCGAATCAGACCAGCAACGAGACTTCCGCGACCTCAGATTATGTTCAAGGAGCAGCTGACGATCCGGAGAGCTGGTCTCACGGGCTTGATTCGTCTTGCTTCTGGAGCCATCAGGAAGAATTGCTGTCGACTGCGGAAGATGGTTTGCCCAATCTGATCTCAAAACTGATGGCCCAGGCGAAATCGTCGTCTTCTGCGCGGTCGCCAGTGCTGATAAAGCCAACGGGGAGTCTCTGGATCGGCGATAATGCCTCAGCTGCGAGCCCGGGGCACGATTTCGACATTGTGATCTCGTGCAGTACCAAGCCGGCCGCATCGCAGTCAACCGCCTCGAATCATCAACACGTGCATCTTGCATGCTCCACGGGCAAGATTGGAAGCCGTCAGCTTCGTACACAACTGCCAAAACTGGAGCAACTACGATCAACACTTAGCCCTTCAAGTAAAGTCCTTCTGACTTGCGAGTCTGGCAAGGACCTGGCAGTCGGCACAGCACTAGCTATACTTTGTCTATACATCGACGAGCAAGGAGCATTGAACCTCCAAAGTCATGGGGAAAGCGTCAATAAGACGATGATCAAGCAGAGGCTTAGCTGGATCATGGTGTCCATGCCAGATGCATCGCCTAGCAGAGCCACTTTGCAAAGTGTGAATGCGTTTTTGATGGGTTGAGCTATGAAATAGATCATCGTATATCAAAAAGTGAAATAAATATGGTAGATGTTACTTCTGCACTGCGTGGTTGTCTCCTTTTCACATGCGAGCGTTGGATCCCAACTTCTGGTTGCCGTTGCCACGTGGGGACCGTTGCTATTTACGTCGGATAAAGTTCCAAACATCGACCAGGGTACATGTTTCAAAATCGCTTCACTTCACCACTTCAACGGCGCACAACCTCGCGGCTGATATGTCGCATAGCACCTCCAAAACTCACTGCCACCATCCTCCACTCCGATTTCAGCCGTGAACACAGCTCGTCGCCTTGTCAACAGCTCGAAGAGTAGCGTTGCAGCAGCCTTGCAGACTGGCGGGGGCTGTGGTGCTTGGAGGCCGCGCAAGCTGAGAACAAGGCCGCGGGCTCCCTGTACGTGTTGCTGTCTCGACTCGAGTTGTTTTTCCTGTTCCTGTTGATGTCTCAGACACCATCGTGTATTTACTTTCTTCGCAGCGAGCTGAACGCAGAGTCACTGCACGACGGACCGCGACAGCATTGACAGCACACAGCAGCATTCACGATGAGGCTCCCGCAGACGAAGCTTCAGAGGATCAAGGCGATTGTCCACTTTGTGCAGGCTTTCGTGATTTTCATCGCGGGATGCTTGACGCTGGCGGTCATGACCAAGGATGGTGGGTTTGGCGGGCAGACAGGCTTCTACTTCGCTCTGGTACGAACTTCCTTGACAGCCAATTCGATGCAGGTACTGACCTCGTCCAGTGCTTCATCACGATACCCGCCATCATTTACCAAGTAATGGTACCACTCTGGAGTCGAGCCTGGCGCTTCAACAACGTCTGGGCCATAGCCACCGTCGATATCCTCTTCGCCATCCTCTGGTTCGCGGCATCCATCGCTGTGGCTGTATGGAACGCCAATGGAATAGCAAAAGGAAAGAGCAGCGACTCGAAGGATGACAGCGACGAAAATACCAGAAGAGACGACAGCACAAAGAAAGACGGAACGTGCGCATCTTTTGGATATGGAAGCGCAACGAAATGCTCCATAAGCAAGGCTAGCGTTGGCCTGGGAATTGTGATCATGCTGCTCTTCGCGATCACAAGTTACATCTCCATCAGAGCAATCATCGAGTACCGAAGGACTGGAGTGGCTCCAAATGCCACCGCGAAGAACCACGGTCAACCCGAGAGGCTAGATGTAGACGACCCAAGCAAAGACGTATGGTCTGCCAACACCGATGAGCTCAACAACCGCACGAACAATGACGACGACCGACTTGCATTCGGTCAGGATATGGAAGATGATCAGCAAGGCCTACTCAATAGGCATTCATTCGACACACACCAACCCGCGGATGGCATGCATCCGGGCACGAGATTGAGCTACGAATCTACTACCCAGGTCGCGGCGCCTCCAGCTTACGACAGTAACATCGCACCGTCTGCACTCAGCCCAACGGGATTACCGATGAGTCCGAACGGGCGAGTGCAGTTCCCGGAGGCAAACTACAACGCTTTGCGGTAACGAATGAGTTGACAGGCGGCGCAAGGTGTATTCAGAGTTTGAGATACCCATACAAGTATGCTTATGGCCCTCCTTTCGATTGGACTTGAAGTGTTCAGCTCTCCCCTCCACGTGCTTATGTCCCGACACTCTGGTTTCTTCAGGTACGCTGACCCTGATCCATTCTATTGGGAACAAAAACTATTTCCCAATTTTGTGCTGTACGAAGGGGTCCCTCTTGGAAAACGACCTAGGCCTCATCAGACGAGACTGAGGATGGATCCGGGCAAGGAATGTCCAACGGGATCATCTGGCCTGATTCATCCGTCAACGATCACGGACGTGCATCCTTGGACAACCTCCCAAGAACTTTCGCAGGCCAGGTCGCCACTTATGGCGCTGCCTCCCGAGCTACGAATTCACATCTACAACCATGTCGCGGACCTGGAGCTTGGTTCCTCGAAGATTGAGATGTCAGACGGTAGATCGCGATTCCGCGTAGACTGGACTGCAAAGGCGCTTCCGCCAAATGAGAGCACGCGTGATTTGTACAGTCTGCTCGCGACATGCCACACAATTCGAAGGGAGCTGCTCCTGATCTTCCTCAGGGGCTACATAGTCAAGTTTCCATGCTGGGACCCAGGCTTCAAGCTGCAATGCACGTACTGGGTGGAAGATGTCAGCGAAGCTTTCATCGAGAACATGGACTTCATCTGGCTGGAAGGTGTTTACTGGCGGATATCGATCCGGCTGGGCAAGTCTGTCGACGATGCGAAAGAAGACGGCAGGGCGATCAGGGAAGACTGTCACCAGTACCATCGGATGCAGTCTGTGTCGTATGCTCAAGATGGGATCGAGTTCTTTCTGAAGGTGGAGTATGCCCGCGAAGAGCACACAAACCATGCGGCTCGAATTGTGTGTGAGGAGACTCGTGATCTTTTGGCGAAACTCTTGATGGGGAGAGGAGAGTCTCGGCTGGGAAAGGCGGAGTTGGCATTGTTGATTCAGGAGGTACCTCTGTGTGGTTTTGAGCAGCTGCGAAGTGTAAGTAATTAGGCTGGTAATGTCTATTTGATCGTGCGGTTGAAATCATTCACTTGACCCTGAAATATGTCCCCAATGTCTCTTCTTGAGCACGACTTGTGTCATGCGCGATCCTTGTCGACGCTTCCAGATGAGGTAATGCGACTTCACTTCTTCCACCAAATTCTTCTTGCTCTCAACCTAACCTTTAGACATAGACATAGATCAAGATGGAGTACGATCCGAAAGTTCGTAAGTACAATTGATCACTTAGAGCGTGAAACCATCGCTCATTCGATCTCAGCCCTCTCAAACACAAGCGATCCAACCTCGTTCGCCTGGACTTCTGCGCGAGAGAGATGGCCGGTCATATTGGTATGTCGAAACCTCGAAAGGGTGACAGCACCACAGACTGACCAGCTTCCAGACGGGAGCCATTGATGACCTCCACAAAGCTGTTTCGAAGGAGCAAGACCCAGAGAGACAGGAAGAAGGCAAGAAGATCACCGCCGGACTTGCAACGCTGAAATATGAGCTGCAGCATAATCGGCAACTCACGTACGTTCAGCTTTGTTCTGAGCTCGGCCGTGGATGCTGATTTGTCTTCTCTAGCCCACTCCAGGATGATGGTGGCTCTGATATTGCGGCCTACAACAAGGAACTCGAACAGCGTGGCAACCCCAAATGGCATGACGTAGCGTGGTTGTATGCCGAGTGCTACTTGTACCGGTAGTTGAATTCTCTATACATGAGTTGTGGCTTTCAGTTGACCCTTCCAGACGCATGGCAACTCTCTTCGCCCTGTCGAAGCACTGGAAGCACTACGACGTATTCTCCAAGCAGAAAATGTCGACCTTCCGCTCGTCCCGGCCGGCTGTCCTCGAACTCGCGGCCCGCTACAACGACCTCACCAAGCAACTCCAATCTGATCAATCGGCTCTCGGTTCTGCCTCGGAAGAAGAGCGCGAGACCGCCGAGAAGCTTCTGTTCGTCGAGATGTGCGAGATCTGTCTTTGGGGAAACGCAACCGATCTCTCGCTCCTCACGAATCTCAGTTACGATGACATCCAGAAGCTCCAGGGCAAGGACGCTCGCAAAGCGAATGAGGACAAGATCATTGTCAACAACTTCCCTGCAGCGTTTGCCTCGCTTAAGAAGTCGAAGAATGCCGGAGCTAAGGAGAGGAGAGTCGACATCGTCCTCGACAACGCTGGCTTCGAACTCTTCGTCGATCTTATCCTCGCCGGCTACCTCCTTCAAGCTGGTCTTGCTACCAACATCGTCCTCCATCCAAAGAACATCCCCTGGTTTGTGTCAGACGTCATCCCAAAAGACTTCAGCGATCTGCTGAACGTGCTCGTTGGCGCCAAAGACTTCTACGAGACGCCATCAGAGGAGGACAAGGCGAAAGGTGTAACGCCGCCAAAGCTGTCAGACAAAGAGACCAGCGACTTGCAAGCACTATTCCAGAATTGGAGCAGCCTCTACGCCGAAGGCAAGATCGTCCTCCGTCCCAATGTATTCTGGACGGAAGGTGGCAGTTACTGGCGCCTTCCACAAACCGCTCCGTCCTTGTACGAGGACTTGAAAGAGAGCGAACTCGTCATCTTCAAGGGAGACTTGAACTACCGAAAATTGACTGGAGATGCGATGTGGGATCCAGCAACGCCTTTCACGGAAGCCATCGGACCGATGGGGCCTGGATCAGGCGTGCGAGTTCTGGCTCTGCGGACTTGCAAGGCTGATGTTGTCGTCGGACTTGCAAAGGGTGAAGATGAGAAGCTCAGGGCTCTGGAAGGAGGCGGTGGTGACAGCGGAGCGAGAAAATGGGCTTGGAGCGGCAAGTGGGCAGTCGTGAGCTTCTGTGACGGCAAGGCGTAGACCTGAAATAGCAACGATCGGAGTGTCATGATACACATAGATGCATTGATCCAACTAGATATCCAAATCACCAGGCCTCCCAAACCACATTCGCCAATTTTCTCAATCCCGAAAGATCTGTATCCCAACGCTTGCGCCTACGTTGTAGCAGTCTAGCTACCACCATCAGGCACGTGCACAGCGCTAAGCCCTTGAACTTGATCTCTCTTCTCGGCGCCTCGCCTGAAAATATGACGGGCGTTCAAACCGTTGGCACAGACAGTATTGGGGACACAAATGCTGAAACCACAGCAGCTGTTGGCACTCAAGCAGATATAACCGGAGCCACACTGCGCGTTCGTCGAGCAAGTCTGAGAAGAGCAGTAGGCGCCTTGGAAGCAGGCGACGTTGTTGGCCGTGTCGTAGCCGCAGTAGCAGTTGGCGCCTGGGTTGCACTGGCGGTACGTCCCACATTGTCCTGGCGAGGAGCAGCTGGTGATGGGGCTTGCCACGCAGGGGAGACCGTTGTTCTGGGCGTTGGCGAAGGAGTAGCTGTACGAGACGGAGTAAGTCGCGCCGTTGTACTGGACCTGAGACAAGGTGGCGTAAGAGTCGTCGATCTGTTGCTTGTACATGGCGCAGTATTGGCCGTAGGACTGGCCGTTGCGGGAGATTACGTAGGTGTTGAAGAATCTGCATGGGGCATTGGGGTTGGCGTTCGTTTGGGCGTCACAGGCGGCGGAGCAGCGTCTGCTGTCGAAGGGGTGGCCGTCATTCCAGTACTGTAATATTTCAGCGATGTTTGATGATCTACAGCTTCTGGGGAACGCACCTGTGTGCCAACGAGGGAGCTCTGGCCGTTGCAGTCGTTTGGCGCAGCGAGAGCCCTGCCGCCATAGAAGTTGGGAGCATTGTATCCCTGGCAGTAGTCGACCGTCTGGTTGACGTAGCCGTTGGAGCCGGCAATCACAACATGGTAGTTGTTGCGCCACTGGCCGTCGTTGACAGCGTTGGCAGCAGTGACTGGGCCACCCCAGAAGACACACTTGATCAAGGTCGTTGTGGCTGGCTGCTCGCAAGCGCCTCCGGATGGAGATGGATCGAGAGATGGCGAGCGCTCAAATGCTGGTAATGTCAGCTATGTGCTCCTTCCTGATTCGGACAGCCTGGTTTCTGGACTCACCAACGTTGAAAGCAGCGCAGCCATTGATCTTGTCACACTTCGAAGAACACAGTGGAACATCGTAGGTATCCATCAACGTGTATCCCATGTAACCGAGGGCATTGTTCATGGCCTTCAGGTTCTTGAAGGTATTCTGGCATCAAATTAGCTTAGTGTCCATTACCAATGCAGCCGATCGTCAAATTCTCACCACATAGCCCGAAGGCGTAGGCGCCGCAGAAGCTGCAGAAGCAAACGCAGCATACGAAACGAATGCTTGGTCGGTATCAGGGCAGGGGACAGGTCCAGCTCCTTGCAACTGGGGGTCACAAGCAGCGCGCTTGACCTTCGTAGCTGCAGAGTCCTGAGCAGCAGCGCTCTGCTCAGCGGCAGCGGAAGCCTCAACGGCGTTGGCATTGTAGACAACAGTCTGGGCGGCGACGTTGGAAGCGATGGTGGGAGTCGGTGGTGGACCAGCCGCAGCAATGGCAGAAATGTCAAAGTCCGCCGGAACGCTCTGGGCAAAAGCGTTGCTGGTGAGCGCGGCAATGGCAACTGCGCCTTTGAAGAGCTTAGAGAAGTTCATGTCGGTGATGAGGTTCTCTTGCCGTTGGAGCTTGGTGTTGATGGTAGACCTGTTCAACACGTTTCTCAAGACAAATGAAAGGCCTTTTATACATGAACCGCCGTATACTGGGCTCGAGACTTGCCCAGTACCTAGACCGATCCAGCCCATGGACAGACCATCAGCCCATCTCCTCCGCCAGCCATCACGATCGATACTCAGCTCACGACTGCAATGCCACTCTCGTGGCGCCCAGTGACTGCCGACAACGAGAGGCTGGATGAGAGACGGATGGCTTGGGTCCTCGCTTCTTGACGGCCGGGGCGCACGAACAGAAAGCCCACGAGGTGAACTGCCATGAGGTACGCATAGCAAGGCAACAACGTCAGCCTCTTACCGCCATGACAGCAGCAGCGGTCACTCGTTCACTTAGTGGCTTTTGTTTAGCTCCAGTCTCCAGAACGCACCCACTGAAGCGAGCAAATCTTGGCAAATAAGCCATGGCTACTTCTGATATGGTCTTGACTGCCTCACAAGCCGTGGCAAGAGACGTATTGGGACAACCTTCGGCACTGCAGGCTGCATTGTCCACGAGCCATCACGCCTCTCTCGAAGCCCCTCCGCGAAACGAACGTTCCATGTTCGTCTCCAGTTGAATGACAGCTTTAAAACATCGACATGCTCAAGTTTCAAAGCATGGCAGTGTTCCCTGTCGAACACATCCTTAGCATGGTTAGTTCGACGAACGTAGTGTCGGACCTCGTGGAGTTGACCTCGTGGCATTCTGAAGCGATGTACACTGGCTACAAGCCACATTCCTGGAATATGCCAGTTCCATCGCCAGAAAGGTGCATGGAGCTCTGTCCGAGAGCAGAGCCACAGTACAGTTGCATATGACAGCTTTGCCAAGACCAATGAGGTCGCCGCATACTACACGTGCTGGGCGTTATACCTCACGCCGGTATCGAATCCGATCAACACCGTCACTGACAGACTCAGAGGACGGTATCAAGGTTGGAATCTGCTGCGTCTGAGTTGAGAGAGTGCATTAGCTTCGTGTCTCCGCGGCTGACGGGCACCCACGTGGGAGTCGATCCTGGGGCCTGTCTGGGGTTGCGTGGTTCTCATCCGGCCTTTGGTACCCATCTGCGGACGACATCGACGGCCCCCGAGTGTCGCTCACGCTTTCAGGTTCCTGGATACGCGGATCTGTTGCATGCCGTTGTTCGTCGATGCCATGTGGATGGGAAAGAGATGGGGTGCGGTCTAGACGCTGAGCTTTAAGCTTCAAGCCTAGGGCTCCTTGCGCATGGTCAAACGTCCCGAAACGGCGGCTTGTGGCTGGTCTAACGTCGAAAAGGTCGAGCTCCAACCGTTTCTGCTTCCCAAACAAGCCGAGAGTGCTGAACAGCCTGCCGTGTCTGTATGACAGCTCATCCGGGTCGCAGTACACCGTAAACTCCAAAGCGAATCGTGTCGAACAAGAATGCATGCAGTCGCTTGCGATGGTTATGCTGTTGAAGAAATGACTCTCGATGGTAGCGCGTAGTTTTCCATGTTGTATTTCGCCCCATCCATCGGCGCTACGCTGCTCCTAAAGATTTCGAAGTACGCCGGTCCCATTCGGACAGGGCGGAGGCTATCTTCAGCTCGCCCATGAGCTTGCCTACTCTACCACAAGAACATGTGCAAGTCACCTGGGTCCACTGGAGATGGTGTCGGAGAGATGCTTCCACGGCCAAGTAATCGAGGCCTCGTCTAGTGCAATTGTCGTATGGTTGCCACAATGAAGCAGACAAAAGCGGGCAAATCAGTGAGAAGAGTCCGCATCCTGTGCATCCGGAGCCACTGGGCGACGCTCTCAATGTTCGATTTGCGGTTTTTGGCGTCATCAGAGGCCATTTGAGCCAGTAGCCGTAGAGCTTTGCATCCAAAGGCGAAGTGTAAGAACGAAAATATTGAGCCAGCCAAGTACCAGCGTGCTGCCGAGACATTGGCTCCGTCTAAACCTGAGAGCAAAGGATCTTGGAAGATCGAAGCAGCCGTAGCTGGACGTAACAGCACGTGGTTGGCAACTCCTGCAATGATTGGGACAGAAAGCCCGATCAAAGCCTGCCAAAGTCCTCGTGATTGCCATGATGTCGACCAGTTTGGTAGAACCTCTCGTGCTGGAATCTGTTTGTCCAAGGGTAGCTCAGTCCAAGAAGTCAGGAACTGGTATTCGTCATTTGCGAACTGAACATTCACTGTTGACGAAATCAGTGGCAGTAGTCGAAGCAGCTGCAAGCCAAGTATGTGAGGCATTTTGCCCTGAAGGGGGTAGCGCCTGGAACTTGATGAAGTCGATGACTTCGAATGTTATTGTCGATGGAAGTAGTATCCATGTTGTATCTGTTTACGAAAGTGCCGGCGAGATCCCTGTCGCGCGGACTTAGGGGCCAGCCAATGAGAAGGGATCGCGGAGTTAGGAAGCACATGTTTCTCTACCTCACCCACTACGTACACCCAGCCTTGCTCATCAGATCGTTGCTCCTCCGAGACGACGTACGAACCTCGCAAATGGAGTGCTTGATCGCCAGCTAGCCAAGCATCCCTCGAGCTCGGAGCCAGAAGGCGAGGCAATTTCGACGCCAGCCGTGACCAGGAAAGGGTTGCCGAGAGTGGTTGTGTGAATGGTTGAGTGTGTAGACAGCATGATGGCTTTGAGGAGCGTTGGAGAGGTCTTACACATAGTGGCCAGAAACCACCTCTTGCATTTCGAGTATCTCTTTGTGCGTTCTGGGTGTTGGCGAAAGGATTGCGATACGACTAATCCAAACACTGCTGCTGCTACAGGCTTTTAGTAGCGTGCTCCAGTTGGTCAAACGGAACTCTTGAATGTCGTCGCAGGAAAGGTTGAACACCGGTCTAAGTTTTACATGGACCGTGATGCCCGCAACACGCTTTCGGTTCCGTTCAGATCCGGCTATGACGAAGATACTGTCTCTGAACTTCCGATATAGACAACCAATATTGCGGCGTATGCAGTCGTGGCTGTTATGACATTCTCTTTACTTGTCGTAGTCAATGCCATGGCAGTAGCGAATAGCATCGTAGCGACAGAGACGATAATTAGCCTCGCAGCCCTAGTTGTGGCGAATGTCATGACAATCATTGGCACGAGCAGCGATGCACCGCCAGCAAGACCAACAAGTAGGCGGTCCAGGGTCTTCGTCAGATTGCCGAATCTCCTTTTCAGGCCATCAGCGACATCCCAGGTGTAGATGTAGCCCAAAACCGCGAGAACAATGTTCGATCGTAAAGATTCATGGACTCTATCACTGTCTTTGTCCTTGCGAGAAATGCGTCGTCGCATCCCAGAGAACATCGTTATCTTGTCGTCCTTGTTAATCAAATAATCCTCTTCAAAGACTCTGTCTTTACTCTCGATATTCGAAAGTGCCTCGATCAATTGAGCTATGTCCTATTAGCCCGGTGCATCTTGGTGGGAACTGAAAATCGTACAGTATTGCAAGAGTAAAGGGGCCATATCGCTGGCAAGACCAGGGCTGCCAGTATTGAAGTCGATGTCCTGGATCTTGCGCTGGATCTGCCATTCAGCGTCTCGTATGCACGCGATGTAGCAGGACTCAAATCCAGAAAAGCGAAGTTCTGCTTTTTCATGATCTGAATGTGCCGATGTCCAGAGATAAGGCCGCTCTGGGGGTAGCGGCTTGCTCGGGTCGGTGCCCAAAGGGCCAGTCTTGACTTGAGCTTCTGTGTCATTCTTGTAGTCCTTTCGCTCCTCGTTTGGGGACGACATGATGACCAGGCGGTCCGATCGAAAGTCTCCGCAAGCTCCGTCCCTTCTTGCTTTGAGACCAGATCTCCAGACAGAAAAGTTGAAATGGCTTCTTGAGGTGAGGTGACCCGAATGTAATGCGTGTTGACGACGTGACAACGCGAGAACCACAGCCTGATGAATTGAAGGACGGCATGATGAAGAAGAGAGGTGACTTGCCAGCTCACGGTAAGGTGTGCGCGGTGATTGTCTGGCCAATGGTGGCGCTGAGAGTTGGAGATCGGACTTGGCGCGGGAGTTCAAGGAGGCGCGCTACGTTCAATCCGGCACGTTGCTATGGCAACTTCAGACGAGTGATACCTGGTATTGACGGTACGGCTGACGAATAATGCCACGATATTCCAGCCAAGCTGACTCCCTACACTCCACCACCTGGTAATAACAATCGCTTTGAAGCAGGCGGCGGACACTGAATCAATGCCGGCAGAAGCGTGTGAAATGCGACTCCAAGCCGCACGTTCGACTGCTGTGCATCATATTGCGGCCCCGGGTCTATGGAAGTTCAGCAAGAACCATGGACGCCGACTTCGATTCGTGTAGAGAAGCGGCCGGTGCGCGCGATGCACCAGATCGCAATCAGGCTGCGAGTACGGCCTCCGACTGGCATGGGAGGAAGATGTATTGGCCACCAGCAAGAGCCATGGCCGGCTCAAGCACCAGCCTTATCAGAACGCAACCCACCACAGTAGCAGTCCAATTCAGCATATCACCCATAAGCTCCAGCAGCAGCAATGTCATTACCTGGACGACAAGTCGATTCTCGTTAGCTACTTCAAGTAGGTCTGACGATTGGAACGAGGCATCCAGCACAAAAAGACGTTTGCACCTCGTCTTCCAGGCAGATGTCATCGAAGTGAAGCCTTTTGAAGCGGGTACAAAAAGAAAAGGTACGCAGGAGCTGGAGTATTCAACTCAACGTTTGACATCCTTCAATCCTCACCTATGGACGAGGCTGTTCGAATTGCAATGGCTTCTACGGATTTCTCTCGGACCTGAGAAACGATGGATTTCTATGCACAACAATGTGCACATGCATGCCCGAGCCACGAGGGCACCGACCCCGTGGGACAAGATAAATAGAGTTCGATCTCCGTGTCGAGTCTCGAGCTTATATGAGGACTCTGTCGTCATAACGGCAAAGCCTACTGCTGAAGCTTTGCGTGATCTTGAGCCTCATTCCAAACATTCACAACAAAGACATATGATTCGCCGATCCAGTGACGTCTAAAGGAAGAATCGGTCGATTCCGAGCCTCTGGTTCGACGAAAAGCCGCAACATATGCCCCGTGTGCGCTTCATCATCAGATTGCTTCTTTTGCGACTGTTGGTAGGTTCGTCACTGAGCCGGAGCGGGCTCCACAGCGCTTCTGCGCGCGTGACAAGATGATCGGTACTCGATCTTTTTGGGGGCTGTCTGCAGGTGTTGTTTGAAACTCTTGTTGCGTCGTTCTTCCTATTTCCTATTGTCATTTCTTCTACCGCCAGCATGGGGCTCAAGGACTTAGGAGGACTCTTGACCCACAAGGGGTTGTTGTCAGACAGACCCACTGGAAAATGGCTTCAGATAGGAGTCTGCGTGACTGGTTCAAGCGGGTTCCTGCTCCTTGGCTATGACCGTAGGTCCCAGTGACCCTCCATATGTCCCATCATAGCTGACATTCTCACAAACAGAGGGCGTTATGAGCGGAATTATCACAGAGCCTATTTTCCTCCAGACCTTCCCTCAAATGGAACCCAAGAACAAGGAAGGCGCAATCCAGGCTTTGGTTGTGGCAATTTACGAAATTGGATGTCTCATTGGCGCAATTGGTATCATCGCTTTCGGCGACAAGCTAGGGCGACGACGATCGATTCTCCTAGGCTCTACGATCATGATCATTGGAGCTGCGATCCAGACCTCGTCCTTCGGCCTTGCGCAGATCATTGTGGGAAGAATAGTAACGGGTGTGGGTAATGGTATGAACACGAGTACGATTCCGGTATATCAGTCCGAGATTGCACCGCCGAAGATTCGAGGATTCTTGGTGTTGTTTGAGGTGAGTTAGAACTAGGTCTAATTTTACGTTGTATGGGTGAATGGCCACTGACACTGATTGTCTTCGACAGGGCGCTTTAATCACACTTGGCATCGTTATTAGCTACTGGCTTAACTATGGGTTCTGGTTCGTTACGCAATACGGCAGTTTCCAATGGCGGTATGCATCTCCTTTTCGAGACCAAGATGATTGTTTAGCTGACTCGGAGCAGATTCCCAATCGCCTTCCAAGTCGTCTTCGCAGTCATCCTCATGATCGGTGTTTTGCTCTTCCCGGAGTCACCTAGGTATGCCCTTTCGTCAACTCAGCGCTTGCTCCTCAGAAATTGACACTTTTTCGGATGGCTCTTCAAGCACGGCAAAAACGAGGAAGCTTCCGAGATCATGGCTCGCCTCGAGGATCTCCCCATCGATTCGGCACAGATCCAATCCGATATCAAGGAGATCCAGGAAATCAACGCGCAGGAGTCGAGCAAACTCACGTGGCGCGAGCTCGTCACGAACAAGACGCGAGGCATGAATGGTTGGAGATTCAGCGCGGGTTGTCTCTCACAGGCGTTCCAACAGATTGGTGAGTTACATCTCGATATACCGCATCCGCCACGGGATTGGCTCGCACTTCCAGACTTGCTATTATCTGCCCTTAACTCTCACACATCTTTTCCCCTACATTCACATATCTTACCTCGACTTTCACACCTTTACCCCTAGGGACTTTCACACGTCTCCCTCAGGATTCACCCCTTTAACACCATCTTTCACGCATCACAACCCCTACTTTCTTACAATTTACGTCTACTTTCACACCTCTAACACCACCATTCACAGGCGGAATCAATCTCGTGACTTACTACGCGACCACGGTCTTTGAGTCCTCCCTAGGATTCTCACCTACACTTTCACGCTTCATGACCGGCTGGCTCGGAACCGAATACCTCCTCGCCGCAGTCCTGGCGCTCTTCGTCGTCGACCGCCTAGGCCGTCGGAAGCTCATGATGTGGGGCGCAGCCGGGATGGCAGCCTCGTTGCTCGTGATCGGAGCCTCGCTCTCGTACGCCACGCCGGAGAACAGCGGCCACTGTTTTCATATTTGTCTATGATACTTTCTTCGCCCTCGGATGGCTCGGAATTACGTGGGTATGTCAATAGGAGTCGTTGTGTTTGGTGGTGGAGGAAACTCAGGCTGACATGTGATTGCACAGCTCTACCCAGCCGAAGTCACGCCCATCCGCATCCGCACAGAAGCCAATGGTTTCAGCACCTGCTCCAATTGGATCTTCAACTATGCTGTCGTCCAGCTCGCGCCGATCATGATCAACAGCATAGCGTGGAAGACTTCTGATATTGAGGCGCCGCCTGCTGTGACATCCGAAGAAGGGGAGAGGAGTGATACTGAGATGAAGATTGATGATGCAGGGACGGAGAAGAGGGAGGATATTTAGGAAGGTGGATACTGAAAGATTAAAACATGGATTGCGAAAATGGGAAGCAAACAGTGCTTGTCTTGATACCCTCTGCTATTTCAATCGTCTACAAGAGCTACACCGACCTCTCCATCCTCAACAGCAGCCTTCAGCTCTTCAGCATCGCTACCTCTCTGCTTGACGACAAACGCCAACGTCTCCGAGAAGGTCTCGCCATTGTTGACGAACCAGTCGCCCAATCCTCGCAGATGCATCTCCACCTGCGCCTTCGTTGGACAGTGATCCTTCAGGTACAAGATCTGCTCGGGATCCAGCTTCATCATATCCTCGATCACGTAGTAATGTGAGATGTCGTCTCCCCAGCCCTCAGCCCCTGGTTCGTTCCAGCGGGATGGCGCGAGTCGGGATTGGTATTTGGCAGATCCAAATGACGAGTTGTGGAACCAGCCATCTGGGACGAAAGATGATGGTGCAGGCGGATAATTCAGGTGGATGTTGAACAGGGGTTGGTGGTTGCTGTCAGCAAATCGTTTCTGATACTTCTGTCGAATGCGGCCGTTCGAAGGGCAGATGTTGTTGGATACCAAGTCCCGCAAGGCGATGTGAACGTCCAACATTTCAGCGAGCTCGGCACTTGGGAAGTTATGTAGAAGTGCTGCTCGTTCACGCACGACTTCTGGTATGCCTCTGCAAGTGCGTACGTGTGCAGAGGTATGGAAAGCCTTGTCGAACAACCACAGACGGTAGATTGCGCGTCTCAAGCGGAGACGCTCTTCGTTTGACAAGAGACGTCTATTGGCGAAGTCCGTCTTCCACTTCTTGAATGGGTACATCTCCTCGTATCTCTGAGCAATCCGTCCAACTTTGACGACTTGATGCAAGAGAGCTTCTGACATGGGCACATCACGTCGAATGTGAGCTGGTTGGGAGGCGTTCTGAGTCAGGAGTTGAACGATGTCGTCGATTGGTCCAAACTCAGCATCAGCCGCTTCTTGGAGAATGACCAGCTTCTTGGACGACTTGTAGGCGCTATTGAATCGATGGCAGGTGGATGACAGGGCGATGGCGGAGGCAATGTTGGGTAGAGACAGGAAGACGTGGGTGAGGATCTCGTTGGGGAGGCTGTCGAAATACATCGTTGCGATTCGTTGGTTGGTGACTCGACCGGATTCGGGAGACAATGTTGTTCTCTTTGTACGATTTCTTCTTGTTGTTGAATCGATCAAACCAGGCGATCGATTGCGGGTTGAAAAGGGAGTCAGACGTCGTCTCTACGAGCGTCTGACGGTGGATAGGAGATTCAAACAACGAACACCCCTCCGTTGGGGCTATAGAAACCGCACACTTCAACTCCGTCGCAAACGCACTCTGATAGAGACGCCTTTCCGCACATGGCGGTCGCTGTGGTGGTGGTCATGGTGTGGTGTGAAGAAGGAAGAGGAGAAGAAGGCGAGAGGTCGGTGAGTGATAGCAGACGTTGGCCCAAGCGTGGCTGGAGACGATGGCAAGCGCACGGCAACATCCGCCTCCGCGCAACCTCACCTCCGCCTCCGCAAAGCGCACCAGCATATCTCTCTCAAACCTAAGAGCAACATCACCCGCTCTTTCGTGGCATGGACTTTGGCCACTACAACTGCCGCGACTACTACCACTCGCCGCACTTCGCCCCCACGACCATCGTCAGCGACCGCTCGCCCTTCTACCGCCATGAATCCTTCGACGAACTCGAGCAGCGATCACGCTCTCCCGCGAGCTTCAAACCCAAGTTCCCTCTGCTCAAGCTGCCATTGGAGTTGAGACAGCAGATCTTCAATTATCTGCTTCCGAGGACAATTCAGCACAGTGATCCGAATCCCTTGGCGAGCCATGCAAGGAACTTCAGTGCGGTGAAGAAAAGGGCGGCGAAGGGCATGGTGGTCCCTAAGCCGGAGACAGCTCAACGAGGCCCAACCCATGTGGTCTGGCAAAGGGGAAATATCAAGCTGTTGTCTGTTTGTCGACAGATACATGATGAATGCGCGGATATGATGTATGGGCGGAACACATTCCTGCTGTTCGTCACGTACGCTGGAATAACGTTCAGGTATTCTTGGCTATTGCCGACTGGGATGACGCCCAACAGGCACTACTCGTTTCTCGAGCTTCTGTCAGAGAAATACATGACACGCATTAAACGCGTTATTGTCAATGTCGATCATGTCGACAGCTATACCGGAATGATCAAGTTCAACGTAACTGGCAAAGGTCTGACGCATGGATTGCGGAAGCAAGTTCAGCGTCTAGTGAACGCCCTTCAACCGCCACCACCTTCAAACGAGGACGACGAAGACGGATATGTCTTTGTACCAGGCGACAGCTATGCAACAAATAAAGGGAGACAGCTCGCCAAGGTCAACATCCGAGTATCGAACGGCAACGTCTACCTCGATCAGATCAAAAGCGAAGCTGTACGCCAGCGCGAAGCTGGTAACAAGATCTCTGAAGATGTAGCGGAGATGCTCGAGCCCTTTGGCGATCTTCGAGGTGTACGTGAAGTCGCTATCTCAGGGGCCGTCACCCCCGAATTCGCGCATAGCCTCGAAGAGATGATGAGAAGTACCGCACCGCACGACAGAGCCACGGCCCTTACCAAGACTATGCATGACCTGGAGTTAGCATCACCTCCTATTTGTGTATATGGAAACGACTTATGAAAGAGACGATAGACAACGAAGAATGGAAAGAGGAAATAGAATTTGAACAGCAAACTCCTTAACGCCCACCAGAAGCACGATTTCAGTCTATGATTTGAACTTACCTGTTCCCCAAATTTGCCACCCAAAATGAAAAGAAGTCTGGCAATCTAGTTTACTCACATCTTCGCCCTTGCACTGTCGCCCTCGCCTACACTCACCTAGACCTCAAATGTAAAGCTCGTCATCAGTGTCGGTACTGGCACTAGACCAGGAGAAAGCGCTGATTGGAGCATCAGCCGCAAGATTCCCAGCCTCAACAATAGTGCTGGAAATGTCAGCATCAGCAACATCAGCAGGCTCACCTGTGAACAGATTCGTCAGTGGTTCAGCAGTCGCGGAAGGCTCACCGGTGGTTGTCGTAGGCTGCATCAACCTGCTCGTGTCAACATCAAACGGAAACAGAGCAATTGTCGGGTACGCATCGGCCATCTCTCTCGCCCAAGTGTTCAGCTCGCTGCGTCTCTTGGGAACACGGGGTCGTGGACGAGTCGTGCTCTTGGGAGCGATGGCGATGAGCGAGCTACCGCGGTTTGGACGCTTCTTCAGAGCTCTCTGCTCGAAACCAAAGGGGTTCGGCCAGAGGGATGCAGGGAGGCGGCCACCACGATCGTACCAGGTCTGGAGCTGGGACTTCAGCTGCGCAGAGAGGCGGTGCAGAGAGTTAGCTTTGAGCCTACGGGCTGGGTCTGGTGAGAGGCAGGCCTCGAGGAGGCGGAGGATACCTGGGTGCTGGGAGACGGAAGACTGCTCAAAGCCTTGCCGGATGTTCGAGCGGCCGGGAATGTAATCACGTTGGGCGACGACGTTCCAGAGCGAGACACCGAAAGCGTACATGTCAGCTTCTGTGCTCTGAGCGTTGACGATGTCCGACTTCTTCTTGATTTGCTCGAGTTCTGGTGCCAGGTAGCCGGGCGTGGAACAGATATCGCGGGTATCACCATTCAGGTCGAACGAACCCAAAGTCACCGAGGACGACAGTAGGTAGACCATACTCGGAATTTGGCTCCCACTTCAGGAAGATGTTCAGCGGCTTGATGTCGCGGTGGACGTACGATCGCTGGCGGTGAGCAATTGAAGTCGTGGTGTCCGTTGCCGGGTCGTAGCTGATGTCACCATGGTGAAGGAACGCCAGGGCATCAATCATGCTCGACACGAAGTGCAGCGTGAACTGCTCGGGGATAGGGAAACATCCAACCCTATCAAGGTAGTCGCAGACATCTCCAGCATCGCAATACTCAAAGACCATATTGTACATGGGCACATCATCCTCCCAATACGGCGAGCAGCCCGCAATGCGCAGGACGTTCTTGTGCGTGTCAAGGCAATGCATCAAGACGAGCGCCTCATCGGGCTCAGTGACCAGACGATTATCGGAACGATGCTGAGCAAAGACCTGCTTGATGATGAACCGCTCGCCCGAGTCGCGGTGCTTGACGAGATGTACAGCGCCTTGGGAGATTTCGCTGAACGTGCGGATGAGCTCGTACTCATCGGCGAAGCTCTCCACGTTGGGTTTGATGACTAGTTCCTTCTCAGCCTTCTTCTTGGGCTTGAGTTTCGACTTTAGGGCCGATTTGAGCTTCTTGAGCAAGTTCGGTTTTGATGTCTTGCGTTTCTGTTGTCTGAGACGTGGCTGAGACGCAAAGCGCGAGGAAGGTGCGACTGTCGAGGAACTTGCGCCTGGGCAGAAGATGAAGTTGGTCTGCGAGGCGACCATGTCAGTAGAGAAGCCTGTAAAGACAAGAGGCTCAGGGTCAGTGGAGTTGCTGGCACGGTTGTCAGCCAACTGTCGTCGTCGCTCAGACGTCGGTCGTGGTTGTGGTTGTGGTGGTTCCGAAACTCCAGTCTCTCTCCCACTCGAAGCTCGACGATTCTTCCGCCAAATCTGCCACCAGCGCTGCTTGGGCTTGTGCTTCTTGCGCTGGGCTGGGGGAGCCCGTGCTCTGCTCCTGGACCTGCTGCCGGCCATACCAGTGGTTATGGCAGCAGGTTGTCGGGTGAAGAGCTCGACGCAGCTGAGGGCAACTGCTACGGTGCCTGCGAAGATGGTCACCGAGAGGAAGGGCATGGGGCAGCGACGGGTGGGTGCGTTTGGTGTCGAGGGTTCAGGGCCTGCCTGAATGTGTTGGGAGCTTGGAGCGGTTGGAGGGAGAGTTGGTTGGAGTCGGTTGGAAGGTTGGTTGGAACGCAAACCGAACGAAAGCCATGTCTTGCTGGTGTGCGTCGTGTGTATATACCTCCACCGTGGAGGCTCGTGCTGGACCTGTCGAACAAAGAACGTTGTTCGGGTTCTTTGTTCCATTGTGTGCAGGGCGTCAAAGAAGCCGCTCCATTAGGCAACTTCCTAACAATGGTTCTTTGTCTGTCAACGGATCTCTGCAGCTTCGTGACGTCGAGTCAGTGTCGATTGTCCATGTTGCTGCTGGCAAAGACGAGTAATACCGAGTGCTTTTCGCGCGTCCTTTCATCAGCTATGTTGAAACGATGAAAGGGGTTGCCCTTAGACGAAGCGTTTTGTGCAATCAACTTATCCAGCTCCTGGTCCTTGCAGCATCTCCCGTGGCCATCATTGAGGTCTCAGCTCCCAGAATGTAGTCATCGTGTCCACGCGCTAACGGCACTGTCTTCTACGACGTCCATCTCGGTATTTGCTTGTACAAAATGGGTCAGGGTGCGGCCGAAAAATGTCTTGTACTTGCAGCAGATATCGTTGTGTTTCGAAAAGACGCCCATCACCGAACCGGTGTCGTCGTGCAGAAGCCATGCCCGAATCGCTGGAAGCATCGAGAGGGTAAAGACGAGTTCAAACCGAGGAAGGTACGTCCTTGTTCAGAGAAGAACGACCATTGCGGCAGCAAATACAACCCATGGCCAACGAAGTGACAAGGCAGGGGCTACCATCAATGCAAGTCTTGAGCTCACAAAAGCGGACGTGTGCTACACATCGTCGCTGGGACCATCGCTATCGTTTAGAGCCACATACTAGACTTTTGCCCATGGCTGGTAGGTTTCCATCGATGTCCCAACGAAGGTATACGCACTCGAACACGCACTGTAAGCTCTACAACGCATGGGTGGCGAATTTCAACTGCGTGAAGCATGTGAATGCTCCCATGGTGGTCGGCGTACGCGTCCAGCATGCTGCCATCATGCTGGGGACACATCGTAGCAACTGTGGGCTGCGTTCCGTGCAAGACGCCCTTGTCCATTGAACGCCCCTTGCCACCACAAGTGCCTCGACTTGCCGTCGTCTCTGATCCATGGCAGAGGCTAGTGAGTCCCTTGATATGCACAGACTCATCTAATGGCACTCTAGGCTCGGAGTTGCAGGAACAACCGATCGCTGGTTCTTGCCCTGGTCTTCTCCACAACCACGGGGACAGGAAGATCCTTCGAGACATCATCCGTCATGCTGTAAGCACATGTGTAATAAGAGCCTTGTCGGACGTTGTTATTAGCTCAAGATCATGTTCGTCTCGACGAAGCGCAAATATTGGTTGGTCTGACGTGGTGATTGATGCGGAGCAGTGCATGCGGTGCCAGCTGAGATACAAGCCAACCGTCTGTGGAAAAGAGTAGTCTCCGCACGGCCTGCCATGGGCGCCGCGATCCCCAGAGCAAGAGTGATGAGATCAATGTAGCTGTGTCTTCGCTTGGCGTGTGCCTTTCAGTCCTAGTCACAGCGCCACCGTCTTTTCCAACTAGATCGGCAGGAAGACCGTTGTGGCCACGAGACCAGATAGAGTCTCATATTCAGCCAATCGTTGTTGTACCGAAGACGATGACAGCGCGGAAGGATTGTCGTAGGGGATCGTGGCGTGGTGGTTGATTGGCTGTAGGAGGGACGAGCTGAGAGGAAGGAACAACCACATCGATCATCATCAACCTTGAACCAACCCAGTCTTGTGTAGATTGGTCGTTCGATTCCCCTAGGTCAGAAAGAGGGCGTACAATACCACTTTCCCACAAATCGGTCCGATCATCGTGCGGAGAAGGTGATCGTTCAGCATTAGGTCGAAGCAGTAGTCAGCAGTGAAGTTGGAGACTGTTCAAGTTCGCTGAACCATATTTTTTGTCTTTTCGCCAATCTCACACGGTAGCAATGGGCCGGACGTCAATCTCAAGAGTATCCTTTGACTTCAGCCGGACTGTCGTCGCCGTGTTGTTGCGGTTGGTGAGACGGACACATGGCTGTTGGCGTTGCCGTCTAGCGTCGACGCCCAACCGGGCTTGAGGCCGATAATGGGGTTTGTATCGACGTCAACGATCCATGAGGACTTCGTCGACCGAGGCGTGGTATGAGATCGCACGTATGTGTATGGACAACGTCGAGGACGACTTCAGCTAGAAGTGCGTTCGCAACGGGGTCCATGTCGAATTTGGATGACACCGCCGGCACGCCTGAGCACTTGGTATCGGCGAGACCAAGCCATGGTCTCTTGACCGTTCCTCATGTGTGCCGATGACCATGCGAGCAAACGACTAGAATGGATGTAGTTCTGGCTCTACCGCAAACATTCGCTTAATTGCATTAGTTCCAGGCGGCAGTGAAATGACGGGAGGAGACCCTGTGCGAGTCGAGCGCTACGCTGTCGTGCACTGTTCGACCGACAGGATGAACTCATTGCCGAATTGAGCTGTGAACGAGTCGTGATATTGCAGGTGGTGTTCAAGTTCGTTGGAGATCTTCCTAATGCCAATCCACTGCGAGACTAACCCCGTTTGGACTTGGTTAGGGAACATTGGTGTGGGAAATGTGGCTTGAGAATGGACAGACTGAGTCCCCCTCGCGCGTATAGTAATCTCCCGTCTACTACGCAGTCTCTTGATGATTCTGCAGTCGCCAGTACTCGGTCACCTGCATCTGCACATCGCGACTCATTGCATTTGCCATACTTTCTTCGTACGGCTAGAGCGGATACGATGATACAATGTGCCCAAGTTGCAGCATGCACGTGAAGGTCTTCGAGCACAGTTTGACTCCATGCTGATAGTGGAGTAAGTTCAGCGCAACCGTGGTACGAAGACGACTTTGCCACATCCTGAAACATTGCTCCAACCTACGCTGTGTTCTGGAAAGTCTTGATTTGACTGCAAGCGTGATAATTGTGCTCGTTCATGCGTTGTGATTGAGTGGTGTGGAAGGTTTCCAATGCTGTAACACAATTGCCGGGTACAACCTGCTTCATCACACCGCAGCTGTGGCCACTCGATGATCATTGATGTGCCGGACTCCGCTTGACTGGTACTGGACCATGCGATGTGGCGCGAGTCGAATAGGCTTGTGACTGAGTCTCTTATCCAAGTGATGCCGGTGTATGCTCGGACGCAAGCCCGTGCTTGTGCTCGGATGGTCAGCAGACAGTCGTTTTCATTGTAGTCTGTTGCTAGACTGATGGCAGCCATGTGTGGATCTTTTCTGGACGGCGAAGGACGTATCATCGCTTGGTTGTTATACTTGGCGAGACGTAATCATAAATCGAAGCGTGCATTGGCAGAAGTGCTGTAGCAGGCGTGCGTGCCCACGCAACTGCCTTTTGCTGTGCCGCAGTGAATGAGTCGCGCAGACCCACTCCTGTGGCACTGACTTGGAAATCCTCTCACTTCACCTTCATCCCAAGGACGAGGGACCGAGTTCAGTGCATGACTCCAACAATGAATACCCGGACGCCGCCCGAAGTACTGGAGCGGACGGAGCACAAGCTCAAATGCTGGCGGTGCCTCATCATCATGCTTGCTCAGACGATCCGGACACAGCCGTGGCGTTTTACTCTTGCTAGTGCCTAGCCAAGTTTTGAGCACAATTGCTGCTCGAAGATAGGCCTTGCAAAAGTGTTGAGAATCGATGTTCGAGTCAACAACGTGGACTCGTAGATTCCTGCGCTGGGCTCGCTCCTGACTTGCGTGTGTGCTGCATACCGGCTCTGCAAGCGTGCATCCGCGTTCGAGTCGACACTAAATCAGTACCACACGGATCGCTCCAGTCGTCGTTCTCGGCACCACGCAGACCTCACAGCTCACGATATCCGCAATCGAATGTTGTCACTCTCGCGTCTCATCGAGATTGTTGGAGCAGTCCAGCGCCTTTTCGAAGCGAGGTCTGATCATGCCGTGTCCGTCGACGTAGACGTACCTTGCCAGGAGGCGACTAGAAGGCAGTGGCGATTCGCGAGGGTTCTTGTGTCACACTTCGTCACATGGCCCGGAAGTTGCTAGCTTTGTTCAGGCATAGATTGTTGACCCTGCTTTCAATCAGCCGCAATAATTGGCGTCTGATAGAGTCCTCCACTTCTGGACGAGAAACCCCGCAGCTGTGATAGACGTTCGTCACAGCGGGCTTTGCGGTGTGTCGTCTAAATTGGCAATACTTGACCATGGATTGTTATAGACACTCACCGCAAAGTGGCAAGTGATGTTCGACATTGTAGTTTGGTAACTCTGAATCATAACCTCCCGCAAAAGGCCCGTCGCGCTCAACGCCTACGATTGTGCCAAGGGCAGACGGCGGCGGGAAAGGATGGCGGCTCGCCACGTGGAATCTCAATTGAGACTGAACCGCATTATCAGCAGGGAAAACCGTTTGTCTCGAAGGAGGAGGAGGAATCGATCGATGTGGAGAGGGGTCATCGTAGACGACCCTGAGGAGTTTCGCGGTCGCAACGTCGCGAGAAGATGTGTTTGTGCGATGCTCGACGGACACGCAGCAGCTTTCCCCGTGCAATTTCCTGGATTGGAGTAGTGTACAGTTAAACCTGGATAAGAACATAACTTATTCCTGAGTTTATTCTATGTTGCTAACTAGGTTATAGGACTATCTAGTCTAACTAAAGAAACACGTAATATCGCTCTACTTTCGTATTTTAGCTTTCCTTTTTTTAATTATAATCTTTTACTTATTAAGAATACTTATAATCTCTAGCTATTTATCTACCTACTATAACTTATATAGCTTTAGATATTTAAGGGCCTAAAGAGCTATATCTTCTAAGATCTTAGATTAAATATCTTCTTTTTCTAAATTCTTTTAGTCTACTAGATCGAATTAAAAGATAATCTACTTAAAAAAGTTATTTAAGCTATTTTAGATAGTTTTATCTACTAGGTTTAGGAAAGTTTTAATTAATATAGCTAATATAATTTTTTACTACTACTAAAAGCTCTAAATTATAGACTAGATCTAAAAGATTATAGTAGCTATTTTATCTAAACTTTAAGCCTAATTTTAAACTAGTATATTAAGCTAAAACTACTCTATAGAGTTTATATAGGTATTAAATATAGTAGAAGTAACTAAATTAATAA